AAATAGAATATTAGTTAGCTTGTCTTTAAAAAAAATATATATATATATATATAAAAACAAAACAAAACAAAACTAGCTAGCTAGACAACTATGGGAGATAAGGTTAATTATTGTTTTATCTTCGCTCTTCAATTCCAATTATATCAAATCCCGTGTATGGAAATTTTACTTATATATTTATATAGAGGTAACATTTGATTGATTCATCACAATCGAATTGAGATAATCTATGTAAAGAAAACTAGGTTGAGAATTCTTTCATTGGCATTTCACAAAGAAATAGCAAAATAAACACTTTAAACAATGCACACTATGTTTATCTTATAATATGCTTCCATGATATTCTTAAGGAGTTTTATTGAGTCATTCATAATTCTAAAATCACATAGTCACAATTTTCATATACGGATCGGATTCACCATTAGAAAGTTCCTTTTTTGTTGGAACATAGAGCTTTTTCATAACATATAAGAAATAAGGAAAAAAAAATGCTCAAGGCTTAACTATTAACTTAATCTTAAATCCTTAATACTCCATTTTCTTAAATTAAGTTTCCTACATACCAATATGTCAAATCATAAATTCACAAAGTGTTGGCATTCGAATCTTACAAACGGTGTCATCTTATAAATGTTCTCAGTGTCAAAAGCTAAACGATACACCTTTTGTTTATACTGGACCAAAAGTTGCATCCACTACTTATGCAACTCAATCCACTTAAATTGTGTGATGACAAACATTTTCAAACCAAACAACTTTTTAAAAATAAAAAATAAAATCTTTCAAAATTTGGGGGAATAATTTCTTAAAAATTGTAATTAGAAAACCTAATCTATTTATTGGTACCCATTTTGACACAAAAGGGTTTATTCCCACATGATATGGATCACTAGAATGACAATAATGTATTTCTATTTTAGGTACAAAAAATTGGAGAAAGATGAAAGATTTCAAGTACAATAAGGGCACATTCAAATATTCTAAGTGGGCCCCCAATTGAATGTGATATTTCATTATGTGGCCCACTGCCAACTTGGTAAACTTGACAATGAAGCTTCTACTCCATAAAACACATTCCACGAATACACAATTTTTTTCACGCAAATCCATAAAAACAACTTCATTTGCTTTGATATTTTGCTTTGCCCATCCCCATGCACCAATACATCCAAGCTAAAGTCTGGTGGAGCAGAGCTTTAATTTATCTACATTCAATTTCGTATTTTTAATTGATGAAAATATTTATACCAAGTATTATACTTGTATATTTAATTATTTAAATTGGTTTGCACCAAAAAAAAAAAAATTTATTGGTCGATTCGTTTTGCTTTTTATTGATTTTGAGTGGATTGGAACTTTAGGTTACATTGAATTATTTTGTTTCAATAAATTTATCCATTTATTGAAAATATATTTGACGAGTAATATTTTTAGGAAGGGGTGAAAGAACCGGAGCTTGCCTCCAACTACATATGCATCCATCCTGTGTCACATACCTGATTAAATTCACAATATCTTCTAATACTATATTGTCTATATTTAATACGAAGTATATAGAGAAATTATTGTTAGAATACATTTCTGGCAATGTTTAATGTATAAGATCTCACTCATGAAGCTCTTAAAGAAATACGGAGTATATTCTTTTACTAATACTTTAAAATGAATAGTGTATGGTTGGTTGTTTTTTTGTTTCCCTTTGACTTGGGGCATGTTCTCATTTACTGAATTGAATTTGAGTTGAATTAAACTGAGTTGATTTGAATGGTTTATAAGAGAAGGAAATTTTGAACTGAACTGAGCTGAATTGAATTGAATTGAAATTAAGCTTAAGAGAACATGCTCCTGTTGTATTTTGCCTTTCGTTTAACTAACTTCTTGTTTTTAAAAATAAAAAAAGGTTTACCATGAATAACTATATAAGCTAATGGTGTTATTAAATTAAGATCTGTTCTCATTTACTGAACTCAGCTGAGTTGAATTGAACTGAACTGAGCTGGACAGAAATGAAATGAATATTTTATAAAAGAAGGAAATTAGGAGCTGAACTGAACTAAGCTGAGCTGAACTAAACTGAACTGAATTTCAACGAACAAGCCCTTAGACCAAGTTGTTGAAACTCAACCACTATGATGTTTAAATGCAACTCATTTAATGAATTTGTATTTAATATCTACTGGTACCTCATAGTAGTCATATATAAGTTCTCATTTAAATTAAAAAGAAAATAAAATGGATGGACATGAGTTTAGCTGAGATTTCTAGCTTGCATTTTTCTTTGTTTGGATATCCACAAACCATAAAACGGAAATAAATTTAAATTTAAATTTAAATTATACTTTGTAGATCTTTTTAATAGAATTTTCATTTTCCCAACTTGACAAGTTATAAACATGTGGTAGACATGTCACATGTATATTATTAGTAAATGATTTAAATGAGTGAACAAATTAGCTAAAACAAGACCATAAATGGTTCATTTGGTGGTAATTGGAGGGACAACTAGACAAAAAAAGGAAAGAAGGAAGAAAATTGAAAAAAATAATAAGGTCAAACAATTAGAGTGAAATTTAATTAGATAGTTGATGGGAGCACCTAACAAGCAACATTAAAGAGGCCAATTTTTAATTCTTTGGTAGGGTTGGATGGTACCTACATTGTCAATGTTATATTGTTTTCCTAAGTGGGGTTGTGTGGTTCTTGTGAAATACCAATTTTTTGAATCTAGTTTTGGCCACTAGATATTTTAACAGAGATTGTCAATATTTCAGGAGATTTGAAGTCATTCATTTTGGCTTATAGTCTTCATTTGTGTGGTCATTAATTGATAACACATATTTGTGTACTTCATGAATCTTCACAAACAAACTCTTGAAAGAGTTATTGGTGAATTTAAAATTAGAAAAAAGTACTGTACCTATACAATTTTGTTTAGTGTTTTATGTCTTTTCACTTTCTTTCAATTCATTAATTTAAGAAGATTCTTACACTGATGTAATTTGTTTATTTAGCGAGGAAGAAATTTTCACATCCACATTTTACTTTTGAACTTTTAAGAAAAAATTAGAAGAAATTGATTGGGCTGAACAAATAGTAAAATTTGTCAAGCTAGATTTGAAGATTTTGAACACTATCCAAACATTTTTATATTTAGAGTCTCAAAGAACAAATGATACATATGAGCCTGTTCCGATTGACTGAATTGAGCTGACTAAACTTATTAGAGCTGAGCTGAACTGAACTGAATACTTTATAAGAGAAAGAAATTAGGAACTGAAATGAATTAAACTTATTAGAGCTGAATTGAACTGAAAACAATCGTATGAGAACAGGCCCATAATATCCCTCAAAACTTGAACCAATCACAACCAAACTCTAAAAAAGCAATAACCACCTCTAATTTCAATTAGTGTGAACTCTTATACACGCAAGTTGACGTGTGTTGTGGTTATTGCTCCGTTATAATGGTTGTCTTCAAAATATAACCATCATAAAATCTTTTCTTTGCTGCATTGCTAAGAAATGTCCCATTATACATTTATACTAACAGAATTCCAAGACGATCCTCCCATCACTACTCTTATAATCAATGCTCAAAGAAACAAAGTTATGAACTCTGATTTGCTCTACTTCCAACAAAATTTTAATTTTCATTTTCAAAATTAGATCATCATCCAATCTTTACTGTCATCTTAGTCTTAATCGTCGCTCAGATTAAAGAGATACAGTAGCTTAGTAGAGCTTATCATAACCCCTTTGATCAGACAAATGCATCAACTAATTAGTCGGTCAATAAGGATCACCCCATTTAAACACAGACCCAGCTACCCGAAATAAAAGATGGACAACGCAGCAGATATAGTCATACATCCTTTCCGTAATGTTCGTATGTCATGGCCAAGAATCCATGGTCACCTGCAGTTGAGAATGCTAATGAATCCCGCACTGCAATCAATCTGGTGTACTCTGTGAACGCAAATTGATGGTCTGCTGGTTAGGACTTACCGAAACTAGCAACTAGAACAAGCCTTCGCCAATGGTCGGCAAGCCTAGTCATGTATCTCTGGCTAGTATACTCTCTTAGTAATGAGTACACAGAAAAGTCTTGACATATAAGATATAAACCATAACCCACCAGTTACAGATTTATAGTACCTACCCGTCTGTTGTTGAGGCAAACAAGAGGTACCTTAAGAAATGTACTGAGCTAAAAATTGGAGTATATTTAAATTTGTAATCAGAATGTTTTGCAACACTCGTTACTTTAAGCATCAATCTAGTGACACAATCTAAAAGCATGACAGTCAAACAATCTTATGGAATATTTCATACTGTATTAATCCTTAACCTCATTACTACTATTATTACTAGATTCCAGTATTTCACTACACCAGTAGTACCAAGTCAACAACAGTTAAAAGATAACCATACCCAACAAAAACAGCAACCAACTATCATTGCCCGCTTAACAGTTAATACGCATGGCCTTCACATTTTTCGTGGTCTACACTAACACATACCGCCTTCACATTATTCATGGTCTCAGAGCTTGGTTTGTAGCAGTCCTAAGGAATTTGTTCGAAATGTCAGAGTTGTAATCTTAATTATCTTATTATAACCTTTCTAAATGAGAAAGGTTTCCAATAAGAGACAAGTCCTCTCCCCAATCTATCCAACCAATTGGCCCTCTATCTGTCTTACGAGTCAGAATCAAGCAACCACAAGGGTCCACAACCTCAATCTCTAATACTTACCAACAGTCCCATAATACACCCTTTCCTGCCTACACCCCTCTTCCCCCACCCCTCTGAAGCCCTAAACATGTAAAAGCACAGCTGTATAGCCTGTAATGAGGCGATCTTTTACAAAAATTGTAACAGGCACAAACTATTTGGGTGATAAGAATCTAACATTAAAACTTGGGATGTGAAATTTATTGTTAAACATTTACTACTGCATACTGTATAACATTGGAGTTTATAAAACAGAGAATAAAGGAATTAATCCAACAAATGGTGCCATATAAAAGCATAAATGAAATGAAAAGTATCCACAATGCCAAAGCAATTTCAGATCTCAAAGATAGCCTATTCTTTTATCAGCATTAAGGCAGCAGCATAATGTTATACAAGGAGCAAGGCAGGTTCTAAAACAGCTAAACCAGAAATTTACAGTTAATAAATACACATTTAAAAAACAAAAAAAAAGGAAAGAAAGAAAACAATTCAGAAGGTTGAAAAATCCAGGAAAGTAAAAGAAGATGGCACCAAGACTCCACACAAAAGCCAACATGCTTCAGCTCATGTTGATAGATCCCAATACCAGCTAAGCAATTTCTACACATCAAAATACACAAGTGAAGAGTGAATTTCCTTATTCTTGAGATAACAATCTGACACATTAGTAACAATAACAGCATGTCAGAAACGTAGAGCCTAAAGGCAGAAGATAATGGCAACACGCAAACTCTTATAAAGAACACATTTCCTTCTTCCTCTTAGTTAAGACTCGTGAGTATAGCAACAAGCAACCATCATATAGACGTGAGGTCAGATTTTTGTACCTGCTACTGAATAATCACACCATATCCCAGTATCGGCTCAGGACCTTCAGGCTGTTGCTGCACAATAAACAACATTAGCACACAAAAGAGAGAATATTTATACTATAAAAAAGTGGCAAGAACACTGAATCAACATTGAGGTTTAAATTTTTTCCAAGGGAAAGATAGGGAACATAAACATACCCTGATGATGAGTTGGAGATAAGTAAATTGGTCTTACTGTATCATACCTCTAAAAAATATAAATGCAGGTTGAAATGAATTCTAATTTCCATGATGAAAACCTAGGTAGCCTTTTTTAGAGAAAAACAAAAAAGCTTCTATCAATTTTTGTGTTTAAACCCTGAAACATGATAGCTTGGGGGAATGTGGAAAATCAACCCCAACTTTTAATTACAGCAATTCAGCCCTGCAAACCTATTAACAGTGTAATCAACTCCAATCGCTAATTTGCAGACACTTTCATAGAAACAAGAGCATATACAATCCTAAATATAAAGACAAAATACAATCTAATATGTGGCAAAATCCACCCTAATCAACCACTTTATATCCTTTTCCTTTTGCTGCAGCCTGCAAGATCTATTCTGCAGAATAACAGAATTAAACATTTTGTTGTGTAGCAACAGTACAGCATTTGGGAGATGGAAATTTGGTTTTTAGCAGAAAATTACAAAGGGGGTGGTGGCTGGAAAAGTGGAAAAAGGAAAGTTGTTGTGTTTGTAGTGGTGGTGGTGGGGTGGTGTTTAGAATGGTGGTTGGATTCTTTTGTTTTTTTTGTAATCAAAACAACATAGCAAATGGAATGGTTTTTCATTTCATTCTCTTTCAATCCCATTGTTCATTCCATTCTGTTTACCTTGTGCGAACCAAACGGCCCCTAAATATTATGAGAAAGTCCAACACACTTAAAGCCCTCCAATGACTCATTTATGCCACTATGAAACATACTCTTAGTTTTGAAGGGGGCACCATAAAGCAAAATGTCTTTGCAGCCTAGCCGCAAGGCAAAGACGCGCGTCTTTTGTAGGTGAGGCACTTCATGTACATAAGAAAATACATTGATTTCTATCAAATAAGTCTAGAAAAGGAATTCTGAGAGAAGGTGAAAGGTCTTTGTAATCAATAGCTAGGGTTCTTTTTATTGAATTGTGGGATATGGAGTTTCTCTGTCCTCAAGAATTTAAGTAAACCTGACAGTCACAAAGTCCCCTGGATTTTTATTTTTATTTTTTTATTTAATTTTTATTATCTTATGCATTTACCAATTAATGTGATAGACTAAATGGGGTTGCCACCTAGGTATAATGGGAAGCATTGGACAGCAAGGCACTATCGGACAAAACTCATCAATGAAACACTAGGGAAGGAGTAACAAACGCATGCTGTTTTGATACTCTGTGGAATAGTGACAAAGATAATTAATATTAAGTTATCTTTGTTGTCTAGTGTAGCTTGCTTGATTATATAAGGTGTAGTAGTATAGCAGTAGAAGGCATGAGATTTGTACTGAGGAAATGAGAGAGAATGGTAATCTCAAGTTACTTAGAGAGCGATAACCTAAAGTTATCAAGGAGAGTAATAGCCTAAAGCTATTAACTTACCAATTTGTAACCTCTTTTGCCATTATAAATCAAACTTCAAGCTTCCATCTTTATATATTTTCCTTCTTAAATAAGAAATACTTAGCTAGAAATTCAGTCTATAACAGATGCCTGACAACATAAGGCGCAAAGGCACAAGAAGCAGCCTAGAAAAAAAATCCATATGCACACGCTTTTTGTAGGTCTTCGAGACTTGTAGAGTTAAGGCGCTAGCTCTTGTGCAGTCGTGCCCTGCGCCTAGGCAAGCTTTTTATAACTGAAAACATACTAAACATATACATTACACAAAGTTGGAAAGGTCTACTGTGGACATAAATCCAAGGGACAGACATGTCTACTCCTTTTTTTGGTGTTTTGTACCGCATTCACTCCAATCTCCACAGGGTAACATAATTCATGAGATAAAAATAGGTTACAAAGAAATTAATATAAAAATCACATTCACCAAAGGGTCTTGATAAATCAATGACCTAGTGACACTTTTTAAGATTCAAATGAAAAAACCCTAGTAGAGCGCAACTACAAAAGATGATTGGGCCCAACCACCAATTTAAGATTATATAGACACAAACTTAAAATATAAATGAGGGTAATAGCAGCTAATCGAATACCCAAGCATATGATATACTTCCTTCGTTCTTATTCAATTGCAACAGTGCAATTTTGGGAAGTTTCACAATTGCTGCAACAATAGTACAATACTATCTTAGAATGAGTTCACACTATAAGCTACAAGTTTACACTTTCCAAACCACTTGTTTACCCATATATCTCTCTCTTCTATTGATAATCACATAGGGGTCATTTGGTCCAAATTTCCTCCTTTTACTTTTTCTTCAAACTTGGGCTAGCTCATGCACTTGCTATTGTTGCAATGATATAGAAGGAAAGAAGTAGATTAGATCATAATGCCATTCTAAATAGTTGAATTAATCTACAAAGAGAAGTGATTTATTTCAGCACAGCTGAAATGCAAATAGCATATCCGTTAGCAGAAGCTCCTTGTCCAAACTAGATGCCAACTTAGCAATACTATAGAACCTTGATTCCTTCAAGATCTTCCTACAGAGTTAAAGAAGACTATTCATAAAGATTTTATGTTTGCCACTCCTAATTCATAGTCTTGATAAAATAAAGTTCCCCGTGCTTACCAACAGAAAGAACTTCAATTTTTCACTTCCGGAAAGAGCGCCAAAATATTGTTGCAGGCATTTAACTTTTACAGCCTTTTTTTTATACAGATTACTCTTTTTTGAACATGAAAAGGTTATAGAATGTGTATAAAGCCACACGTCAGCCTTGGAAATATATAACTTTTATGAGACATAATACAAGCAAGCACATTCAAATGACCTTCATAGAGAAATCAAGACTTCCGATAGAGTAAACAAAAGGTATCAATACTTCACGCTAACAAAAATTAAACAGCGTCAGAAATTATGTACCCTAAGTAGTTCAGTACATATAACCGACATTCAAACATACAATGACACAACATTAGTGACGTGTAGATGCATTGGTAACCAATAAAACACCTAAATCAATCATTTCAGTCAATAAGGTAAATCACTTACCCTTGCGTTCATCTGATGCATCATGGTACTCTTCATCCTCTTCGACTGCCCTTACTTCTTCTGCCTCAGCCACAGGAACCATTTCGTCATCTCCATCATTTCCTTCCTTTTCATCAGGATAACGCACAACCACTACAGGACAGACACAGTGGCGCACACAATAATCACTGACACTCCCAAGCCTACCATTGCTTCCTCTTTTAGATGCACCAAAACCACGACTTCCCATTATTACAGCATTGAAACCCAACCGCTCTACCTCCAAACATAGTCTTTCCTTCATGTCATGGTCTTTAACAATATGAATTTTGTATGGCACCTAAAACAGTAATGGAAATTAAACAACATCAGCACTAATGTCACTGCTTGATAACATCTTAAACTAAAAATATTAATACCATTAATGTACATTTGAACCAATATTGAGCAAAAAACATAGTAGTCTAATTTTGGATTTCCCTGAGTCAGTGGAAGGAACTATGTATTACTCAACAACCCCCTGATTTGAAAATTTATCTTCACTCTCTTAGAAACCCAAAGTGATTGCTCATTTCATACAACATAAACTACTACCAAGCTGAAAAAAGAGACAAAGATTCAATCATTTTCTAGGCGAACTCACTATGACATAGGCAAATGCAAGAACCCAGTGAACCTGTCACCATAAGTTGCATGAATGACTTTTAAATTAGAAATAAAAAATTCTAACCAGTGACTACAAGGGTCAAGTCAATACCTCTACAAGGTCAACAGACTCAATACACAACACCACCATAACATTTTCATGAGAAGATAGAAAAATCAAAAAGTCCAACCCAACAAAGTAAACAAATGACATCCCCAGAATTGACAACTTCATCACCTTTCAACAATCGGTTTTTTTAAAGTTAATCGCACCTACCGGCCACCACATAATCTGCACTCAACCATAATTGATTAATTGCATAATCAATAAGTTACCTTGTTATATTTCCCAATCAAAGCCTTCAAAAATCCCACTAAACCCATCACTTAGGCCCAAATTTTGCAAATGTACAATCAAAATAATTACCAGTGTCTGTGATAAATTTCAATACAAACACGACAAAGATTACAGCTTAATCATCACAATTCAACAAGAGTCAAACTAATGCTGATCATCAAAATGACAGTAATCAGCAAATCTCTACAAATCCCAAGTCAAAAAACCCTCTAAATTTACCTAGAAACAATCAAAAATAGCGAAATTAACAGGTTTAGAGGATCAAAATGGACATCACTGTACATTTATACAAAACCCAGATTACTAAACCCCTAAAATTTCAACATACCAAGTTAGGGATTAGATTTTGCAGAACCCAAATATTTCACATGTACAAAAATAGAAACATTGGAAAAAACAAGTCTTTTAAAATCAAACAAATAACAAAACCCCAGATGACAAAAGCCCCCCAATCATCCAAGATTAGGTCATTTACGCAAAATTAGAATTGGGTATTCACTTAATCAAAAATCCCAACAAAACCCTTATAAAAACAATTACCAATTCTGCAACAAAATCAAAAATCAAACCTGAGCTTGAATAAGGGGTTGAGCAAGATCAGCAGCCTTAGAACTAGTAAAAGCGTCGAAATCATCTTCAAGCTTCTGATGGGACTCTTCATTATCATTACCCTCAGCATTATCAGAAGCAGAAAAATCGACGCAACCCCAATCAGCGCCATAAAGTACAGAAGTAGGACGAACATGAAGAAGAACAACAGCATCACCAGGACGAAGGTAATGGTCAACAGCCCATTTAACAGCAAAAGCACTTTCGTCGCTCAGATCCACAGCAATCGCAATCTTCCTCGCCGCACCAGCCGTCGGAGTCTCGGCGGCGGCGCCAGTTGCGGTGGCTGTTGGGGTTGAAACAGTCACTCTTGGCGAAGATGATGTTGTTGATGCTGGTGGTTTTACACGAATTGGTGGCATTTCTGGGTATGATTGATTTTGTTGATCTGAAAATGGGTTTTGTTGATTACTTGCCATTTTTTATTTTTTTGGGGTTTTTTCGATTGATTTCTAGGGATTAATTTGGGTTGAATTTTGGGGGTTTTGGTTTTCTATGTTGTTGTTTGTCAAATGAAATGGATTTTGTTATGGTATGGTCTTATTATGAGGAAATTATTTACTAATTTAATTTATTTTTTATGTACCTAATTTGAAGGGGTGATGGTTTTGGGGCTAATTAATGTGAAGGAGTGTTGATTGGGTTAAGGTGAGTTATAACTTGGAAGGGATAAAAGTTTGGTTGGGCTAAACCTAACTTTGTCTACATTTTGTCTTATAGTTTCAAGTTTGATTTTGTTGTTAAGAGTTGACTCAGTAGTTGATTCCATTACTCAAAAAAATCAAATACAAGTACTCCGTACAAAAGAAGAGGTATTAGTGGTAAAAAAAATAATAAAAAAAAGTATTAGGTAAAGTTTCGCTTACTTAATAACAAGACTCTTATCTTAAATTCTAAAGATATGAGGTTCAAATTCTACCTTGAAAGTGGCGTGGGGATCCCTTTACTTCACCTCATACTATCAAGTAAAACCCACATATTGGACCAAAAATACTGTTACAATTTGAGGTTAGAATGAAAGAATAAGGTTAGATTGAGCTTGCTGCCTTGTTTAATCAATTTCTTTAGTTAGCAAGTTGGATAAAGTAAAACCCGGCCAACTCGACCAGTGCATCTACTAAGTGGCCTGGGTAGAGTTATCTTAAATGTTGACCGGCATTGTCCAAAAGACCAAAACTATTCCAGCTAATCTATAGGCCTGGGTAGAGTTATTTGCGTCTACATTTTCCATCTTAATTCTATATCACAAAATGATTTATAGAGGGAAAAAAAGTACCACTAAAATATCTTATTTGAATGTATCTATTCTTATCTAAATAAATAAATAAAAAGCGCTTTTGCCTTGTAAAATTAGTACTACCTCCATTTTTTTTAGTTGACACCGCTTGAAGGTTTTTTTAGTCCGGTATTTGCGGGTCAGATACTTTGAGAGTGAGGGGGAAAGGTAAGGGATCCCCACCCTCAAGGTGTCCCTAGTGGGTATTGAACCCCCAAGCTCAAAGTTGGAAGGTGACAATCTTACTATTAGACCAAGCTTAGCTTGGTACTCAAACTAGTAAATTGAGTGTACTTAATTACAACTTATACAACTAGTACAATACAAGTATATGTTGTGCAAAGGAATATCCTTGGATGTACTAAAATAAAATGATGGGCTCAACTATGCTGAGAGTGAACTGAGTTTGTAATAGACCTAATAAGGCCCAAGTCAGAAAGGTTGTGTTTACCACTCAACCAAGTTTCTTTCTTAAAGTTGTGTCTATTTTTTTCCTTTTTTTTTCCTATGGATAAAAACTCTAAAGTCACACAAAAATGTCCAAAAAAATTGAATATAAAAGTACATTGCAAATTAAATCAAAGTATAATTTCCTCTCCACAAAGCTATGATAATCTTTCCTCTCCACAAAGCTATGATAATCTTTCATATTAAACACATTTTTTATACTGTTATAATTTGCAACTCTTTCTAATGAGGAGGTTTATAAATATGTTATATTCGTAAAGATGATTTTAATCTGATTTTACATTGCCTTTTATTCTTAAAAAATCTTCATCAAAGAAAATGTTAAAACCATCATTGAAGAAAATGTTTGGACTATAATAAACTCAAACAACTTTTTAAATTTTGGTAATAATATGAAATAAGTTTGGGTAACCCAAAAAAGGAGGAGAAAAGTTTGATCCACATGCAAATAAGGCTTATGAGATTCCATACTAAAACGTATTTGCAATAGTAGGAGTAACTCTTCTACCTTATATAATGAAATCATCTCTCTTCTTTGTCCAACGTGAAACACTTAAACATGGGCTATAATGGGTTTCTAACACAACTCAACTAGGATTAATCTCATCACAAGGGTCAAGGGGAATCATTAACCACTCACAAATTTAATTCCAACATTGTGCTATTTTAAAAGTCAATAGGGAAGAGGTTAATCAAGCTCACCTTTCTTGCTAACTAGTGTTGGCTTCTTCGCTCCTTGTTTTTATCTTCTTTTACCTTTAGGGCATGTCCATATTTACTGAATTAATTGGAACTAAACTGATCTAGACTGAAGTGAAGTGAAATAAATATTTTATGAGAGAAGAAAATTAAGAGATGAACTAAACTGAACAGAATTGAACTTATTGGAGTTGAACTGAACTGAACTGAAATTAAGCTAAAGTGATCAACAAGCCCTTAGTAATTTTTATTTTATTTTATTCTTGTGTTCTGCTATTGTAAAAAAATTAAAAATGAAAAAATAAATAATGAAAAATAAATAAATTATTCCATGTTAAGTACAAAGACATAACCCATGAAAATCCTATAAACTTGATAGTTTAATTTTTGACAACAACTTGATAGTTTAATTGTTTTACGTCCATATTACCATATGTATTCTTAACGTATGTGTCAATTACAAATCCAAGTTCTTAGCTAGTTGACGACTTGATGGTGGTTTGGGTTTTTCTAAAAGTAGTGCACAATACATAGTAAATTCATGAATGGTATAACAACACTAGATCAAAGATTTTCCTCAATTTAACCTTTATGACTCTAAATTATACTTCATACTTAGTTATAACATGGTTACATTTGTGTTGCATTTTTCATATACAAAATATACTTGATACTTGAATTATGGTTTGGATGACTTTGCATATCTTTCATTTGGGTACTTCAAGACAATATATATGCTCTTTTGAAGTTTTCAGCTTGCTGGATTCTTAAGGTTCCTCACAGCTGGATTGCTCCTACTCGTTGGTTGTGAAAACTCGACATGACAATTTATTTATTTATTATTATTTTTTTATGCTTTTAGTTTTATTGTGTGTTTTGTGTTTATTTGTTAGAGCTTCTTGTAAATAAATAATAAATAAATACAAAATAAAAAACCTCCATATAAGGATATTAGAATCGATAGCAAATGGATTGATGTTTACTTGTTTTATTATGTTAAAGAACATGTAATACCGTTACTCATCTTGTAACGAGGTGGAAATTCGAATATACGAGTGTGAACTTGGAATATGTACGTTTGCATTCCTTCCTCCAGAGCATTATAACTTTGGCCGAATTTTTCATATTTAACATATGCTCTGTTTTCCTCTAAGTTATATTTTTAACATTCTCCTTATTTTTTTCTTAAAAAGTATACAATCCGACATAATTTGTTGATAGTCGTCCGCACTATAGTGAGAAGATAAGTATTTAAAGTAAGCAAACTTAACAATAAAAGTGGACGTGCCGGAGTGGTTATCGGGCATGACTAGAAATCATGTGGGCTTTGCCCGCGCAGGTCGAATCCTGCCGTCCACGCTTTTTATTCTTGTTTAGTATTACATAAGTCTTGTTTGATTATACTCCGTTCTCTTTACGTACATATTGACCTAATCAAAATTTGACCGTGTTTTTACTTTTATTGTATAAGAAAAACATTATATTCCTTTAATCCGATTTCTAAGTAAAATTCAATTTATTCTAAAAAATTCATTAATTGTGAAACTCCGAATTAAACAAATATCATGTATTTAATTAGGGCTGGTTCACATTTACTGAACTGAGCAAAACTAAATTGAACTGAACTGAATTGATTGGAGCTGAAATGAACTGAACTGAACTGATTGGAACTGAACTGAATATTTAATGAGAGAAGGAAATTAGGAGCTAAACTGAACTGATTGGAGCTTAACTAAAATAAACTGATTAGAACTGAACTTAAATTAAGTAAATGTGAATAGGCCCTTATTTTTAAAAGATTTATCTTATAGCTTATGTAGATTACATGTTAGTCGTACACTTTTAATTCCTTATAACAATCTAAGGTTTTAAGTCTCTATTTTGAAGGAAATTAGACCACCTTATATCGAATTTTGAACACTACTAGTATGATTTTTGGTAAAATGTTGTACTTAAAGTATGTACTACAACAACGGTAATGTCAGATTAGTGATCAAGTACATAAAAACAATGTACTCGGTAGTGTAGTAGCCAACAAACAACAATTTTAATGAAATAAGATACAGAAAGACTAGCTAGCTGTAAATTCTGAGTTTTTCAGCCAATCAAAAAAAAAAAAAGAAAATTCAATGATTGTTAAAAATAGACAATAGTGAAATTTTGCTATTTGTAAGAGTAAAGTAAGGGTCTGTTCTGATTTACTGAACTAAGCTAAACTAAACTAAACTGAACTGAATTAAGTTGAACTAAATTATTTATGAAATATGAGAGAAGGAACTAAGGAACTGAAGTGATTTGAGCTGAACTGCATTGAACTAAACTGAATTGGATTAAGATGAAGAGAACATATCCTAAAGTCGGCAGATTAACCGATTAGTTTAGACATACTATCAGTCTGCTATCTGCTGCCCCTCTTACATTTACCATTCTTATGCTTCATATTTCTAACTTTGCTTTTTAGTTTGTTTGTCCTGTTTTTTTGGGGTATTTTCATGTATTACTCACATTATAATAATGTAAATATGATACTTGTATTTGATATGTTCTTTACGGGATTTTATGCATTACCTAAAATAAGATACAGTGAATTCTGTAAGTAGAGCTAAAAAAAAAAAAAAACAGAAGCCTATTATACTATTCCTCTATTTGTTTGAACTTTCAAGAGTCTGCTGTTATAGAGACACATACAGAGAGATTTGGTAGCTAGTCTAAGGGTGTTGTTTCTAGATATGTAGATATGTAGCCAGTGCTATATTTAAGGCTTCAACTTTGGTACTAGAATTCACCATTTTGGGATTTGAAAATATTTGAAATTATCCTTAGAAAAAATCACTTCCTACATAAGCGTAATAAATAAAGTACATTATCTTAAATAAAATGAAATTTTTTAAGTAATATAAAAGTCCGAAAAGGGTGTCAAATAATTAACATTTTTTTGACAAGAAATAATCAATATTACGTACTCCCTCCATCCCTAAATTACATTTATCCTTTCTATTTTTGGTATTCCAAAATTACATTCCTCCTTTCTATTTTTGGTAAGTTTTTTTTAGTAAATCAACTCTCTTTTTCTGTTTTATATTTAATGCTTTCTCACTCATGCTTACCTAATCTCACTCATAATCCTTGTGTCAAATTACAATGAATATGATTGGTTAAAAATTTTCAATTAGGAGCATGTGATAGGTCCTTTTTTTTTTTGCAAAGGATTGATGACATGTCATGAGCAATAACTAATCTATCTTTGTACTTCTCATTGCATTATCTAATTATTGTTATTTGTCTTATTCTTTCCTCCTTAATTCCCGTGTAAATTTCCAAAGAGGAATGTAATTTAGGGACGGAGGGAATATTTATTAAAGAGGTCAAATTTCTAATGGTGTTGTATGTAGGGACAACCAGACAACATACAGTAGTTGTATGTGTATCAGCTCTTCTATTAGTACTAATTGCGAACGGGATAAAGTGATGATGGAAAAGAGACAATTATATCAGCGAATTCATAGAATATCTTTGATTACCATGTACGATTGTACAAATATTAAGGACGTGTTATAAAGGTTGGGACGACATGACTAGCAAATAGGAGTTTTGTACATCTATACAGTAATACGAAGTAGACATTTGATTACGATGTTGTCTTAGCTAGCCTGTCCAACCCGACCCTTAAATTAAAAACATTATTACCCCATATCTCATGAAGATTCATATAGCTCATACATTAATAGAATGCATGCCCTAGATCAAGCCAAAGCTACTTGGGACATATAACCACTAGCATATAGGTGTAGCTAGCTAGCTAAAATGACTCCAAATTAATGGGGACATTAACACTTAAATGAAAAGGCACCCTCCTCAACCCTAACCCTTATCCCTATAATAATATTCCTTGGGATCTGAAAAACTCCTTGATCTGCTGCTTCATTCATAGGGGCATATGGAATTTTAGATCCCTAGAGAAAACCTTAGCTTTAAACTTCTCCTTTATCCGGAGTCCGGTATACTCCCTTCGCTTCAAAATATAAAAGTATTCGTGCTTTTTCCGATTATTTTTACCAATATATTATTGGTTTAAAATCCATCGGAACAAAAATGTGCAACGCAAAGTTAACTCATGCCTTGAGATCACAAAGCTAGATAGGGAAAAGCTTAGCTTATTTGCAACTACCAATCTGGCAATCTCAAGAACTTTGTGTACTAGCTACTGTCTACTTGTGCAAAAAGGCACAATTTAACTGAAGTTTATACTCAGAGAACTCATCGAGTACCATTGATTTGACATTTTTCATCATTTGGTCAATCTCACTTTACAAATAATGTTGTTCATCATCAATATATAATTGGCTGACAAGCTACCAATTTTAATGTGGAAATGTAATGATAATTGGATAAAGTCTTGTATGAATCTATGATGGAGACATATTAAATTGGGGTAGATGATGTATTGTCGAGACTGTTTCACACTAATTCATTCATTTATTGTTAGTTACCCTGATCATAATAAATTATACCGTAGTGTGGTAATCTCATACGAGTATATACATTAACCTGTCCTCATGGTATAATCCTTAGTCAGAAATGTGGCATTGCTTTATTTTTAGCTTATAAAATGTACAAGTATAAAATTTAACATATATGGACAATTAAGCTCCAGCCCTTGTCCCATACATATAAGTCAATTACGTGAAAAACACAATTTAGAGGCGGAGGGAGTAGAAACATACCACTACAAGTACACAATCATGTCATAACTTTAAAGCAATGCTTAATTTGTGTGTTAGATTAACAAAACAGCAAATAAGTGCTGAACATCAAAAACTTTGTCAAAGTACAATCATACTAACTGCATTGGCCATCTAAAAACTGAATCATAGATCCTGAGCACTTTAATTAATGTTGCATTGCTAAAACAAAATACAAGTAAATTAAAATTAAAATCATGCATATTTATTTATGAATCTTAAATTATAGAAGTATATACTGTACATACCCAATCAATAAATGTCTAGGCTTTATATTTATCATTATTATCATAAATAACATAAGATTCACTCATTTAATAATCACACCCAAGAAAGATACTACAATACCCAATATAAAAACATACTTGTACTATATTATAAATTGATAATTAATGTCATACTACAGTTTTGGTAGCAGAACAAGAACAGACTTACTGCAAGAAAAGGAGTAAGCAAAAGAAGCAAAATTTAATCAGTACTTTTTAGGTTTAGGTCTGATCATTTCACTAAATTATGTAAAATAACAGAAAGTTAATTTCTCATCCCCACCAAAAAAAAAAAAAAAAAACCCATTAATTGATTAATAATTACAACTTCAAATTAAGATCAGATTTTAGTAAGAAAAAAAAAAAGTAGTAATTAATTTTTAGTAATTAGAAAGCTTTAAGGACAAGTCAACAGAAGAGTTGGAAGTAGTTGTAGTTGATGTTGTGAGAGAAGATAAGGATGATGATGAAGAGGGAGATGGAGAAGGTGATGAAGAATCTGAAATAAATCCCATTTTTAGGTTTAAATCTTCCATTTTGTTGTAGTAATTGTCGATGTTGTTATCATTGTCGTCGCGGTCGAGTTTGATCATGTTTTCTTCTGATTTTCCTGGGAAAAATCCATACTCCATCATTACATTTCCTGATCCACTCCATTTTCTGTGAATTGCTACCACCTGAAATATATTTTGTTCATCATTTTCTCATTATTATTTGACCAATTTATATTAGAAAATAGAGTTAAAAACATACCCAACAATTTTCATCAACAAATTTATAAAACTAAAATTTGAAATTATAAAATATCTGTTATCCTTTATATTTTAACATACTTAGAATTTACAAAATATTATAAACTTTGAGAATTTAATTATAAATTTTATGCTAGCATTTCCTTTACCAAAAAAAAAAAAAAAAAAGGTGGTGATTAAAAATCAACAAATATACTCAGCTCCATAACATTCTTTGAATAATTCTATAAATTACATAAATTAAAAACTGAAAAATTAAATATTGAAATTTCTGTAAATTGGTACTCTTGGTCATATTGTATAAACTTTGATAAATTAGTAATTTATGTTAATGTTTTTTTTTTTTAAAAAAAAAGGTGATGAAAAACAAACAAATTCAATATGAATACCTCACTGCCACTGGTAGTAGTAGGAAGAACAGAAAATCCTCCATTGTTAAATGCCAAGAATTGATTATAATTGTCTCCATTTTTCAGATCAAAGCCACCAAAATGACCATTATACCCTTTTGAAAACCCTATTGTTTCCTCACCAATTACCCTCTTCTTCTGTAACATCAAATCCAAACCAAATTTCAGTTATTAACTATTATTTTAAATACAGATATATAATCATTTATCCACTTATAATAATAATAATCACCCAACAACCCCTAAAAAAATGGGTTTAATTATTTTAAATTAAAAAATCAATGGAACAGTAAAAATAATTATCAGTAAAAAATAATAAGCAAACCTTGAAAGAAGTAAGAAATGAGTGATCAAGTGAAGAAGGGTTTGGCATTGAAGGAAGCTCTGGATAGTAAGGAGCTGAAGCTGACTCAGGAATGCCGACCCGGTGAGTCAACCTCGGGTCAGAAACGGGTTGACCCGGTAAACAGTAACGAATCAACGGTACACCGGAAATCGGGTTATTCGAATGATGAAAAGACGGGCTAACCCGCTGATCAGAACAAGGCGAAGGCAAAGGGGAGGAGTGTTGTTCATCAAGAAGGCGAAGGCGTTCGAGCTCAGCCATTCCAACACCCCTTTGAGGAGTCTTGTTTTTAGGACCATTTTGGGACTTGTTGCCGCTCTTTCGGCCTCGAGATTTGGGGTTCGATACCGACTTAAGGATGGGGTAGTGATGGTTTGTGGGTTGTGGTGGGTTGATGATGGACCATTGGTTGGTGTTGGTGTTTGAGGAGGTTGTGTTTGGGTCATTATTGTTTGAGGTGATGAAATGAAGAGGAGTTGCCATTTTTTAGGGTAGAGAGAGAAAGTGAAGGAGTGGAGTGAAGGTAGAAAAGAAGAAGAAGATGAAGTGTGGTGTGGTGTGGTATAAAAAGGGTGAACCAAATAACATGAATTTCAGTCAGAAAGAAATTTGGTCTTTTGGATGTTGTCCTTTTCATTGCTACTCTTTTTTTTGTTTTTGTTTTTTTGATGTGAGTAAGGAAATGCTCAAATGCTAATAACATGAAATATATGGCTAGTGTATAATGATGACCAATGATATACAAAGTATAGAATTTATGTTTAAAAAAAATGATAATTGATAACTATTAAGATGATTCTAATAAATTATATATCCGCATGGGACATGACTACTCGCTCTGTGAATCTGTGTATTTAATCGTATGTACTCTGTATGAGTTATAGTACAAATGAAGGCCAATGTAGTGTATGTTGGTAGTGCAAAAGTCAAATTTTGAAATGGATTATAAGTATGATGTATGTGATTATTATTTTCGGACAAATGTATGTATGAAGTATGTTTGATTTGTATTTGGCTTGTAACACTAAGATAAGAGAACATATATATTTCTCATTATTATTTCTTTAATTAATTTCTCCATCTATCCCTTTTTGTATTTTGTGTAAGTTAAAGTTGTAATCATGATTTTCAGTGGATGATAAATTTGTTCTAAGCAATAATTCTCTAAAATAGATATCCTAGTAGATTTTCCCAAATTAATGTACTTCGGAGTACATAAATAAATTAAACATGAATGTATTCAAAATGTCCACCCTTGACCTAAGTCTTCGGTCTACCAATTGAATAAATCTTCATTTTAATAGCCGTTTCAAATGGCAAGGGATATGTAAAAGAAATTATCCAAGAAATAAAATTTTCTCAAATTTGAAGAAATTTATTCTATGTAACAAGCTAAGCAGATAAGGGTATGATTAGGGGTGACAATTCGAATTAGCAGGTCGGGTTCGGATAAGATTTCGGGTCGGTTTCAGGTTATGCTTAGAAACTATCAAAAATAGTGTAAAACTTAATATTATTATGAAATATGAAACTTGGGTGAAATCGGGTTGAATTCGGGTTGTTTGGATTCGGGTCGAGTCGGGTCGTGTTTCTCTCAGTAACTTCAGGTCGGGTTAGGGATTGTCGGCCCTAGGGTATGATATATCTTTGTTTCAACAAGGATATAATATCTTTGTTGTTTATTAAGTTGGTACAATGTATTAGGACATGATAATTTTGTTTCAAGCATTTTTTACCCTAACTTGTCTAAAATGAGTAATGTGAATAAAACCATTATATCAAACCAACAATCCCTATCAACTTGCACATCATCATCATCAAAATAAAAGTAGAAAACTCAAAACATGCTAATTAGTATGAAACGATGATAATACTTCTATTTGACAAAGGAAGTCATCTTTGGGAAATGACTTTGATACAAATAAGATACACTTCATAACATATACGTAACAAGATATTCTAAATATACAGAGTATAAATTATATTGGCCTAAATTTCACGGTAATTGACTACTACGTATGTATGTATCCATAAAGTTGTAAAGATTATCTGTTTATGGATACAATTGTGTAAAAATAATTCCATTCGCATTAGAGTTAGTTGAATAAACATATATCTCGATCAATAGAAATGCTCAACTCAAGCGAAATTACACAAAAACACAATTCTACATATTAACACCCTTGAACTTATTCATGGATCATAATGTAGACGTTCCTTAGAATCAATTTGGAACTAAGTGGTACTACTAACAAAGATTTGAGATATATAGTTTCATTTGGTGGATCATAGATGAGCTGAGTTAGTTTGCAATAAAATAAAAAGAACTATTAATAAAAAAAAATAAAAAAAAAATCTTGATCAAGGTAATCAGTGAATAATGACTTTAACATTGTGGAACGGATGGAGTATAGAGCATGTTATTTCTAGATTAACACTAAGGTCTGTTGATATTTACTGAATTGAGCTAAACTGAACTGATTGGAGCTGAACTGAACTGGACTAAGCTAAAATGAATAATTTATGAGAGAGTGAAATTAGGAGCTGAACTGAACTGATTGGAACTAAACTGAACAGATTGAAGCTGAACTGAACTGAACTAAACTTAAGTAAATGTGAACAGGCCCTGAGGAGAAAACTCGGATTAATTGTAATGATTAATCGTAAGACATTGTGAAGAGCAATGCAAGTTGATTGGTCATAATTAATACTATTAACTAAAGGGATCAATCGATATGCTAAGTATAGTTATGGTATAAGTTTAGAGCTCAAGCAAAGGAAGCTATTAATATTATTGGCTTATTGCAACTTTCTTAGCATTAATAATGTGTTACAACGTGCATGTATAATCAAGTGAGTTAGAAGAATAAAAAAGATTATACACAATCAAGAAATTAAATGAATCGACCCTCAAAGTTCAATTTCTTCTACGCTTCCCATTGTTTAATTTCAAGGAGGTAAATAAGGATATGATGCTAATTTATCACAAACAAATCACACAATAAGGATATGGTAAAATTAACATGATTAATGCTAAATTATAGTGGAATTGGTTTTTGTCACATTACAATTTCATTTCATGTTGTTATATAATAGATAAGTTAATTAGTGAAGATGGAGATTTTTCAGGCCTTTTTAAACATAAAATTATTATTAAAAAAATATATATATATATGAGAAATTGTATAGGACAAGTAGAAAAAAATAAAGGTGAGAATACTAATAAATAAATAAAAAATAATAAAAAAAAATAATGTGATGATGAAAATGAATTTTATGGTGACCTTACTACTAGAAGCAGTTAAAAGTGGTCCCTAAAAAAAGGGAGAAAGAGGGAGGCGGAAAATGCAGGAGTGGTCGGGACCAAAAGAGGGGTTGGGTGATGGTCGAGTACCAAAACAAGAGGTGGCTCATGGTTAACGCACCTTCTGTCACCCTTCCTTTTTTTGGTAACTTCATCATTACCCTTTCCTTTTTTTTTTCCTTCATTTTCACCTCCTTTTTTTCAAATAAATAAATTAATAAATAAATAAAAAATAATTTGTATTTATCCTACAACACTTCATAGATTAGCTATTATTTTTAATAGAGAAATTAACTCTACGATAATTTGGGTTCGACCTTGTAACCTCAACTCTAGGTTACAACGTGAATCATCAAACAACTACATTACGTGTGATATTCGGATTATAACCTGACAACATGGAAATTGATGATGAAAACATCAATGTAGAACTTAAAACACCAATGCCACCAAGCCAACCCCTAGGTGGCACAATTTAGAACTTAAATTGACATATATTGATTGTATTGTACACAGGTATCAGACAACCAGATCAAAGAGATATATCAACCCTAATCACAAGTTCCCTAATCTATACCCATAGTAGTAGTTATATAAATCATAGTCCATAATAGTAATAAATCATTGTGGGTTGTACGTACTCAAGTAATATATGCTTGATTTATTGATTCTATGGGGTATTTATTACTTAATTCACAAAAGACAAAATTGTATGACAGTCAAATTTTCATTATATACCATGTAACTATACATACATAACATGACTGTATGTTCATAATACTTGAACACTTAAGTACGGAGTAATAAATGTAATACGAAGCTTCTGTTATTACCTGTTATCTTACATTTCAAAATAATAACACATTATCATTGTCAATTTAGCTCATAACTAACAAGGAGTACTCGTAACATTTTACACAATATCGAACTACCTTAATTTATCTTAAATACGTAGTACAATCGATCATGGTCATTATATGGATGCAAGCTACGGAGTACAATATTTGAAAACAAATTCCAAATCACTGAATTTACAAGCAATAATGTGTATGTATAGAAAGATTGAGTAATTAATAAATTGATACGGGTGTGATGAAGGGCAGTACGAGTAGAGATAATAGGCGTATAGGGTTTGGGAGCAGCAGCATGTAATTCAATTGTGGAAAAATGGTATCAAAAAGCTGCCCCATGTGCTTCCTTTTTCTTTTTAACTGGGGTTATGTTAGACCTTGTCCACCCTTCTATTTTACAGTATACCTCTCTTGTTTTAGACCACTATATGAAAATGATGTCCAATTATCTCACCCATCATTATTTTATTTAATTGACCATACAAATAAAAAATTGATTTAATGGTAATCGAGTTGATATTAATTTTATAATGTATGACAAAAAACATGCATTGATCGATAATGTACTAGTGTTTGATTTAAGTCTGTATTTTCACTTAATTATAATGTACTCCCTCTTATCACAAATAATCTTTCTATGTTCTTATTTAAATGTTTCATAAAAATCTCCAGCTCACTTAATTTGAAAATTCTCATTTAACCTATGTATGTAAATTAAAGTGGACCCTATCATGACTCTGCTAACATCTTCTTCTTTCACACAGTCATACCCTCACTCCACCCTAATAAACGCCTCAGTACATTATACATATCTAATAAGTCTGATAGGATGAGGACGGAGGGAGTATATCATATTCATATTAAATAGCTTAATTCTTCAAATAATTTAATATTATTCCTCTCATGACTCTCATCACCAATGTAAATATAAATGTAGGAGTAGATCGATCTTTTCCCAAGTAATGGTGATTTTCTTATCCACCGTTGCTTCCCATACATAAGGCAATGTTTCCATATATAATTTGAAAATAAGAGGTTTCAGTTCCCACCTTAGCTAGAAGCTAGAATTTGCTAGGTTATGATTATTATTATCAACCATCAATGATGTTTGTACCAAAAATAGAAAAGAAAATAAAGCTGAAAAAAGAGTTGCTTTGTACTAGAATTTCATAAATAATATTTATATATTTCATGAATAATATTATTGCTTAATAGTAAAATACGGAGTACTACCATGAGTTGCTTCATCCAAAATTAATAGTCACGTACTCACGTTAGTTTATTGCGCATTTTTATAGAAGTTGTAGTAAACTAAAAGGTGTCTTTGGAAGGCTTTTCTTATAATCAAAAGGGGGAACGAAGTGTTTTTTTTTTTTTTTATAATAAGGAGAATAATTTATATAGTCTCTTTTTGTATCTTTATTTTTGATCTAAAAGAGGTGTCTTCAATTTAGAAGTTTTGTGTGCAACAGTTTAAGGAAACAAAAGATTTACCCTATTGCTTCTAAAAACTTTGTATTTGTTGATTAGAACCTGTTCTCATTAACTGAATAGAGCTGAACTGAACTTATTAGAGCTAAACTGAACTTATTAGAGCTGAAATGAAGTGAAAATAATATAATAAGAACAGGGCCTAGCTCTTTGTCAATGCATGAGTGTCACATTACACGTATTATATTAAGAGTACTCATGCACAAATGCTTTTTTTTTTGGTAAAGCTTATCTTTAAAACAGGATTCTAAGAGATAAGTTAAAGTGACATCTTATGAGTTATGGAACTTATGATACGTACTACACATCATAATACTTGCATACAAGTAAGGTTGTATTTTATTCACCAATATTTCACTTATCTCCATGATTAACACTCGATTATAAATGACAATAATGGTAAATCAACAATTTCAATACTATGTCAAATTTTACAGATAATTACTTAAATTTTTTTTATACAAAAATTAAGAGAGAGATGCTTTTTAATTGTCAAAAAAAAAAAATATCCTCTTTGTTTTTCTGAATTCTAAGGCCTTGTACCGCCACCTATATATCTTACATCTTACATATGTCTAGAATCATCCCTTAAACATCTAAACATCTATTCATCTAATTATTATAAGAAGTCTAAGAACATACAATTGAAATTTAAATTATGAATTTAAATTAATTGTGCAGTACTCTATTCACCTAAATTATGAATTTACTTATCCGAACTTATCCAAACATCTTATTAAAAACTCAATGATCATTGAAGATAACTTGATTTTATGCCACACTGTTAGATCAAAGAATTCTGTGGTCCCCACATACAGAGGGTGGGTCCAAGAATTGGGATACTATGCCAAATTGAAGTACTAGGTTGGATGAGCTACTCCCTACCTAAGAACTGGAGTCATTCGAATAACGGCTGTAAGGGACTTGTGAAAGAGACTATGTGACACGTGTGATGCTACCATTTGGCACGTGTAAACTATTTAGGAGCTGTTTGCTTAAGTTATAAAATTAATAATTTTTAATAATGCAATTTTTTTTTTTTATCCTATCATTTTATGTGCAAACATAGGTGGATTCTCTATTCTGTAAAAGTGGATATTTGCTTATTAGAATTAATGATTGATTGCGATTCCAAACAGAGTCTTAAACTCATAAAATGGGGACCGTTTCTCACGTGTGAAACCCATAGGACATGGATTATGAATGTTGCAATTTAGGTTATTCATGTGAGTGCTATTTTCTTCATGTGTATTCAATCTAATTTTCTACTCAAGGGAGAAATACTACGTATATTTTTGGTTTTAGTTATATGAAGAATCTAACAATCTTTGTTATATAAGCAAATCCAAAGAGATTCAAGGATATACTTGTATATCATTAAAGGGACATGAATAATGTTGCTCGAGATTGAAAATGATTTTTTTTTCCATAGTTTCATTGGTCATCCATGTTCATTTCTCATTCCTCAATTAATATAAAAAACATAAAATGATACAGTTGAAGAAAATGATCGTTAATTCACTTGCAGAATTTATATGGATATCGGCAAATTGAAGGGAGGCGAATCTATGTCACTTGTTTCTCTATAATTTAGCAAGATCAGTATAAAATTTTGTCAAGTATGAAGTATTGCAATAAGATAACGCAACATTTGGTTATAGGGCTTTTTGTGACTTTAGAGTGTTCAAAATCATAGCAACTTCAACTTCCATTTAACCTTGTTTCAAATTCTTTTTCCTCTTTCGCTTAGTTGGCATATCAACACGAGTTATGCATGACAAAAAACGTGTAACACAAAACGCATCACCAGAACAAATCTCGAATGCATCATTTTATACAGAGTGTATCCGAATTATCAGTTTAAATTGCTACAAAACCCTAGCATCTATTTAGCCATATATAAAGTCTTCATAGAATTAAATTAATACAATATATTGTTGTACTAATAAGAGTAGTTAATAAGGGATGCATGAAGATGAGTAGGTGAGATAGAAATAATGTATGTATGTGTTCCCTATTGGATTGTCACAAAATAAGGTAACTGTTAGTTCCAGTGGCGGACCCAGGAATTTCCGACTGGTGAGTCACAATCGATAACCAAATATGTAAAAAAAAAATTTTACCAAAATTCCTAAGAAAAATTATTTACAAAGATCATCCAAATAGAAAATTGACAAGATTACAATACTAACTTATAATTAACAAGCTTAAAATTGACCTAAAATAATAATCACAATAATTAACAAACTAATTTATTTATTTAATTTTTTTTTTTAAGAAACTTAATAATTTTTTTGGGCCCTGGTGAGTCATTTGACCCACCAGGCACAAAGGCAGGTCCGCCGCTGGTTAGTTCCAACTTTACACAATATGTGTCAAAGCACATCTCATTTTTTTAGCAAAAAAAAGCAACAAAATCCCCCTTTACTCCTTCCTTATTAATTTGTCTTCAAACACTTTATATTTATTTGGCAACATAACCAACAGATCCAACCTTCTCCTGCACTTTGTCTTCTTCCTAAATTGTCAAAAGATTTCAGATCTGAACTGAGATATGCTATGCTCCTCATTTCAAAATTACCATTTTACCCTTCTGCAGTAAAACTCTGATTGCAGTCTTTTTTTTTTTTTTTTTTTTAATAAAATTTAATTTTTTTACAAAAAATTGATTTGATAATAAAAGACAGAAAATGGAAATGGGGTCCACAGAAGGGGTTTTTTGTACTGTAGAATTTATGGGGTGGCAGGATCAAAGGGTCAGTAAAAAAGGATGAATCCTGGCCGTTCAAATGCAGTGACAAATCTGTATGCTAAATATTCGATGTCTCAAATAAAATTCTGTAATTTTCTAAGGATTGGAATTTTGAAGTTATTTTTTTATGAAGTACCCCTTTCCATTGGGTCCACTATACTTGAAGCAGTAAAAAACAGTCACTTTCAGAACTCACAAGGGATGTGATCATATGTTGGTTGCATTTTACCTGTAGTTTGATAAATTCTTGTATTGAGTTTTGTAAGTGGGGTGTAGGATTTTGCTGATTTATACCTCACAATTGTTGGTCCGAAATCTCTCCTAAGTCAACCTAGCCCGGATTATCGGACAAGACACTTTGAGAGTAGGGGAAAAAGTTAAAGGAATCCTCATCTTCAAAGTTCTCCTAGTGGAAATTAACCTCTAACCTTAACGCTCTGTTTGGTTTGATGTAAAACATTTTCAATGAAAATTTAATTTTCACGGAAAACATATTTTCAAGGAAGAGCACAATTGCAAATTAGTTTTCTTTTGTTTGGTTGCATACAAGAAAAGTTCAAGAAATATCAAAAATATGAGTGGGAATGTGAGGGAAGTAATGAGGTAAGGAGGATGGAGTAAAATGTGATTTCCCTTGTATTGTAAAGGAGAATGTTTTCCATCATTAAAAATGCAATTTACCACTATGGGAAAACTATTTTCCACACCTTCACAAACCAAACAAAGGAAAATGGGAAAATCATTTTACATGAAAACAATTTACATCAAACCAAATAAGGCTTAAGGTTGGAAGGATTTTTCCTTACCATTAAGCCAACAATTGGTTTTTCACTCAAACATTTAGGTTGTATAATATAGAGTATGAACTTGTTACAAAAGTAAAAGTCATACCACAATCTTACAATAGGTTACTATAAGTTCGCCTCATATAAGAATTCACTCAAGCAATCCTAGAAGAGGGAGAAACAGGGCTTGATTTGGGAGCTTAGCATGTTCTTAAGAAGACACATTTCTATTGATGTTCATGCTCATAGAAATAGCTCGAGCTGATTAGGTGCACCAAAAAATGTGGGCTCTTAGATATCATACTGACAATTAATGGTGAAGTATTATTTTCTTTTAAGGCAATGCCATAATATGGGAAATTAATATGCTCAAAATAGCCATAGAAAAAACAAAAGACCATTTATGTTGTACTAGCACTTAATAAATTGGTCGGTCTGGTTTGTTTTGGATTTGATTAAAAAAGGTAAAAGAGTAAGTATGATTTTGAAGAAAAATAACCAAAGAGAAAGGCTAATAGAAGCATACAACTAAATGCAACTAATTAAGGGTTATATAGCATGGAGCAAAATTGACCTATAATAACCTATAATCAGCTTTGGATAAATATTATTTACAATCTACATTGGACTTACTAAAAGCTACCTTCTCAGGAAGTACAAAAGAGGCACACAGCATCCATTTTCCTGGTGCAACAGCACGAACACGACGCATTTCAACAGCGACAGCAGCCTCTTCTAGCGCGACTCTTATCCGCTGCATTGCCATGTTAAGAGTTCTTTTAAGAAATAACTATGAATAATAAAAGACTTTAGGATAATAAAACAATGGCAATATATATATATATATATATATATATATATATATATATATATATATATATATATATATATATATATATATATATATATATATACTGGAGACAAGAAATTACAGTAACAATTAGCTACAGGTGATAGAGACAAACCTCATGGAAATCAAATTCCGGATCTTCAGCCTTTGAGAATCCGTAAACATGGATCATCGGCAAAGTCAGTTTTCTCTCTCTGGTTTTGTAACTAAAAATCCCACGAAAGGCATCTGTAAAATGAAAAGGACGAGAAAAACATTATTGCAGAAGCTACATTACATACGATAAATGTAAAGTGCAGGTGCATGTGTGTGTGCAATGATGAAATAAAAAAATTGAGCAGGAAAGGGAAAAAAAAAAAACCAACGCTCTACAGAACAGCATAGTGCTTTCAAGTTAACAAGCTTGAGTAATTTAAGTGGATTCTGTCCTTCAAAATTTCACAAAACAGAAGTTCCACATCCAAACATAACAATCTGAACTTCACCAATGCCAGATTTTACAGGGCCAAATTTTACAAGTAATTTGTTCATTAAGTTGTATGACATTCATAAGCACAACACTAATTGAATTGATTCCTCATTTACAACTTCCATAAGGATCATTGCAACAATCTTTTCCTGTATGTATGCATGTTTGTCACGCCCGTAAGTCTCGTTCATAAAGATTGGATCACGTGATAGCCCCATCCCAAGTATCTACACGTTTATCACTTCTCTTCGTACTTTCCCTATTCTTTGTGCCCTTGATTCCTTATTTTTCTTCACCTTTTCGAGGGTGAGGGAAGGGGGGTTTCCAGCACTACACAAAGAACTCAGAACCTACGTAACTTTGATACCCTGCTGTACATCGAGTGTCGTGTGTTGGATCCTCCAACGCTTCGACACGAAACGACATGCCACCCAAATATATAGTGGCCTCGTAAAAAAAATTATAAAATCTCGAGCATCAGAGGATCAAACACCGTGTCAGACACGACACCCAAAATCCAAGTCTGAGTGTGCTCAGAACTTTGAGCTAATAAGCGCACCAAGTCTCAGCTCTATGAGCTATGACAAGATGCTGTAGTGGCCTTTTTTCTTGGGATATTTTATCATTACCAGCATATAATTTTGAAAAACTAAGATATTGCAGCGAAGTACATACCTAGAAACTCCACTGCATTATTCGGCAAATTCATGACAACTTGTGTGACGGGATGGGTCTCACTTGAGAATATAGCTTCAATAAATCTTCTCCCGTCCATGTTAAATACCTAAGCACAGAAATAAAAATGAGAAAAGGTTTCCCCCAAGTGTACCTTTGAAGTATAGACCTGAAGCACCATGCTCTTCAGGTAAAAGAAAATAATACATACTACTGAAGAATGGCATAATTAAAGAAAATTATATATACGGCTGAAGACCACAGTGGTTATAAAATATGAACAAGGATAAGAAACAAGCATCACATCAGAATATTAGATAGAAGAATAGCCAACTGTTGAGAATTTCAGAAGCCAATTTCGATATCATATACTAATAATATGAGCTGCAATAAATTTGAACAACTTCAAAACCAAAGCCAGTCACCGACTATAACAGCAAACATTAAGGTTTAAATTCTTCAAGCCATTTATATGACTTTGAAGCTCCGAAATTTAACATTAAACTCTTGCTCTGATTGGTGAGTTACGGTACTTCGACACTTCATTCTCTTACATACTTGTGCCAGACACTCAAAACTCTGACAAGGGTATAAAGTCCTCATTACCTGACACTCAATTCTCATCCAAACATCTCAAACAAAGAAAAAATTACGTGAGAAATGCTCACAAATGGGCTAAAGATCATAATTATGACAAGAACTACCAAACAAGTCAACCTATAATACGTGCAAATGTATTTGTAACAAAGCATGCAAAAAATTTTAACATCAAGACTATGTTAGATAATTGCTGTTCCCCTGGCCTCCCTGCACCTGTGTCCAATTTTAGAAGTGCCCCCACGTCTGAAATTCAGAGACTTGACATGTGACACTTCCAAATACCCGAACCATAGCTGGTGAGTTGCTTGTCATGGACTAGCATTCGCCAATCCGGGGAAGCTGTGGAGCTCTAGATGCAAGTGCCCATAAGGTGACAGGTTTTCATGTCCAATTAGTAAGCCATGCTTTTCCCAAATGGTCGACATACTCGACAAGACAGGCTCATCCCAGAAAAAATGACAATCAAACTTACAAGTTATTTTATTTATAGAGGTGTGAATTAATATCCCAAATCCTGGGTCAATTCTAAAACAGACTTTTGTGAGTAATCATGAAAAGTGGCAAAGGGGAGAGTAAAAAGGGGAAAAGAAGGGAAGAATATGCCTAGAGTTTCAGTGTTTTACCTTAATTTTCCTCTCAAGTTTATTGAGGACAGTGTTTCTTTCAAGATAATCAACTGCATAAGGATTCAGATCATTTGCATATACACGTTTTACTTTCTTTGCTGCGGATATAGCTATCGGACCAACCCCAGAGAAAACATCGCCTGTAAATCGGAAAGTAAAATTTGATTCTTCAGTGTTACAGATTTAAAAAAAAAAAAAAAAAAACTATGTACGACAGTATTAGCTGCAATGAAAAAGCAAGATTATAAATGAACAGCTACTGAAATGGAAATCATGAGAAGCTTATATTTACCCTAAGCATCTAATGCATCCATTTTCCTTTACACTTGTGAAACTTCATTTCATGATGATGCGAAACACAGCAAAATACTTCAAATGAAAAACTAAGATTGGATGAAAGAGCTTCATTGATCAGATTTAGCCTATAAATGCACTTAACATACATTAAGGTACTCATAACAGATAAATTTTTGAAACATAATGGGTACAATCAATGATGAAAAAGATGATGCTTTGCAGAGAATATGTGATATTTTGCCCATTAGACAGTAAACAATTATAAAGAATACAAATATAATTTTAACAATAATTGATTGCAATAAAACTCATAAAATTCATACAACTACCACTGTGAAGTGAACATACATAAGACATCATCACTCGTAAAGCAACTTATGAGCCTCTGTCTTTCAGTTGATAGCCTGGAATTCCAGTAGCTGCATTGTATCAAACAAGGTATCACTTCTATGAACATGTCAACCCATCTCTCTGAATAGGAATATGTCAATTCTAGTTAGCCTCAATATTAAAAAAAAAAAAAACAAGAAAGAATAAGCAAGCTGCATAAATTTTGACGGTAAATTCGAGTTAGCATAACAGGACACCATGAGTGACTAAAAAGTACAGTTCAGTTCACAATAGCAGAAGGATTAATTTGACCACACATTTATACAGGCCACACCACATTGACTTGATTTTGTATCATTTATTTTACAGCAAGATCTACTTCCAACTAGCTTGTTCCACTTCTGGTCTCCTGCTATAAAACAAGGCAATCTAATCCCATTGATTTTACAGCAGTGATTCTATGCCTGCCTGAGAACTGCCTCAAAATCAATAATAATACTTCATTCCAAGGTGATAAATCTCTTTGGGATGGGAATGAAAGAAAACTTTGAAAGGGAAAGACAGACAATCTAATACCACACATTGTATCAATATACAGGCCAAGGGAGTATAATATCTAATACTAATCAACTGCCAATCTGGACAGAATAACATTCAACCAATAGTCTTTCACTAGCAATAGATTGTACTTCACCCTCAACCAATAAGCTAAATTTATGATCTTGCATTACTGCAGCTGATTATCATGACTGCAAGACTATCTGTCATAATTCAATAGATATATTAGTGAACACCCGTCGGAAAGCTCATCAAAATAATTCTTTAATCATGTGCAACAGATCCAAACTAAACTTTCTCTATCAATAAATATTTTAAATTGGTAGCAAATAAAAGCTATCAGCTAGAGGCTGTTGCTGAGGGTAAAGAATATCATGGAACACAATTAGCTGCTTATCAGAATTAGAACTGGTATATGCAAAAATTCCATTGAAGTAGGTTCTGTGACAATTATATATGAAACAGAAATATGCTGCAGAAACATATAGTCGTAAAAACTTAAGCTAAGCTGGGATGGATACAAAAGAAACATGATACAGAAAGCTGTATTAATTATAATTAAGATGATTTCTGAAATTGCACATTAGGGAACGATGCATCTAAAATTGACCATGTTGATATGAAGGGCAGGAGAAGAATGCATACACTTTCGCTAGGTCGATTTGGAAACGCAACCCATTCTCACTTAGAATCGTAACAAGGGAATGATTTCCAGCTAGTACCTCCAGCTCCATCGTTCTGAAGTCATTACTGATGGCTTCAATTTTATTTACAACTGTTTGAATCTTTGGTTTATTTTTGTCCAGAACTACCTGAAGCCAAAAACTATCTATTACACAGCAGAAAGCAAGCACACAAAAAACCAAAATAAGTTTACATCTCCAGTAATCACCTTTGCAATAACCTTCTTGTATGGTAAATGTTCTTCTTTTAAGTTCAGGTGTGCAATATGCCCAACAGTTTCAAAAGCAGAGGGAATAATCATATCCTTAGGCAACAAAGCCTCTAACACCTGCAGTAGAGAATCTTATTACTTACGTGCCATAACTAACAGACATCAAACATATAAGCCCAGATAAAATCTAATTGACATTGTCAGAGAAAGGACAGGCTTCTCACGATGTAACATGAAAAACAGCTTTGAAGCCATGTTAAATGTCATTCACAGAGGCACATATTTACATAATTATAGAAAAATTTGTGAACAACTACCTATTATGACACAACATTTTGTAAATAACTAACTTATGTTATACAATTTTTGGCAGCACTACCGAAAATAATGAATTCTGTCAAAGTTATTTTGTAAAAAACTAACTTATGTTGTAAACTCAACATATCAATATCAACCTACTAATTGGCTAGCTTTAATAGGTTAAGGATACACCTACTCGCAATTTATCCAACAGCTGTTCTTTATCTTACGTGCACATCTTACAATCTCATTTTATCAGGAGTTGTTGGAGGTTCTATTGATTGATATTACATCTTCCATAATATTTTATTGATTCAAAGCAGGGATATTAGATTCAAGAAGATGCAAGCTGATTTGAAAAAGAGATTCATGGAAAGAGAACGAAAGAAGATGATGCATAGGAGAGAATAATGGAAAATTGTTGAAGAAAGGTTGTGTTTGGTCCTACGGACGGGTTGGATATCGGCAGTATAATTATTTCAGGCAGAGAAAGGAAGAAAAGAGGTTGGATATGGGCCCTACAGACAGCAACTTGGACGGAAAACGTGTTTAGATAGTGCTACTAAAAAAATGTAATTTATAAGGTAGTTATTTGTTATTTACAAAACACGGATATTTAAGTAGTTAAATAACACACGCACGCGCCCGCGCGTGCGCACACACACACACACATATTAAGTAGTTGAACACAAAAACCATGTCATAGTAGGTAAGTTTGTTAACAAATGTTCCTGAATTAACAAAAAGTTACCAAAAGTAAATAGTACGACGCTGAAAAACAAGAGTTAAAAAAATTTCTTCTATCAAAAGGCTAACACTTCAGAACTAAACAAGCTTAACAAGTTAAGTTCATCAGGACACCAGGTATAGGATACTTCCAGTCTTCCAGACAATATAAAGGAAAGAAAATAAAGAAAGAAAGAAAGAAAGAGCAAGAGCAGATAAAGCCAATCCAACTTGATTGGTTAGCAAAGAGCAGTATAGTACGAATATAACTATTCTAACCACAAAAATTTAGACAGATACAAAAGAATATTTGCAGAAACTTAGAAAGATCAAACTTAATATTTTTTGGAGAATTTAGGTATTATAGCACGCTTGAAACAGCCAATCAGGCCAAGTACATTTGCCACAGCCCACAGTCAAAGTTGCAATCCTAAATTGTTATATGAAGAAATATCAGAAAGAAGCAAGTCAAGTGTCTATCAGCTAGTATCGCCCAAAACTTACCATGTAGAGAGCACTATAGAAACATAACCTTCTACTATAGAGAAACCATAGAGCTTAGGAACTGAAGAGGCCTAAGTCACAGTTGGTTATCTCAACATTATTGTTGTCTCCACATTCCTCTTTTGCACACGGCAATAAGTTATAGTGGTCGCTCATGGTGGATTTTTCTAGATTAATTTTTACAATGCCTGCTAAATTATAATGTTAAGGGAATTCAAGAGAAATTATCTTAGGAGAATAATTATTAATTCTCAAAATCCCCCCTCAATAATTATCCTTGAACTTTTGTTATAACCCGAAGTTCTCTTTTCACCATTTGCAATATAATCCAACATATATTTTATTTTTGTTCCTCCATATCTCCCAAAGGTACACAATTTCCGTCTCCTGTAATCTCTTTGAAGATAGAGACTGAGTCGCAGATCCTTCTTCATGTTTATCACCTTCATGGCTTCACCATCAACCTTAATTATTTCTTCCACTTGGCTCTACATCAGTACATCTCTACTACTTTTGCAGTAGGTATGGTCTCCTCATCACCAATAATTTTCCAAATAGCTTCTCCTTTTAATAGGAACTATACACACATCCTCAACCTTGTATAGTAATCTCCATTCAACTTATCCATCTAGCAAGGAAAAAAGCCCAAAACTTTCAACATCCATCACCTTAATTACAAGAGTAATCATTGTGTTAGTAGCATACTCCTACTAACAAACACTAAGACTAGTGACACATGCCAATATGGTACTCAATTCTGTATCTTAGTCCAAAAACAATACCCTTAACAAAGTAAATCTCCAGGTAGCCAAGGTTATCTCGGCACCATGACACTAAGCCACACATTGCACGCTCTAATGGTGGGCACAATACCCTTCTCCAACCTCACTTAGTTAACATCACCTTAGTACCTATCCCAACTCGTTTCTTGCGATCAAAGTATCAAACTCACTTTAATAACAAATGCTAAGTGTTGAGAATAGAAAATTATTCTCCTACGAATGTTACTCTAGTAATCTTTGACATTATAATTTGGCAGGATGGTAAAAATAATATTGAAACTTCCACCATTTATAAGAATTTTACCATGTGCAACAGAGAAATGTGAACAGCTCCTAGAAAAGGAAACAATAGACTTTTATAGATTGAGAAAAGCATATGATGCTTGTGTAGTTGTGTAGGATATATCTAGCGACAAGATAATTCTAAACTATATGTAGCAGCATTTTATATCAACATGTAGGATTGTTGTAAAGACCCACCGTAATGTAGTCCGCATAGTAACCTTATCAATAATACCAAAGTCTTAATCTCAACAGTCAAATGGATATTTCAACTAAATGAACCGAAAATCTATCCCCTACCAACAAAGATCTTTTTTTTCTACTTCTATTTAACATTATACACTTTAAGCCCAATTTCCTCATATCATTATTAACCCCCCCCCCCCCCACACACACACACACCAATCCAAGTCATTTTACCATCAAGACTTCTAATATCCCCAGAATTCAAACTTTCCACTTCCTTACTGATGCATCTACATGACACATGCTGGAGTTGGTTTTCCTTACCTTATCTTCAATAACTACAACTCTTACCTTACTTTGTATTATTGTATATTCTCATTTTGAGTTCTATCCCTTAAAGTGTTCCCAAGAACCCATCCCAAACATAAAAATCTTTGCTACACTTGCCTCCTCCACTGGCAAATATAAGTCAAGTTGTCTTTATTTTTTGATCCGTTGTGATCACTCCAGGTGCACAAACACTCATAACATAATTCCCTATTGAAATTTTCCCAATCATGAATAATCACTTTATAAGCATGGAGATTGCATCACGGTTTTCGTCTTAATGTTTTTCTCTTTCACCGTAAACCTAAAGTAAGTTTCCTAATTCTAGTTGTTTTAGCCTTTTAGATTGCAAGTGAGTTGTAACCTATGCCATTGTTATTAGTATAGGAAAATATGTTAGTTACCTAATATATATGTTGTATTCTAAACCTAAGAAGAGTCTAGAATTATTTCCTCCTCAGGGCAGGGTGAAGGTAGAATTACAACCTCTATCTAAGGGGGCTTGGGATCATTGTTTCGTAGGCTTAATTTGCATGAGAGAACACTCTTAGTAAGACTTGTTACTGTTCTTGAGAGAAAATAAAGTGTATTTACGGTGTGTAGGAAAGTTGATTATATTTGTTGAATTGATTAGTAATACTGGTTGGTTATCCCAATATCCCCTGCTTGTTGCTTTGTTAGTGAGGAGTATTTTCCCACTACATTGTTCGTAATTGTCTTCATCTTTGCATCCTTGCTTGTTGGTTTTGATCCCACTATAGCTTACACACATAAGCTTTCAGTTTCATTAACATTAACGGAATGCACCCTTTTAAAAGGAACTACAATGCACAATTTCCCACAATTTGAGATAAAATCTTTAACCCTTGAGTCCCAACAAGCATCTAATTTCCAGGTTCTCATTCTCTGCAGAACCACCAATTAATGCTATTAATTGAATCTTTCCAAGGAGTCACAATGTCACATGACTAGTTGAAATCCCATTATAAAGCAAGTGACAAATACAATGCATACCTCAAACAAAAGATATAGGCATAAAAAATATATATTATGATGACATAGTGTAAAACTTTGAATACTTATGTACCTCATCATTTGACCAGTAATCATACGACAAGGTCAAATTGCACCTCACTAACTCACAACTTGACTTTGTAGCCTCGCTTGAACCTTCCATAAAAGCTGCCTGATAAACAGATTAGAAATGTTAACAAAACTGAATGTCAGATAGTTTGATACTTGAGATGCATATAATATTATGTAAGAATGATAAGTAAATATAACAAGGATCAATGGTTCACTTAAGCTCATTATGAAGCACTACGGTTCGAGAATTGCAATGACAACCAAAAGGGTGCATATTTATCACCTTAACAGCTTCAGGAAGCTCATCAAATTTCTTCCCAGCATATGTTTCATCCAAAAGCAACAACCTAGTAGACCCCCTCCACTTCCTCCCCTTAAACTCATCCCCTAACAACCCACTCAAATCACCACCAACATTTTCACCCTCGCCCTCACACTCCTCGATAACCTCCACCATTACACTCCTCCTCCTCCCCTTCCACTTCTCCCCCTCCTCGCCGCGACTCTCCTTATCACTTTGCCCCTCCTTTCGCCTCTTCTTCTTCCTATTAGGCCTCGAAATCTTAGCCAAATTCCGAAACTTCACAAACCCCCTTGCATTAAACTCCTTAGCAAGCTTATCCCTATACAAAACCCCACTCAATTCCTCCCCATCCCCTTCAGCTTTCCCATAAATCCTTCGACTCACCGCCTTTTCAACCTCATTTTCCTCCTCTGTTCCTAACCCCTTATCCTCCATCAACAACCCTTGAACTTCCTCATCAATTTCATCCCCAGGAACCCTAGCAATGTTCGAAACACGAGGCCAATTAAGCAAATGCCCTCGAATCCTACCCTCTAACTCAAAACACCGCTCCGAGGGAACCCGAATTGCAGCAATCTCAAACACCCGGGTAAAATGGTCTTCCTCAAATGGGATTTCATCGCCATTTTCGGGGGTTTGAGCTTGTTGGGGTGGATTAATGGCGGAATTCAAAATGGGGTTTTGATGGGGTTTTAAGGGAAGAGTACCCTTTTGAAGAGAAGGGCCATAGGAGGTGGAGGAGAGAGAATGAGATGAGATTACAGCGGCGGAACATGCGGTGGTGATGCGGCGAAAGGAGAGAGTAGAGGTGGAGGAGAGAAGAAGTTTGGGAAAGAAGTAGGGAGGAGTCAGAAAATGGGAGTGAAATCGCAGAAGCATCAGTTTCTTGGTGAACATTACTACACTCTACTTCACAGTGGTAGAGTTGCCTGGAAAACCAATATTTGATCGTTTGGCTCAACGGATAAGAGGTTGGGCGCCCGACCGCCCGTCACTATTACTCGACATTTAGCTACTCTCTCCGAGTCAGAATAATTTTGTCACAACTATGACTTGTGTGTATAGGATTATAGATGATTTCAAGATTAAGTTGTAAAACAATTAAGATTATGCAATTGTATAGTATAAAGTATTAATGAACTATGTCGTATGAGGTTTAGAATTACATTAGCAATTGTGTTAAAAAAATTAAAAAAAAAAATAAAAAAAAAACTTTGATATAAATTAATATGTTTGTCTCTATGTATTTAAAAAAAATATATAAAATAAATAAATAAACATATCTCAATAAGAAAAAGAACAAGAAGTTGTCTCCCTCCTAATGTATATGAAAGAATTTAAAGGCAAAATTGGCCTCGAACACTCTGAACTATGGTTTGGGTGCACCCAACACCCTATACTTTACTTAGTGGCCAAAATATCACAAACTAATGAATTGGGTGCAAATCGCACCTTTAGTAAGTTTTCCAGCCACCATTCTCACCGGAGCCCGTGAATTTTTTCGATTTACGTGCCAAAAAATCTCCCGTAAAGGTTTTGGGGGTTATTTTAATCCTTAAAATCCAAATTGAGCTCAAAACAAGCAAAAAAAAAATAACGTACATGATTCTTTAGCATGTTATAAAATATCTCGATTGGCGTGTCATTGTTTTTTTAAGCTAAATTGAGTCATTTACGCTATATTTTTGCTTGTTTTGAGCTCAATATGACCCCTGATATCTTTACTGGACATTTTTCAGCACGTAAATCGAAAAAATTCACCGACTCCGGTGAAAATGGTGGCCAGAATACTCATTAAAGGTGCGCTTTGCACCCAAGTCATTAATTTGCGGTGTCTTGGCCACTGAGTAAAGTATAGGGTGCGCCCAGGCCATAGTTCAGAATATTAAGGCCAATTTTGACCTTAAACGTGAAAGAAACAGTAATTTAAATTTCATTCACGAGATTACTTTTTATTTCAAATTCAAGGTTAGTAATGTTTAATTTGTTGATAAAGTTAAATAACATCTCTAATTTTGTTTAATTGTTACTCAAATATTTGGTGAAAATTGTGGGTTCAATTTATGGTTGAAAATTACATAAATAATACTCTGTTTCTATAATAATCAGAGAGAGAATACAAATGAGAGAAACAACGAGTTTTTTTTTTTTTTTTTTTTGTGTGTGTGTGTGTGGTGAAAGAGAAGGGCAAGCCCCAAGACATAACAAAAAGAAAACAAACAACAAAGCAAAACAAAAAATAAAAGCAAATAAACAACTAGGCCTAAGGCTTGCTCGAAGGAACCAACCGCCCACACAAGTCCTCCAATAGGCCCGAAGATCCAATGGGGCCGCCTCAAAGATGGACATCTTCCGATCAGCATGAACACCATAGTTGGCTAACCAATCAGTTGTTCGATTAGCCTCCCTATAGCAGTGACTAATAGTCAATTTCCACTTTGGTCGAGAGATGAGAGCCTTGCACTTCTTTTTTTAAATTTTTTTTTTTTATTATTTTTTTATTTTTTAAAACATATATAAAGTGAGGTACATTTCTAAGGTTATTGGTTTCATTGTTTCTATTTAGGGGTGAATTGTTTCATTTTATTCAAGTTCTTTAGTTTTAAGTCTTTTACCTTTGTTTTATTGGGGTTCACATTTGTTTTTATCCCTTAGTTTTTTTTTTTTTTTTTTTTTTTTTTTTTTTTTTTTTTTTTTTTTTTTTTTAAGGATATGGAGACACTCTTTAATGATTTGGAATATCTTTTAGAATCGGGTGCACATGCCCACTTAATTTGCGAGTTTAGTCTATCATTAGGATAAAATCCCGTGCAATAGATGCACAGTTGTTCAATTATCATTTAAAATGATTTTTTTTTCTAAGGTCACATGTAAAATAATACAAAGTATTAAATATATATTATTTTTTTTGATAGCCTCATATAGAATGAATTTTAAAAAGGTTGGTTTGCATTTTATGTAAAGCAAATGTAATTTTTGAGATAAAATATTTTCTTAAAGTAATAATTTTCTTAAAGCAACGATTATTGGAGGGAAATTTTTTAACACAATGTTGCCAAGTGTCTTTATCGATTTCACCTTTAGTAATATGTAATAGATAGATATGTAATTGATAAATAGATAGATATATAGATATAGATTTTCTTGAAAATTGAGCCTATTTCAAAAAGTTCCAAAATTAGACTAGATCATACTTATGGCTATTAAATAATTAGGTGGAAAATTAGTGACTAGGGGTGTACATTCTCCTGTCCTTAAGTTTCATGATTTAAATGTGTTGTTAGGGTTGATGAAGTCCACACAGGTGTAAACACAAGGTGAAATCATGGCTAATCAATATTCGTTTAAGGTAGATTACGAGTAGTTAAGTTTAGGTGAAAGTACACATCCTAATTATAGTGTTTGTTTATATAAGAAATGTGTCATTTTAAAGGATTTTTATGTCGTTTTATTGGAGGATTTAAGTGAAGTGACTCGACAAGTTGACTGAGATAGCCCCAGAGATTAAGGAGTAGTAATCCTTAATTTTGGTAGGGTAGTCCTTTAGTCTAGGTTCGTTTCCTTTTGTTATTTTTCCCCAAGGCTAGTAATCACAAATAAAACTACAAACTATGAGGTATTTGTTAAAAAAGACATGAATCAAGTAGAAATGTGAACGATCCAAAACGTTTATATAGACACATGACTCTACTTCATGACTTACTTTCTCTATCCGAAATTAACAATCACGATAATAAGGTAATTTGATTTGTTACGACGATCAAATTACTACGGATTACGGAATGAGATATAAAGTAATGGGAAGAGCAATATCCTTTCCTAGTTCTAACATCATATCGCCCCTAACTGAAATTGAAACGTGTATGCGTGTGTGTATATATGAATGAACAACACTTTTTATGTTCTTCATTTCATTTCTTTCGGCGCAAATTCACTTGCTCTTAGCTTAGGGCAAACTCACTGATTCTTTCCTCCATTTTTACTCTCTCTCTCTAACTCTCTTTCTCTCTCCTCTCTTCCATTGATAATCAATCAAGCTTCAGCAATGGTGGAAGCCATGGATATACTCAGAGCGAACCTCTCTCGCGTTCGGATTCCTGAACCTACCAATCGCATCTTCAAGCATGAATGTTGCGTTTCTTTCGATACTCCTGTGAGTTCTTTTTTCTCAGTTTCGGTGATTTTTGCTGGAATTCATTCAATTGGAATTCATGCAAATGTTTAATTGATTTTGTTATCGATTGTTTTTTGACCTAGTGATTGATTTTGATGATTGTTTGCGTATTGAATTTTACTCGGAAAACGTTAGAAATGGCGGAATTGCGGTTTTAGATGATTAAACCTAGGTTTTTGGTGATGTGATGAAGAATGATTGAAATCTTGAATTTGAAATGTGTGCTGAAAATTCATGCAAGAGAATAAAAAATCACTGGAGTTAATCTTTTGCTTGTTTATTTATTATTACGATTACGCTGCATTTCGTTTTTTAGAACTATTCAGGTTGCTATTAGTAGTGTCAGTGATATAATTTCTTGAAATTTGTCATGCTGAATGCGTTTATGGTGGTTTTGTAGAAATCGGAAGGTGGATTGTATGTCGATATGTCTTCATTCCTTGCCTTTGGGAAAGATTTCGTGCAATGGAACTATGAAAAGACTCGGAATCCGGTTTATCTACACATTAAGCAGACAAAGAAGGTGGTTGCAGAAGATAGGCCTTCAAAGAAGCCAACTATTTTGGCTATTGGTATGCTGTTTCAATTCTTACTGTTTGCCTTCTTCATTTTGCCTTTTCATGCTGTTTAATTGCGAAGATATGGTAATTGAACTGCAATACTGCTATGGTAACATTTTATATATATTGTGTTTTGTGATATCATTGCTTTAAGAATTGGAGCAGACTTCAAATTAATAAGCATTATGTACTCCGTAAGTGATTAAAGTGGCAAAATAAAGAAAGGAATAGGGATAAACATGTCTAGAATGCCTATAAGGTGCCATTTTGTTTCTTTTTCATTTTCCTTAAGACAAATAAAACGTGTATAGCTTGTAAATTATAGCAGTGGTTATATAAGAAAGACAAATAAAACGCGTATAGCTTGTAAATTATAGCAGTGGTTATATAAGACATATAATATGTAAATGCAATTTAAAACGTGCATGGCAGTGATCTTGACTCGGGTTTGAACTTCTTTCAGCATTACATGTGTTGCCATGATCCTTTTAACCTCAATTTTGGAAGCTCCTTCAATTTTTCCTTCTTTTAGCCCTCAAACTAAAGTTATTTTAAGGAGAATGAACTTGCTACTTTATTTTTGGAAATTAACTTCAGGGAGTTACAATTTTGTGGAATTATGATGTAACTTTCATGATTTAGAATTCTAATATAACTCTTACATCCCAAATCTATGGAATTCAAGACATATGTATAATTTTCTAAACAGATCATTGATATTGTGAATTTGTGATCTCTGGTCGGAACTTCTGTATCTTGAGTGTATTATCAGAATGACAATTCTTTGATTGGTTCAAAATCTACTGCATTACTGGAATCCCTATTGATATGCTTTTGTTTTGAAAGCTCATGTCATGAATCTCATTATAGTGGGATGATTCTGATATCCTTGGTGTGATTGTAGGTGTAGAAGGGGGTTTTGGTAGTGGTGAACCTGATTATGAAGAATCATATAGCATCGTGATATTGCCAGACTATGCTAGTCTTCCATTCCCCTCAGTGGAGTTGCCAGAAAAGGTACTCTCTGCTCCTTATTTTTCTCCTTTCTTAAGATCCTTGGCTCCATTCCAGCTTGTTGGGAATAGCTGGCACTCTTGGTCTTTGTGTATAGTGGAAATCTGGTTCATAGAGCAATGTAGGTGTGCAATATGAGTGTTCTATTTATGAAGCAAATAGGATAGTAAGCTGTTGAAACAATATGATACATTACATATTGGTAAGTACCCTAAGTAGTTTGTGTCAAACACACTCAATCGATAGAGTTTGCATACGGGTTTGCTGAATGTTTCAAATAATCAGATAGAAAAGTGTCTTGATCTTTGTGTGACATGTGTGTATGTTATAGGTAAGGTTGGCAGTTGATGCAATTTTGTTGGCCGAGGATGCTGAGCGAAAAGAGCAAGTTGCAGCCTGGGTAGCTGAGAAGCAAGTCAGTGCATATGCCTTGGGTTTGCCACAGATTGACAATGGCATTGTTGTTCCTCCATCTGGGTGGAAATGTGCAAAGTGTGATAAAACAGATAATCTCTGGTTAAATCTAACTGATGGAACAATCCTTTGTGGTAGAAAAAATTGGGATGGTACTGGTGGCAACAACCATGCTGTTGAACATTACAATGAGACAAAATACCCTCTTGCTGTGAAGCTTGGCACAATAACTGCTGATCTGGAAGCAGCAGGTAGTGTTACTATTAGTCGTTACTCGTTACTTCGTTAGTGTGTCATACAACAATTTTTTATTTTAAAAAATTTTCATTTAAATATTTTGTTATCTGCTCACATGTTTCAAATTCTGTCGTCCAATTACTTCTTTTTGCCTGTCCTGTTATTTGAGTAGTATCGTTTTCTGTGAATATGCCTTTTGTTTTAATTTTATTACAATTTATGTTGCTTTTATCATTTTTTTTTCATGTGTATGATGCTTTCTAAACTTATTTCTGTCAGAAAATTTGGAATACTGAGTTCTAACCTGAAAGTCTTAGTTTGGACTTTGGATGCTTATAATATTATACTTAGGAATACTGGTGTTGAATCTTCTAAACCATGATCAACCTCACAAAGAGATCCCAAATTTGATTCTTAACCTTGCAAATTGCTGTAATAAGTAATCATCATATTTCATCTTCATCGTTATATGACGCCGTGGAAATTTATATTTCCTTCAGAATTCTTAATCTTCAGGTTTGCCTTTCGTTAATGTCATACACCTGTCTTTAGAAAACATGTAAAGTGGATGAAATTGGTTAATTTTGCTGATAGTAGTTGACAAAGGTACTAGTCATGATGGAATACATTAAACCCAAAACCTTTAAGCTGACATCTTGCTTACTATTCGCTTAATTCAACTCTTAGTGAGCCCCCTTAGTATCCACACTATGTTTAATTTCATTTTTTGTTAAAGCGTTTTGTTAGAAGCTTTTTATTTTTTATTATTAAAAGAAGATGAAAGTTAGTTGGAGTTTTAGCAATGTTAGAAAAGCTCAAGAAGCACCGAAGCAATTTGGAGTTTCTTTCGGCTAAGTGCGTCTCAGTTAGCTTCGTTGAAGTGAGGTGTACCGAATAAACAATAGATAAATTTGTGAAGCTATTTGAATTGAGACTAACTCTCCACTAAATCATTGTGTATTCGTTTGCATTAAACCATGCTCTAGATCTCCCATCTGCGACCTAGTGGGCTTGGTGTTCTTGGAATGTCTGCAGGAAGTTGCTTACTTCTTTCTTTCCTCTTTCACTCTCCTTTCTCTCTTCTTTATTTTCGTTCTATTAGTTAGCTTGTAGCTTATTATGATGGGAACATTTTCCGAAACAGAAGTGAGAAGCTTTAGTTTGTCCTATTGATGATTGCCACTTATTATTATTTGATTACCCACATCCAGTATTGCCATTAGCTTTAGTTGAACAGCTCCATAAAGCTCATTTCCTGCCAAAAGTAATATTTTTTTTTTTTAATTTTTTTTTTTAATAATTTTTTTTATATGAAAGTCCACTCCTTTATTGAGGCCATATATAATTATGGACTATACATTTTGTCATCTCAGATGTTTTCTCTTATGCGGAGGATGAAAGTGTCATTGACCCGCTTCTTTCACAGCATTTGGCACATTTTGGGATTGATTTTTCTTCATTGCAAAAGGTTAGTAGCCTAATTGTCTTTGTTGGTCCTGTACTTTTTGTTTCTTTTTGTGATTTCTTGAACTTTTAGGTGTATTTGTGAAAACTGGAAAGGGACTTAGTGAATTTTGATTTGACTTTCCACCTAGCTACAAAGTAGAAATGATCAAGCTATGGCCTGTACACTTATTCATTGCTTAGAAGTAGGCTAGAGTAATACTTGGGATGTTGCATTGGCTGAGGATAAATAAAAAGGTCATCTAGTAATTAGTATCCTGTTTGTTTCTATGAATTGCAATTCTCTTAGTGACCTTCACATGATTAGTGGGACCCCCTACAAAGTCTTTCATGCTATTCATATTTTGCATGCTAAAAGCAAGAAAGTGTGTTATGGCTGTAGCATTGCTAATTTGTCTATTGTCTTATGCCTAAGATGAGATACCATGGTATAGTAGCTTATGACTGCCTCTTTCACAAATCCTTTACAACCCATACCATGTCATGGGGTTTATATGAAATTATTCTTTTCTTTCTTTGTGGGAGAAGGGTGAATCCTTTCTGACTTGTTCTCTCTCATGCTTTGCTCCCTATAATCTGACATTTTTTTACTTGTAATTTATGTTAGACTGAAATGACCACTGCTGAAAGGGAGCTTGACCAGAATACAAACTTTGATTGGAACCGGATTCAAGAAAGTGCTGAAGCACTTCAGCCAATATTTGGCCCAGGCTACACTGGACTTGTCAATCTTGGCAACAGGTGATTTAATTGAATAAAATGATTTTACTGGGTTACTGCTTGCATTTCTTCTGCTAATGATTCCTTGTGTTTCCACACAGCTGTTATCTGGCAGCAACTATGCAAGTAGCATATACAGCACATGCTTTTATGTCTAGGTTGGTTTCTATAAAGTTTGTTTTCTTCAATTTTTTTTGTTGTGCTAGAAGTTGAGTATAGTTCTCTGAAGAATGTTTTTATTGTGTAATTAACCAATCAGATATTATGCAAATCAAAGCTTGAAAAGTGCTTTTGATGCTGCTCCTGCTGATCCAACGGTGGACCTGAACATGCAGTTGTAAGTGAGCTATTAGTTTCTTATCTTTAGTTCTGCCACTGTAACTAATCTTGCGGGTTAGTTGATATTGATACCTCTCATCTCTCAAAGGTATGGGTAAAAAAGATTGAAAATATAATATGTTATGAATTGAATTTATGTTGGATGTTTTGTGAGTGAGCTAGCAGTCCCTTTTATTGAGGTCTGTCACTGAAACTATGTCTTGCGGATTAGTTGATATTGATACCTCTCATATCTCAAATGAATGGGTAGAATATGTTAGGAGTAGATCTCTGTTTGGGATGTTTGATGGTTGTTTTATTACAAATAGGGATGGCAACGGATCGGATTCGGGTCGGATGCACCCAAGTCCGAATCCGATCCGTTTTGTAAGCGGACCTTGGAGTTGGATCCGACTCCGAATCCGAATCCGAAAACTCTGAATCCGAATCCGATCCGAATCATATTTTCATGGTCCGAATCCGATCCATATATTCGGACCTCCGAGTGGATCCGAATACTATTTTTTTTTTTAATGTTAAGTATACCTATACATTTTTGTATTATCCCTAATAAACTTTATTTCCTAAATCATATTGGATTATTAGTGCGTAAAATTTTAGAAAAAAAATGCATAAAGTCTAAATATAACATAAATAAGAATTAAGTTACATGATAAAAGTTTGTTACAAACTAGCAAATAATTGTCCCAAATTATAAAAATATCATCATTCAACAATAAAAGTAACTTCTAATTAGTCTTTCAACAATACCACCTTAAGTCCTTAATGACTCAAATTAAAATTACAATATTTGTATTCAAAATACAAACATAACTTGACAAGAAGAGCTTTCCCAACTTGAAGTCCAATGATATCCTACACCAAAAAAATAACAAAAAACAAAAATAAAATTAGACATGGAAAATTAAAAGTGAGTGAAAAGCTTGTGTATCATCCAAAAGTAATATGAATTTTAAGCAAAAATATAAACATGTGTATAACAAAATAAAAATGAGTAGTGAAATAAATATAATAAGAAACTTACTATGGGAGCACTTCACTATCATCCACATCTTCATCTTCAAAGACCGATGCAAATTGACAATTGCTACCACTTGTAATACCTAATTATAAGTGCAAATGCATTAAAATAAATAAAATAATGCACAAGGCAATAAATAGTTTTAATATATTACAATAGTTACCTTTAAATTGAGGAAATCTCCAACTTTGAAGGCACATTAAAGCTTCCACGGTGTCTTGGTGTAGTCTACTACGATGGGAACTAACTACTCTACCACCGGCACTAAAAGCACTCTCCGAAGCAACGGTAGAAATGGGCACCGCAAGAATATCCCTAGCAATTCTAGAGAGGGTAGGATACTTACTTGTTTCGGCATTCCACCAAGCTAGAAGATTAAACTTGTTATCATCAACTACTATCCTATCCTATCCTCTAAGTATGCCTCCACCTCACACTTGCGACGTTTTTTTGTTGGTTGTGTTGATACATGTTTTGCCCATAATCCCTCCATATCATCCAAGTCGGTCATGGGTCTCTTACCCTTGTCATTAAGAGTGTAAGAAGGTGCCACCGAAGACGACTCTTTATAATACACATCATATTCATAATCAAGAGCTAAATCAAGTAAGAATCGTTTAACCTTCTCACATTCATTATCACCACTATCACCATGAAGGGCATGAAAATAAAGAGACACACATTCCATTTTCCTTCTTGGATCCAAAACCGATGCCACGGATAATATCATATTAATAACCTCCCAATACTTATCAAACTTGTAGATCATTTTTGAAGCCATCATCTCTATTACTTTATTACCACAACACAACCATTTTCTCAATGCAAGTTTAATTTCACAAACTTTTTCAAAATACAAGTTTGCGGTAGGATAGTTTTTCCCCGAAAAAGCATCACTTGTCCTACTAAATAAGGCCAATTTTTCACAAATTTCACTAGCCATTTTCCACTCATCTTTAGTAGGCAACATAAACTTATCTTTTCCTCTTTTTCCAACTTTTGAAAACAACCTAGTAAAAGCATCTTTATATAAGAGGGCAACTTGTAACATTTCAAAACATGAATTCCACCTAGTCTTACAATCCAAAATCAATTTCTTAGTTATAGGAATTTTCACATAATTACAAGCATCTTCAAACTTTTCATATCTCTTTGGTGTGGAAGTACAAAAGGCAACAACACCACGAACTCTCTCAATTGCATCACCAATAATACTCAATCCATCATTAACAACTAGATTTAAAATATGTGCACAACATCTCATATGCAAATAGGTACCACCCAAAATAAGCTTACTAGGAGCAAGTTTTTCACGCAACACATCCATAACCGCATCATTGGTTGTACAATTATCAACGGTAATTGTTGAAACTTTTTCATCCAAATTAAAGCTCTTCAAACATACAACTAATGCCTTACTAATTGTATCTTTGTTGTGTGGACATGGAACATACATGAACTTACCAATAATTAATAATTATATGTAATTAGCAATCTAAACCATTATGTAACTAACTTCTCATATGAATACAAATATCATAAAATAAAATTACATAACAATAATCAATTATGTGATAAAGTAGTATAATTACCTTATGAGACGATTTTGCAAGATCCAATCATCATCAATAAAATGTGCCGTCAAGTCCACATATCCGTAGTGATGGCGACTTTACTTTCATTTGCTCCCAACAACTTCATCAATCGAGATTTCTCTTCCTTGTAATCCTTTAGAATGTCGGATTTCACGGTATTCCTTGAAATGATATGAAATTCGGGGTTCAAACTATGTGAATACCTTCTAAAACCCTCATGCTCAACAACGGAAAGTGGATACTCATGCATAAGAATCATGTTCACCAACTCATTTCTTGAAACTTGTTGGTTGAATTTGAATTTTCCAATTGTCATAGTAGGACTTCCACTCCTACTTGCACTAGCTAGTAACAAATGTTGTCTCACATCTATTGTCTTCTTGACTTTCATACATCTTTTTGTATGTTCTCTCAAGTGTGTAGTGCCACTTGAGCTCTTACCCACAAAATTTCCTTTACAACCTTTACAAAAGGCCCTCCATACTCCATTAACCAATTTCCTATCATAAAATTTCCACACGGCCGAAGTCAACTTTCTTCCATTACTACCCGTTATCACACCTTCATCTTCATTTTCATCATCATTTTCATTTTCATCATCATTGTCATTCACATGTGATGTATTTGAATCATTGATTTGCTTCTTAGTAGTCTTAGTATGAGTTGGTTGGCCATTAACCTCTTCACAATCATCCGGACTAGAAGATGCCTCATCGGTTTCCATATCTATACAATTGTAATATTAAAAATTAATCATTATTTCATAAAATAACACTAACCAAAATTTATGCATAAATATAATATATGAAAGAGTATGACAGTATGTAGATACTACCTTTTGTTAGTTTTGTAGGAGGAGCCATTTATGTTGAAGATTCAATATGGTTTAAGCCTAAACATCAATAATAATTAATCATAGTCAAAATAAACAAATTTGTGCAAATATAAGTCAATGTGAAAAATCAACCATACTTACAACATGAGAAAAAAAATCAGAATTTATCATATGAAAACATAAAAATTAGAGAATAATAAAATAACTCAAAAATTAAAAACAAAATAATAATAAACAAAACAAAACAAAAACTGAAGCAACTAGCTAACAAGTCTAACATACCATTACGACAAATTAAACTAAAAAAAAACAGAAAAATCAAATAAAATTTGTGGACCATTTCTGAGATAAGTCACCCAACCCATTTATTTATTCTTTGAGTAATTATCATATCGAATCGCACATTGAATCGCAAACTTGTTGTTTCTTTCATTCTTTGAGTAGTTATCATATCAATTTCACAATCTAGGGTTCATCTATGATCATATTTAATTTAACTAGCAAAAAAAAAAAAAAAAACGAAAATAGCATGAAGGAAATCAGATATAGTACCTTCGAATTGTCGGAAGGTGGTCGGACACCAGAGCTGGTCGGAAATCAGAGATAAACTTTCAAAACGTCGATAGAATTGTCGCCTAGCTGGTGGAGTGGTGGGCGGCGTTGGTTTGCGTGAATAAGGTGGTTTTTTCCCCTTTGAATATGAAGAAGATGCAAGATGGTGGCTGTGCAAATGTGCAATAGAACGAAGGTGAAGAGTTAGGGTTTTTGTTCAATGTCCTTTTAGTTTTTACTAGTTTTATTTTTTTATTTATTTTTTTATTTTTAAGTAATTGAATTAAGAAAGTTGGGCCATAAAGTAGTCAAGGTGGGCTAAATTATTAAAACTGAATTGATAAATTGATTTAATATATGTTGCAAATATCCTGATTCCCAAATTTGGCATGTATTCGGATTGAACTCGAACTCGGACTCGGATTCGGGTCGGACTCGGATTCGGACTCGGACTCGGGTCGGACTCGGTCGGACTCTGCATAGGGTCCAAGTCCGATCCGCCTCCTATTCGGATTCGGACCTATTTTATCGGATTCGGATTCGGACTCAAATTAAACGGATTCAGATCGGATTTTTTCCTTCGGATCGGATCGGATTCGAATCGAACTCGGATTGAATTGCCATCCCTAATTACTAAATGGTTGATTATAATGGCATACACTGTGTGTGTGGGGCTATGCTGCCTGACAGGATTTCAGTTTTCTATCTCACCGAAGCTCCTCTGTAGTGAACCACTTAGCGGTTAATGTAGTGAATGAACTTAAGATGCGTTTTTTATGCACTCATGTCAGAGTTTATTGCTGTTGAACTATTCATTACTGAATTCATTTTCATGCTTTTGTTTATGTTTTTTTTGGACCTGTAATAGTCAGACTGGGCTTAAATACTATTTCTTTGATTGACTTTTGGAGTAGCTCAAGCTTAGTGATATCATGATAGTGTAAATTCCTATTAGTACTTGCAGTCTTCTCCTTATCCTCGATCATCTTTTGTATTTAATCATTAAGATTGGTCTTACCCCATTTTCTGTTACATTTACTTGTTTGATTATTGTATTGCGAAAAGTTTTTATGATTTTGCCTCTAGAAAGAAGAAGAGTTCTACTTTTGTGATAATCCTTTTTCTATGGAGTAATTCCTTGGAGCAACAGTGAACTGAATAAATCAGCACTTTTGAGTATATCATGTCAATGGTGAGGTCAAGGAGAGTAGGAAGGCTAATATGTACATGGCCTTATTCCTTATGGATTCTTGAAGTTACTTTTAAAACATATAAAATTTCCTTCCCTTTTCTTTTAAAGTAATTATCTTTATAAGTTGTAAGATTCTCATGTTAGATTTTGCCTTGTGACTTGTGATTGACATCTGTTGTGTGGCAGGGCCAAACTAGGTCACGGATTGCTATCTGGGAGATACTCAATTCCATCATCAGAGGTGTGTTTCTGGAGTTAAATCTACAAACAATTAGTTCCTTATCTTCCATAGCCCTTTGAGCATGCTCTGCTATGTCGAGTTTAGTTCTTATTTTTATTTTAAATTTTATTAGATATATCGATATCTTTACCATGAATTATTTGCAGATAACTTTAGTATCTGTCTGTTGTTTTAAATTTTATTAGATATATCGACATCTTTACCATGAATTACTTGCAGATAATTTTGAATTTTATTAGATAACTTTATTTTAAATCTGGCCTAAAAAGACAAAAGGAAAGCTCCTTGATTTTATTGTTAGTATAATGATGCTGTCTCCACTTGGATGTTAAGTACATTAATTGCTGCGAGTAATTCTGTGGAGGTGTTATTTGTGATGAGTTTTGTACACTGGGTCTCCCTATACCTGGGGGAGTGGGTTATAACTCGAGTTTGAGGTCGGGGAAAGGAAAGTGGGTTTTTAAAGCTCCCTTTAATCCCTTCATCATTGTGTGATATTTAAAGTATTACTTTTCTTGATGATCAGTTGACATGTGGTTTCTTATATAAATACCCTATCGTCATATTGTTGGGGGTCAGTCATTGCGATAGCTATTCCCTTTGTTGAAGATCAATAATGACATTGTCCAATCCCTACGTATATAAGAATTCACCGTGCACTTTAAAACAGATCTACAGAATCAATATAAATCAGGCTAGATTGTAGGAAGAAAGTTATGCTAAGATCATTTTCATTTCATTGAGAGCCATAATGTTGGCTTCGTAATTTAGCATTTATTATAATTTTGTACCTTTTATGTTTTAAAATATTAATGTTTTATGTCCATGCCCATATTATTTATTTGCAGTTTTGCACACATTTTTCTGGATGTATCTTGTGAGTTGTGACAAACAAACCATGAGGAGAAGCTAGTCACTAAATTTAAACTGTGATAAGAATTTAGAGTAAATTTAAAGCACCTTTTGGTAGACATTTATGGTTCTAGCTTCGAATAAAAATAATTTCATTTCCCTAATTTACTTTAGTTCTGACAAAATGTAATATGTGCAACATAGGTCATAACATGATAAGATTCTCGTTTTAATATGGTGGGAGGGAAAGAGAAAGAGGGTGGGGGGGGGGGGAAGGGGAGTGTGGTTAGAATTAAAAACAAGATATTGCGTGTTTAGCTCTCTCCTCTCTGAACACTTCTCCAAAGCAGAAGAAAATTCCTTTTTCTTGAACTCTAGTTTGGTGAGGGGATGAACATAGAGAACCTAATTTTTAACATTGGGTGGGCCTCAAACATTCGGTGCTTCATTCTGAGCATTGCTGTTACCCGAAGAAAGGTAACTATATGTTACATAGCTGCACCTCTTGGTGCTAGAGGCTTTATTGGAGCTTTCATCTAGGCACTCAAATGTTTAGGGTTGCCCATTTGGTATATTGGTGATAGTTTTTTTCCCCTTAATCTCCATCTTGAGTTAAGGAAAATACAGTTACAAACTGGGACTATCTTGAGTTAAGGAAACACAGTTGCAAGCTGGGACTGTTTCATGTAGTGTATGTTTTGATGGCTTCATTTGAATAATGCTACTGCTGAGAACTTTTTTACCTTTCCTCCTCTTCACCTCTCATTTAAGAAACAAAAGAATAATTTTGGCCTTGTTTGTATTTGAATCTTCAGAAACAGGAAGGCATTCCTCCTCGGATGTTCAAGACAGTTATTGCTGCCAGTCATCCAGAATTTTCTACCACGAGACAGCAGGTTTGTCCAAACACTAACTGTACACATAAAACTATTGCTTTTTGGTTGACATTTTTTGTTAATGTTCTGCTGCCTCCTTGAATGTCATGTAGCTGCATAGAACTGCATTTCGTTAAGAATTTCCGCTTGAAAATATTGGGTACATCAAATTTGTGCTCTGTGCAGACTTATCAATATTAAGTCTGATTGAAAATGTTGGGTATGAGCATATTTGGACCTGACTTGAAAGAGTCAGCCTATGGCACCTCCCAAGTCTGCATGCTTTAAGTGGTTTAGTTACTAAATTACTCTATTCAAGATACCTGTTGAGCGACCTAAATATTTAATGATAATATCGGTTAGCACGATTGGTATCTTCTGTTTCAATTTTTTGGCCTAGCTTTTGGATGGTTCATTGTTCTGTAAATTCTTTGTTTACTACGCACTTGAGATAGTTTTCTTTGCATGACACGTTATTTGGTAAGATACTTGAAAATGTTAATGACTTGAATGTTTGACTTAACTAGGACGCATTAGAGTTTTTCCTGCATCTTCTAGAACAAGTTGAGCGGGTTAATGCAGGGAATCCAAAATTGGATCCCTCGAGAAACTTTAAATTCGGTATTGAAGATAGAATTCAGTGCCCATCTGGAAAAGTTACCTATAATAGGCGATCTGACTACATTCTTTCTCTCAATATCCCATTGCACGAAGCTACAAATAAAGGTATGTGTTGCGGTTATAATGAGTGCTCTATGGAAGACCTTGATCGACTCTTTTTAATCTAGGCGGAGAATTTTGTTCAATTTTTTTCCTTGACCTTAACATTTGTGTTTTGGATTCTAGATCAATTAGAAGCGTTCCAGAAATTAAAATCTCAAGCAGAATCTGAAGGAAAAGAAATGTGAGTTGTCTTGGTTTTCATGCATTTCCTGCTCTGCTGAAAATATTTTACTCAAGTTGTATAATACCACAGGGCTGCCGGTGAAGTAGTTCGTCCAAGGGTGCCATTAGAAGCTTGCCTAGCTAGTTACTCAGCTCCTGAGGAGGTGATGGACTTTTTCAGCACTGCATTGAAGGCTAAGACTACGGCAACGAAGTAAGTATATCCATGTGGTACTCAATAACCATTATTAAGACAGACAAATGTCTGTCATCTAAGCATGCTATTCTTGTTTCTGTTAGTTATTAGCAGTAGGGTAGTCTGAAGATTTGTGATTTTCAGCCTAGCGTCATTACCTCAAGTACTTATATTGTATAGTTTCTAGCCTCAGTTTTTTTTTTTTTTTAAAAAAGGCTCCCTAAGACACGCAAAGGTCTTTTTTTTTTAAAAAAAAAACAATGCACATCTTTCTCTTTTTATTTTACATCTTTCTTAATGTTAAATAATTTTTTTGTTCAATAAATACTTTCATAAAACTAGTTAAAATATTCTGAAAAGAGGGGGAGGGGGGGGGATAAAACTAGTTAAAATATTCTGAAAAGAAGGAGGGGGGGGGGGAAGGGGGGGTCATGTGACTTGGTTTAATAAAAAAAACTGAAAAAGAAAAGAAACAAGGTAAATTTCAAAATATACATTTGTATCATTAACTGTATAGATTGAAGAGAGAAAGCATACTCCGTAACCTGCAGACCAGGAATTGGATGAAGAAGAAGAGCAAAAAAATGATATTGACAAATGATGAGATGTTTTAAAATAATCAATAAATACTTTCTCCATTTCACAATAGTCGTGTCGTTTTGACCATATGCATTTGCCAATGCTTTACTTTGCCTTTAAATATCTTTAATTATTTCTATTAAAATCTTAGAAATATATATTATAATATATATTAACTACCCAACAACAATTAAGATAATGATACTATTGTGAAGAGTCTATATGATGAAACTATTGTGAAGCAGCAAAAGAAGTAAATCTCTGCATCATTAACTGTTTTGTGTCTTTTATGATGATTTGGGTTACAGAATGCAGAAATATCATGTTCATTACTAATATCTAAGAAGTATATTGTATCTTGGCCCACACCTTCGCTCGCTTGGCGCCAAGGCGCACCAAAGCCAAATGTGTAGTATAATTTAGTATTTATTTCTCCTTTTATCCCACAAATATGTTCCTAGTTGCTTTGGCATTAAGAAAGTGAGAATAAGAACAGTTAAAGTTAAATACAAATTTAAAAGTGGATAGAGTGAAGATATTGGGTATGAGAGAAATAGTAAGAGAGATTCATAGTAGGAGCATTTGGATAGACATATTTTTTTAAGGCATTTTTTTTTTTTAATTTTTTAGTTATTTTTTTATTTTAAATTTTTCGTTTTTTTTTAGGCAAGGATAGACTTAGAATACCATAAAAGGAACTTGCAAAATGTTTCGGGCATTCTTATAAGGAAACCATGAAAATTTTTGTGGGCCAGATGGAATATTTTGTAGGTCTCTTTTGTCAATGTTCTACTTTGTATATGATAGCTTCATGTGGTCAAGCTTGGTGATATATTCTTGGTTGGTTTCCATGATTTAACATTTATTCTTGTCATTTGCAGAGTTGTGTTAAATTGTTAACGCATGTATTGATTAATGCTTACATATACTTTTAGTGTCCTTGATTCATCATTTTTCACCATGGTAAAGCCTTGGTTTAATTATTGATAACTGAGTATGAATATTACCCTGTCATGAGATGTTCAATATCATCTGGCCAAAATTTGGTTCCTTGTATCTGAACCATCCAATGGCTCAGCAACATAAGAAATAGGACGTACTACGATGTAGCTCCCTTTTTTTGGAAGATATATTTGGGCCCAAGGCTCTTTATGGTTAAATTAAAGGAAACATTGTTGTTTGTTGCATCCTTTTCATGTGCTGTAACATGTAATTATACTATAATCTGTCAAATATTTTCCATGCAGAACTACTGGTCTAACATCCTTTCCTGATTATCTGGTCTTGCACATGAGAAAATTTGTTATGGAAGATGGATGGGTGCCGAAAAAGCTTGGTATACATTTTTGTGTTTGTGAATATCCTGATAATTTTTAATGAGTGGTTGATTTTTGTGACTAACAAATTTTCTCTGTTTTGCATCATAGATGTCTACATTGATGTACCTGATATTATAGACATAAGTCACATGCGGAGCAATGGCCTTCGGCCTGGAGAAGAGCTTTTACCTGAAAGTGGTGGGGATATTCTTGTTCTTTCCTGTGCACATGTGCATGCTCTTTTTAATCACTGGGGATGCCCAATGATTTTCTAATTTATATTTTGTTTGATATCAATCTGCAGCAGGTGATGCTGAAGCAGAATCTACTAGACTTGTAGCCGATGAGCTAATTGTTTCTCAGCTTCTCTCCATGGGCTTTGGCCGATTACCTTGTGAGAAAGCTTCCATATTTACTAACAATGCTGGAGTTGAAGAGGCAATGAACTGGCTGCTTACTCACATGGATGATTCTGGTAAGTGTTATTATATACTTTGTATATTTGTATATGATATGGCATATGCTTGACCTATATCATTGAAGTATATCAACTATTAGTCTGCAATTTCTGACAGCTATAAGTAGTATTTCTGACTTTAATTCTTTTACTCTCTTGTCAGATATCAATGATCCTATATCACATACATCTCAAAATGCTGCTGTTTATGTTGATCCATCAAGTGTTGAAGTATTGATTTCATTTGGTTTCCAAGAAGAACTTGCTCGGAAGGCTCTTACGGCTATGGTATGTCGGTGTTGCATGTGGCTTTGTGCATCTCTGTTCTGTGCTGCTAAAACTATTGTGACCTTAAACTTGCTTTATTTGATAATTGTTCAGGGTGGAGATATTGAAAAAGCAACTGACTGGATATTTAACAATCCTGATGCTTCATCTACCTCAGACATGGATACATCGAGCAGTGGTGCTGCAGCTGCTGATGCCGAGCTACCAGATGGGTCAGGAAGTAAGTTATCTTTACTCATCCTCTTGTATCCACGTAATTGTCAGCATGAATTTTCCTGCCTGCCTGGTTATTTTTACTGAATCCTAATATCTTGAATATTATCTCGTCTAAAAAAAAGGTATATTAACCTGTTTATTTTTCTTCATATCTTTTTTTCAAGCGAGCACAGTGATTAAGAAATTGAAAAAAACCTGTTAAGGCTGGGAACCCACATGCTCCTGATCAAAATATATACTGTCTGTCATGCAGAGTGAAATATCTGAAGCAATTTTCTATCTGATAAGTTAATCAAAATCTTCCCTGTGCAACCAGTAGTAGTCGGTTGTACCTTGCAACAGGGGTAAGGTACAACCGAGCTTCCAAATAAGCTATAAAAATTAGCCTTGGTTGTTCCTTGAACCAGTAAATTGCCTATATAAAAATTAGCTATAAAAATTAGACTGCTAATATGAATATTCCCAATAGTTAGACTTCAATGCTTATACATTCAATTACAAGAGAGCTTACTGATTGAAATACAGGATACCGGCTTCTTGGATTTGTGAGTCACATGGGAACTTCAACTCATTGTGGTCATTATGTTGCTCACATCTACAAAGATGGTAAATGGGTACTGTACAATGACGAGAAAGTTGGAGCTTCTGTCAATCCTCCAAAGGATATGGGATACTTGTACTTCTTTGAGAGACTGGCTGATTGATGATGTTTGCAAGTCCATATTCAACAGATCATCTGGTCTTTGATAGATCTAGCTGTTAGCTTCGTGATTGCTGAAGGACTATCATCTTCCAAATTTAATTGGCTCCGTGATACAGTCTGCTTGAAATCTCATTCATTTCCGAGTTTGTGTCAACGTTCTAGGAATGCAAATTTCTATTACACATCGCGGGCAGAAAAAAAAAAGGTTATGCTGACAAATTTTGCTATATTCTCTGCTTATATGAGACAGGAAGTAGCTTCCTTGGGAAGGATAGTTGACAAACTGCTACCTTAGATTTTAGCGAACATTTATAGTGAAATTGTATTCAGAGTGTCAATTGTAGTGAATTTTTGAGTTTATAGCAAACCTTGCAATTGGACTTGTTATCAATTGCGACATAACACACAAGTAAAAGGCTGAAAGCTAGCTCAAGGCTGATTCTTTGTTTAGATTGAATTGCTATGTTTGGTTTACAAATTTGAATCGGTTATGTTAAACGATTTTGCTGTGGCATCTCAAGAACAATTTGTTTGGCAGGAACTTTACGTTGTAAATACTCCCTAACTTGTTCTATTCAAGATCACTCTATATAATTTTGGATGCGAAAGAGATGCAAGGGAATGTATGTTTCATTGTCTTACTCAACAAGATGGCGTAATTTACATTGAAACAATAAATAACCCTACAGATATATTCGCTAATATTGGTCCTAAATCCTAATTGTCTAAGTTGTTTGTTTATTGCCCATGAAAAAAGGTTTCAATCAACATGTAGAGTTTCTTAAGTTTCCCAATTAACTACTTATAGTCTTTAACCATTGATATATTTAATTATTTCTTAGTAAAAAATTCTAAATTGTTTACAAAACAAATTTAGATACATACAAATAAATACAATTCGATAAGAATTTTTTGTACTCAGCGTACAATTCTTGGGAGAGTACAAATATAGAAGTGTTTGTGGAACTTCTCAGGTAGGAACTGCCTCTTGTAAAAAGTGACTGATTACCAATACATTAGTCATTCCATAAATTTCATTTCTCTAAAATTACTTCCACATTATTGCAACATATCAAGGAGGGTGCAAAACATTTTAGGGCTCGCGAGAGAGACGAAGCCTTAAACACATGCAATGAGCCAATGAGGAGAGAAAAATTACATGTAAATAAATAGATGTTGCAACAAATTTAATAATCATGGATTGTAGTTGTGTTCTTAAAAACTTGCAACACTTCAGTTTTCATATAATTAGGAAGATAGTAAATAATACATTAAAATTATTAAATTATTGTGCAAGTGGGGCTGATTAGGGTGTTTTTAATTGTTTATTAGAGAAAAAAAACAATAAAATTGGTGCAAGAGAAACATTAAAATAATAAGTGGTTCCGTGCTAAAAAGAAAGTGTTGCAAATATGCATGAATAGATGTATAGGATATCCACTTGTCCGTTGTCCCTATCCTCCCATGAAAAGTATAGGCAACTGCAGAACAAGTGAGATATCAGGCATGGCTTTAGGTTTGTATCCTTCACTTACATGTCTACTCTTTAGATACTTGTCAAGATTTAAAGATCAAAGATTTAATGACCCCCCACCACCTCTTCCTAAAAAAAAACATACTATATCAAAGAAGTGTTATCATTTTCAAAACTTTCCCTTTTAATTTGGTAAACTTGAATTATCTTATGAAACAGTCACTTGAGTTCAGAATCAAACGGTTGCAAAATGAAAAAATGTTACAAGCAAGAGATTATAAAAAAAAAAAAAAGCTGAATTTTTTTTTTTGGTTTGCAAGTATTATCCTGAAGCAAAGGTATTTCTCATTATTCCAAAAGTTCAAATATACAAGATCCAAGGACCGTGCATCCTCACTTATTTGTTCAAATTTGAGATCAAATACATGAATGAAGTTTCCGTGTTTCGCAGAGATCCGTGTTTCTATGAGATCAATGATATTGTACACTATGGAACAAAAATGAAAAATTGCAGGCAACTTGTAAAGACGCCATCATCTCTGCCAACCTATTCTAAAAGAGAGATTCTATAGTTATAGTCACAATATGTATGAATCAAAAATTTTGTTTTCCTTATTTTCTTTAAATGTCATGAAAGTATAGTTGACATCAGCTCAGGGGGCAACCAAACCTTCAATTGTGTAGCTCAGAGACTCTGCCCAGTCAACTTTGAACATCATTGCCTTCAGAGTATCCAATACATTGTAATCCGGATCCAATTTACGCTGCCAACCCTGGAGAGTAAATAATAATAATACCAGAAAATTGTGAGTACATGATTGTGTTGATTACTTTATAGCAGATACATCTCATTGCAGAAGATTCACTCATTATACATGACAAAAACCTAATGTACACCACAATGTTGATTTCTTAGGGTACATTCAGTTATTTATTTAATTTATTTTTTATTCATAGTCAGCCACAATATAAATGATTCATGAAATGGTAAGCTTCACTAGTCACTACAGTATCCCCTCCTATTTACTCTGTTTACAAAAGTATTTTATGGTACAGAAGAAATGAATTGCAAAACTGTCAGTTTGTAAAGAAGCAGACTACACAAGAGCAACATGCACCAGTTTATAGAAGAACCTGCCATAATTTTAAGAGACCTTTAAATAAAACCTATACTGAAATAATGAAGTCTGAATAGGGAAAATTTGAAGCTTCTAAGATGGGGCCAAAGAATACCTCAAGAACCATGGTTGTGACAATCACAGTACAAACATTTCCATCAATGTTAACTTTGTGGTGCCGAACTAGTTCCAGAAGTTGCTGCATGCAATCAGCAGCATGTAAAGTGGAGCTCTCAGGTGAACCCCAGGAATTGAACTGTTTTTCTACTTCCTGTAACCAATGTATTAAAATTACTGCAGTGTCAAACAGCATCATGCCTTTAAGATATTCATGCAAAATTTGAAGGCTCTGCAGTTAGATAGTATACATTCAAAATTTTAACAGAACAAAGCCTAATGGTCACCACAAAACTTAGTGGAAACATACAGAGTGTTCAAAACGTACAGTCACTATTGTGCCTGTGTGAAATCCAAACCTTCTAACAGAATTTTCCAAGAAAGTAGGTGTATATCAAGAACCTGATGATCCCTTTGCAACTGATTGTAATTTAAGAGTGACTTATTGGCCTTATGTACTTTCAAGTTTCAACGGTTACTTATATGACTGAACTGACCATATGGCTTTGGTTTAACTGGGTTGAACTTTTGTGTCTAACAAAAATGACAACATCAATCTGTCTACCCAATGTGTGTTCCAGACATCTCTTGAACTATGAGATGGCAGGGATGGTAGTGGCTTCAAATATCAGGTTGAGGTGGTTGCCTCATCAAGCAAGAGCCAAAGAAATACTGCATGAAAAATTGATCTCTTTGGTGCAGATATGAAGGACTAGAACATTGTCAAAGGAAACTATTGTCAAAGGAAACTATGTAAAAGCAATTCCTCCACATAGAGATGTGGCTTGGATGAGTTGGAATATAGGCAACAATGAAGATAAGTTATACAGAACATTAGGTACTAGAAAATTGAATGAGGGATCTTGACCGAACACTTGTACTCAATAGCAGGAGCTAACTAGGAACAATCAACTTGACTCACTAATTTTGACTGTTGACATCTATTACCAAAAGTTAAATTACCTTAACAAAAGCCCCAGGATTTGGGCAATTTTGGTTTTCTGATAACTGTAGAGTACACTGAGCAGCAGTGCGACCATCTCGAAGAGCAACGGCCTTGAAAAACTCCAGTATATTAACCCTATCTCTTTTAGAAAGTTCAGCAGTCATGCCTACATCGAGGAATACAACATGCGGCCTTGATTCAAAGAGCTGTTTCCCAGGAATTCTCTTATTTATCCGGACAAGTATATTTCCTGGGTGCATGTCAGCATGGACAAAATTGTCAACCTGCAAAGGCATCCTCTTTCTCATTAATATATCAGTCTATGGAATAGTACTGGAAATCAAACGAAATACAGTAACTATTGATTGCAATCAGAATCAACCAAATTTCTGATCTTATCAACTCAAAATACCATCAATGTTCAGAAATTTGGTTGACTGAGACCCAAGAATCAACCAAATTTCTGAACATTGATGGTATTTTGAGTTGATAAGATCAGATAAAAATTTAGATTTTAATCAGCACTCAAGCATATGGTGTAAGACAGTTGCCAGCACCTCAAATCAGCCATTACAGATCGGGTCAAATTCTACTATTTTTAAAGCAACAATTTAGGTGACTTAGAGAGCTTATTTCCTTAGTCTGGACTACTAGTGCTTACGACAATCATTTTCTGCCCTAAAACACTCAGATCTTTTGTCCCAAAAATATTGATCTGTATCTTTCCCTAAACACTCATTTTCTTGTCCGAATTTTTTTTTCTTGATTCCCGCCTCAGCTAGCACAGGGAAGACCAAGAGAGAACAGAAAGCCCTCCTCTTCTACTGCTTCCACTTCCTTACATTCAACATTCTTCAGTCATGTAATGTTAGCTGTGCTATAAATCCATTCATATAAGTACTGCTGAATACAAAGGCAACAAATACTCGTCTGATAGCAACAATTATTACATTTTTTAGAAATGCATTAAAACTATTAAATTTGAATCACAGCTTACAATATCAAGGCATTTGAACGATTATAATAACTCTTTTTGTGTCATATAAACCTATATCCCAGACACAGATGTCAGGTCAACATGGTTCAGTTACTCTGAAGTGTGATCCAAGATTTAACTCATATCGGAAAATATATATAATCTGAAGGCAAAGAACCAAAGGCCAACGATGACGCAATAAGCATTAACAAGCACTGTACAGCAAGCATGTTAGGAAGCTGAAACCTCTTGATGGATTTAGAGGAGCTTACTGGTAGCAGAACCATCAAGAAATATAACATATCTTTACTATGTACAATATATTTTTACTTCTTTACCAATTCCCAGGCTGTGTCAGAATGAGCAGTTGAACCCACTACTTTAAGGTTAAATGGTGGGCTTACAACTTTACAGCCAAAACAACCTCATCCAGAAATCAAGGGAGAGGAAAATGGGAGTAATGATTTTAGGTCATTGATGTTTTGCAAACTTTGATCTGCATCCAAAGAGTATTTCTTCTTCAATTTTGGCAAAAAGTTTCTCAATAAAATTTCTGTTGTTTTTGCAAAATAAATAAGGAAAAGTAAAAAGAGATATATTCTCAAACGAAAACTAGTTGATTTATGAGTATAAAATCATACCAAAAGCATTTTTAGAAGGGCATGACTCCCAATGTGAGCAAGTGATGTTTTGATACTATCATGTCCTTCAAGTTTATCAACGTAATGCAAGATACTTTGGCCATGCTCATAAGTTTCCACCAGAACCGCTGGGTGCACTAAAGGATAGAGAGGCTTTGGGAATGAAACATCCTTCCATCTGCGGAAATTGTAGATAAATCGACTCAAATGTGCAGCTTCTCTTGCTAGATCAACTTGAGACATCATAAACACAGCAAACTGTTGCAAGCTTTCATCCAGTCTCAACCACTTCAGCGTTGGTATCAAGTTTAAAATTTTAGCAAAGACATTTATTATCATGAAGTCTCTACGAATTGCTTCACCAACACCAGGATGCCTAACTTTCACAGCAACTAACTTAGGCTTCATTGGGTGACCAGGATAACGGAATTTCAGAGTAGCTCGATGAACCTGAGCAACACTCCCAGATGCAACAGGCTCCTCTTCAAACTTTTCAAATATTTCACCTAGCTTGCGGCCAAATGCCTTCTCAACTGTTTGCTTTGTGAAGGCAAAGCTATGTGCTGGTGCTTGGGAATGCAGCTGTGCGAGTTCTGTGCAAATATCCTGAGGGAAAAGGTCGGGCCTTGTAGCAGCCCATTGTCCCCATTTTATAAATGCTGGACCAGCCATTTCAAGGGTGCGGCGAAGAATACTAAGCCAGGATTTTCTAAACTCTACACCAAGAGAATTGGCGAAAGGAGCCATAACTACACAAGGTGAAAATATGATTGCTAGATAGATTGCCCTAAGAAATATAATAATAGCCTCTACCAGAGAAAATGCAAAGGATGCCAAGTAAACATGTCCATTTTGCGCATGATCATACAGAGTGCTGGTTGCTGCTAAGCTGTCTGCATGAGTGCACTTAGATTGTCCACCTGAAAACTTCCCAGCTATTAAAGCAAGCATACTAGGAGCAAGTAGTTGATAACGGCTCAAAGCTAAACATACAGCAGCAGCAGCTTTGTTAATATGAGAAAGAGCTTGTCCCCCATTAGTCTCCATAGATAAAAGCTTTCTCCAAGCAACTTTTGCTTCATTTGACAATATATAGCTTGCTGAGAAACTATGCATTTTCCGTTTTCCATTGTTGGTAAAAAGATATTTTGCTTCAGATAAATTATGTGAAGCATAGCTTTTTCTCACAAAATTGTACTGGGAATAGGGGTCCAACTTGCTACTGCTACATTTCTGCTCTTGCAGAAAAGTGCGAATGATACTTCTAACTCTCCCAGCAGCCAAACATCTGCAATCAAAGAGTCCACCAGAAAAATTCATGCCATAACTAGGTGACGCTCAAATAATAAGAAAAAGATCCACCATCTGATAGATCATTGGGTCTATTTAAAATAAAAAAAAAGCCATGAATTTTATGCCTTATCACTAGATTGCAAGGTATACAACGGTTACATTCTGGAGGCTGGTGCCACAAAAGCAAAGAAGTGTAACTGGTGTTCATGTAATTTGCAAACTTCTTTGTTTCCAGGAGGCATTTTTTATAGGGTTTATACTCCACATACCATAGAAGTCTAGATCCAAAATCTTTGGTCATGAATGGCAAACCTGAGAATGATTTTTTCCTTTATTTTTTTTTTTAAAAAAAAAATATTAATTTTTATAACAGTTTTGGGACTAAGGTTTTGTTGCTGTATTAATTTTTAATATAGGCGTAGAAGCATTATGAATTAGCATTAATCTAATTATGACAAGATTTGTATTTGTTAAATGTCATGACAAGATTTGTAGGAAGTTTGCAACATCTATCACATTTTATGTTTTCTATGTGTTATATGTTATGACAAGATTTATAGGAAGTTTGCAACATCTGTCACATTTTTTTATGTTACTCAACCCAACCCAACATTTTTTTTTTCCCAATGGAAATCTAACTTCTAAGAGTGTGCCTGGAATTAAGGGTATCAAATTAGGGGCATTATCAGTTATTGGAAACTGTTATGGGGGTAGATAATAAGTAAAATAAATAGGGTAATAGATAACCCTCAAATGGAAGTTACTTAATCTCCCTACCCTCTTCTAGAATAATAGGGTAATTTATTTTGACTTCATCACCACATTTCTCTCATACGTCATACTATGGAATATTAGTAATTTAGTACTTAATAATTGAGTCAACATAGTTGTACATACTTATCTTCTTCCAAAATTATCCTAACTAATACGAAGTACAATATTTCGGTAGTAAGTAAAAAGCTCTTATAAATCTATTATAATCAAGGAGGGCTTAAGAAGTTTACATAATCTTTGACAGCTACTTTCAGAATTGAACAATATCTCACAGAAAACCAAAATAGCCAGAGGGACAAAATATGAAGACGGAAAGAGTAGATTATTAGGTGTAATTAATGCTACCGACTCAAGTCATGATATGGAAACAACCTAAAGAGGGCAGAAGGAATAGACAATACAGCATTTAAAATTTTTTCCCTTCTGACTGCTTCCAAAGCCATACAATATGTGAAACTATCAACTCAAATTTCTTTCAATAGGTGACAATTTCCATCCAAAGAACTAAAGAAGGCATATATCCTTCTTCTCCCCCCTAGTATTCTACAATGAACTAGCCTTATGATGAGTACAGTTGAAGCTTGAGGAAAAAGGCAAAAAGTTAGTTAGAAATGACAGTGGTGATCTAGAAAATATGCCTATTGGGGTTAAGATAAATATTAAAAATTTAGTGGGTTCAAATAGCTAAATTAATAACAAATCTTGTAAAAAAAATTACAAATCCTTTAAGAAAATTTCCACAATTATCAAAATAAAGTGGGGTCAATTGTGTCTTCAACCAGGAAACAAGAATAAGAAACCCTGTAAAGGAGAGTAGGGAGAGAGAAAGGCATCCAGAATACTGGATTGTTGTTTTAATTTAAGTTAGCCATTAGGAGTGAAACAAGCCACTCGAAAGCTTGTGTTTATCATCTTCATTTATGTGAATTTCAGTTCATTTATACTTCGTATTAGTTAGCAATTTTCTACTCTAATTCAACATCACTAAATCTGTCCAAGCTACCTCAGTTCACAACATATTCACTGCAACCCTAAACCACCTGTTGCCACTCATCGCTCCTCTAGGTGGGCAAGAGATTATCTCCCTTAAACATCACAATGATTTACATCTTCAACAGAGTTGAAAGAGACATCATTAGACAGCTTTTATAACTGTTACATTTGACAGCATAAGATAGTCAGAGAAAATGAGCCACTGAATTGTCCCTCAAAGGTCAACATCTTCCCCTAGTATTCCTTGCGTTATAGATCCAACCTTAAACCCACATAGTCTCCACTCATGAGCAAGAGTTTATATCTCCATAGATATAGGATACATTGCAATTGTTTTCACGATATATTTCAACAGAGTTGCAAAAGTCATAATTAGACAACTTTCATTATTGTTTGCTAATGGACAAATAGTCGAATATCAATCATCTCAGATGCTTGTCACTTGTACCAAAGAGTCAAGGGTCCAACGAAATCAGCTTCTTTACAGTCATAGAGGAAATCCATATAGATTTACCCTTCCGACCCTCACCCTAACAGCCGGGATAAAGTAACACATTACGGGGCACCTAAACTTGAGACATTCATCCAATTTATACCCTACAGGCAACATCCTAAAAAGAGGCATTCTTTTGAAACAAATCATATTCAAAATAATATTCGTAGCTGAAACAAATCATATTAGTAGTATTCCAAATTCAAAATAATATCCCGTTCAATAACCCTAATATCTTGGAAAAACATATTTTCTAACAAAAATAGAAGATCACCACATTGTTACACCTCACAATCCCAAAATTCCCAAAAACCTCAATTTCGCATGTATAATCTAAATAGCAACAGTGAATCAATTAATCGAGCTCAAAGTACGATAAACAACTCCGAATTTAGTTATCACATTACTTCAAGCAGTTCAAATTACACTATCAACGCGACAATCAATCCTAGTCCAGTGAGTAACAAAAATACAATTAAACAGATCGCTTTTTTTTTTTTCAAATTCTATCACTACCATCTCCAGTTAATACATTGCAAAATCAAATCAATTCAATTCAATGCTTTCTTCAAACATTAATCAAATTCAGCCCAATTGCAGAAAAAAAAAATCGAATTAAAATTTGAAAATTAAAAAGTGAAAGAAAGAGATTTTACCTGGACATGATTAATTGAAAAGGAGTTGAAAATTTGCGACGGCGATATGGCGGTGCAAAAGAATCGTCGGCATTCTCTGATTCGCCGGAGATTCAAATAAATTTCCGACCACAATTAATTTGGGGAAGAAATTATAAATAGCTTGAATTTTTATTTTCCTTTTCTTTTACACTATTTTATATTTAAAAATATGAAATGTCCAAAATACCCTCGTTTTCCTTTTCAATTTAAGGCTGCAAAGTGCAAACCTAAAACCCCCAAAAAAATTCTGGAAAAACCCTAGTTCATCCCTAAAACCGCCAATTGCACCCACAATTGAAGCTCCAACAAAATCAGAAACCCTAAATCATCGAAAAATCGAAAATGAAGAAATTGTTCGATGATGTTGATGACGATGATGTTGAGAAGATATCGAAGATTGAGGTAGACAAGGAATTCGCGAAGCGATATGAGCATAACAAGAAGAGAGAGGAATTGCAGAAATTGGAAGAGATGGAGAAGAAGGGACTTGTTCCTGATTCTGGGTCTGATTCTGAGTCTGACACTGATTCTGAATCGGAAGTTGTTGATGTTGTGAAAGCAGCGAAAGAGGAGAGGAAGTTACTGGAAGCATTGATGAAGGTTAGGAATAAAGATCCGAGTTTGAAGCAGCAGGATTCGAAGTTGTTTGAGAGTAGCAGTGATGAAGAAGATGAAGATGAAGGTGAAGGGAGGAGAGAGAAGAAGAAGAAGAAGCCGAAGTATTTGAAGGATGTGATTGCTGAGCAATTGATTGAGCGAGGTCCTGAGTATGAGGAGGAGGAGGAGAGAGAAGTTGGGAGGGTGAAGAGTTATAATGAGGAGCAGAAGGATTTGAGGAAGGAGGTGTTGAAAGCAATGGCGGAGGCAGAAGGCGAAGGCGGGGGCGAAGACGAAGGCGAGTTGTTGTGGGAGAAAAAGAGGGATGAGGAGGAGGAGGAGGAAGGGGAGGATGATGAGGAGTTGAATAAGAAATTGGATGAGTATTTTGGAGAGGACGATACATTGGGTGAGAATGATGTGTTTTTGAAGAATTATTTGAAGGAGAAGTTGTGGATTGATAGTGATAAAGGGAAGAGTAAGGTGAATTTGGATGAATTAGCCGAGTTATCAGATGATGAGGAGGCAATTGAGAAGCAGGAGGAGTATGAGAAGGGGTTTAATTTTCGGTTTGAGGAGAATGCCAGTGATCGAGTTTTGGGACATTCACGGATAGTGGATGGTTCGGTGAGGAAGGAGACGAATGCGAGGAAGAATCAGAGGGAGAGGAAGAAGGAGAGGCTGGCACAAGCTGAGATTGAGAGGCAGGAGGAGGTTAAGAGGTTGAAGAATTTGAAGAGGAAGGAGATTCAGGAGAAGCTTAGTAAGATTAAGGAGATTGCGGGTATTGATAAGGATATTCCTTTAGATGAGGATGATTTGGAGGAAGATTTCGATCCTGAGAAGTTCGATAAGAAGATGAATGCTGCATTTGGGGATAGGTATTATGAGGAAGAGGATGTTGATCCTGAGTTCGGGAGTGAGAGTGAGAGTGATTTGGAGAAGCCGGATTTTAAGAAGGAAGATGAGTTGCTTGGATTGCCTGAGGATTGGGATGTGACTAAATCGAATGACGGGTTTTTTGCTGAAAGGGAAAGGTTGAAGAGTATAGCCGAGGATGGAAGTGATGTTGATGGAGGAGAAGATGATGATGAACAAGTAGATGAGGGTAAGAAGAAGAGGAAGAGGAAGAAGCCTGCCATTAAGGAAGCTCTTGATAAGAAGCTTGAAGAGGAACTTTATAAGCTTGATTATGAGGATAGTATCGGAGATTTGAAAACCCGGTTTAAGTACAGGGAAGTTAAGCCCTCGAAATATGGATTGAGTGCAGCCGATATTTTGATGTTGGATGAGCAGGAGTTGAATCAGTACGTTTCGTTGAAGAAGCTTGCGACTTATAGGGAGAAGGAGTGGAAGGTGCCTCAAATTCAGAAGAAGATGTTCTTCGAGAAAGTTGTGAATGATAAGATGAACCAGAAGAAGAGAAAGAGAAGGGATAAGGGTGATGTTCGTGAAACGAATAATGAGAAGGAATCTGTAGATGCTGGGAAAGCACAAAGTGAGGAGCCGAGTGTTGATGAGAGCCAGTTGTCTCGAGCAGCCAGGAGGAGGCGCCGGATGAAGGAGAAAAAGCTGCCTGAATCAAGGCTTGTTGCTTATGGAAAAGTGCCATCCAGTTCTAAGAACAAGTCAAAGAGTTAAACCTGTGAGATGAGTCAGAGGAGGTAATTCCTGACTATTAATTTAAGTTCAATTAGCTAGCCTGCAAATTTCAAGCTTGTGACATTGTGATTTTAATATAAGATGGAGTATGCTGTAAAGTATACATATTTACAAACTCACAAAGTTTGTGTAGTTGTTTTAGAGTGTAGATGTTAGCATTGTTTTGTCACCACCCAAATGTTGCTTGGTTTAATGGTTAATGCTTTGATAAATTTACTCATTTACTTTAGGTCACATGATCAAATCTTCGCATAAACTTTTTTAAGAATGCTTTTTAATACGGAGTAGTATTTGTCTCTTCAAATCATTTGGGTGATGATGGTTCTGAAAATCTCCTTTTGTTCCTGCCTGTTTCTGTATGATTCTGCTGTCAATGTTTACTGGTATATGTCATATGTGCCTTGATGTTACTGTTCATTTGGGTGGCAATAATTATGAAAATCTGGAAACCCTTGATATCTTTTTGATGCTTAAGAATTCATTTTATGTTGGTTTGGCTTTCTTTTCTTTTTTGAGGAATAGTTTGGCTTTCAATAGATCTTCAATAGGTGGTTTTAAGGCTCACAGTTTGGCTTGCCTAAATGATTTGTTTCTGAGCAGTTTATTTAACCAATGTTTGAATACTTTGCAGCAATCTTTGAAACAAATTTGAATTCATTGCCGCAATCTCTGAAACAAATTTGAATACTTTGCAGCGATCCTTGAAACAAGTTTTGGATTACTGTGATCAAAGTAAGCAGATAACTGTGGATTTATGAAGTTCCTCTCTTTGGCTATATCTGCTAAACTGCAGTTCTTGGAGCTAATGTTTGACAATGAATTTTTGTTCCCCACCCTTCAAAATATATAGGCCTTGTCTAACTTCATTGTTCAAAGTCTGTACTTTGCCTGATCAAATGTTGTATGGAATGTTGAGTTGGATAAACATTTTTTTTTTTAATTTATACAAATTGTTTTCTTGAGATGGTTATTTTTGTTTGTATATGCTGTTTGAATGAGTTGTTAAAGATTGTGCAGAAATATTTTAGTTCCATATGTTTAAAAGATATGATTAAACTTCCCTTAGCCAGCAAAGATGGCAAGATGCCATTACACATTTACACAGTTAACTGCATGATTTGTCAGAGACATTCAATCCTAACATAAACCAACAAAGAAATCATTTTTTTTTTTGAGTTTTTCATACTTAACATCTCTTTGTTAGTTTTCTCGAAGATAGTTTCTACTTAAACAAAAAGGCCAACAAAATGTTACAGTTGAAAGCAGGTCTGCTATGTATTAGTAGTATAATCGGTCCATCTTATGTGAATCTGCTGTTATAGAAATCTGTTGAAGATGTCTCTAGTACAGAGGCCCATCTCTAGCTTTTTTTTTTTTTTTTTCCAGGTAAAGTCTAGGCGATGTCTTTCTTAGAATTCTTACCCTATACGCACATCTTTCAGAAGCCTCAACAGGTGAAACACGTAATTCTGTGTTAGCTGGCTCAACTCTGCCTTACATCTTTTACAGCTTCTCCCTTGATCTCGTGCTCTTTTTTCCTCCACAGTTGTCAAAGTTTGGCTTTCATTTGATTCAGGACCTTCACTTTGTAGGCTTGTATGTTAAATTGTTCTGTTTTCTGTGCATAATTGCTCATTAGATTCCTCTCATCAAGAAATGTCAGGAAACAGAGAATTTTGTTCCAAGCAAATCATTGATACAGGTAGGGATGTCAATATTAAGTGGATATCCACTAACTCGCTCCACCCGCAATAAGTAAATGGATGAAAACCCGAATTAAATGGATGAAAAGCGGGTGACGGATGAAGCGGATGATGGATCGGATCGGATATGGATGATACTTTTTTCACCCGCTAATCATCCACCCACCCGTTTAACATATATTAATTTTTTAATCTGAGAATTTTAATAATAAAATCTGAAATGTGCAAGAAAATTATATGTATTTTTTTGTTGCAAATTAATTTTTCAAACAATATATTGTTATTGTTTCCTTTTTAATTAATAAAATTAATAAAACTATTGTACAAATAACCGAAAATTAAAGTGATGTGAGTTTTTTTTCAACTTTAATACTCATCCATTAGTCATCCGCTCCACCCGTTTCATCCGCGGATGATGGACGGATGGATATGGATGATGGGTGAAGCGGATGATGGGTGAAGAGGATGGAGCGATTAGAGTAATGGATGGATGCGGGTGAAGCTCCACCCGATCCGAATCCGATCCATTGCCATCTCTAGATACAGGTAGCTCATTTGTCAATTAAATTCAGCAGTCGTAGGAGGTGTTAGGGTGGGTAATCTTGTTTATTGATGGCTCTTTTAGCTCCGCGATAAACACAGAGAACAGTCAGATTTATAGCCTACGCTTATTATCTCTCATAGCTCCTTAAGTTTCAGGATTCTATGTTGGTAAATTTAATTTGACTTGATTAGGTTTGTAACTAAATATAGTTCACCCTAATCTCTTACTACATAAATATTCAACCAATTCCAAATGAACCATCAACCATTATGTAGAGCTCGTACGAAGTAAACAATTCTTAAAACGATTATCACCTTAAACATGTATACCATGTGACGTAGGTTTTCTAATAATTTTTGGCTAGTAATTCACAATAATTAGTTTCAACTTACATACTACCTCTATGATCCATATAAATAACGTGACAATTAATTTTGAATTAGAAGTAGTCAGGGAGTACAATAACGTGATTTTGTACAGTACTACGTCCACGTAAATGGTAAAATGGAGCGAAAAAAAAAAAAAACAATTCTTAAAACGATTATCACCTTAAACTTGTGTACCATGTGACGTAGGTTTTCTAATAATTTTTGGCTAGTAATTCACAATAATTAGTTTCAACTTACATACTACCTCTATGATCCATATAAATAACGTGACAATTAATTTTGAATTAGAAGTAGTGAGGGAGTACAATAATGTGATTTTGTACAGTACTACGTCCACGTAAATGGTAAAATGGAGCGGAAAAAAAAAATCGCCGTTGCCGGGGATCGAACCAGGGTCACCCGCGTGACAGGCGGTAATACTTACCACTATACTACAACGACATTTGTTGCTCCTTATTTCCGAGAAAATATACTAATTGAATATATTACTTGAATTTATTTTGTGTTTTTACCTGTTAGTTTAATTGATGATGGGAAGAATACAGATGATTTCAGCAAGGATTTTCTGCTGTATTCCCAAAATTCACATCACCAAAGGCAAAACCGATGCTTTTACTTAAGGTAATAAATTTGATCCGTTTTCTGTATGCTTTTACTTGAATTTTCTGTGCAATTATTAGCCGGTTCGAAATTGTTTCGTCGAAATCTAGGGTTTAGCATTGATTAATTGAATCAATATATTTAATCTTCTCTCTCTTAAATGTGTAGTAGATTATCCTATAAACCTTATTGTACTCGAAAATTGGTTGAATTTGATCAATTAGTTTGTGAATTTCGCATTTTATTTAGACCTTGATTTCACTAATTATGTCACAATTTCACGGTATTTTGAGCAATTGTTCTCGTTTAATTTAGTGGTTGTATCTAAATATAATGTTAGATCAGTAAATTAATCATACAAGTATATAGAATATAATCATACAAATTGTCGGTTCATTTTTGCATTATTTTTGTGATTTGTTTATTACTCTGTAGTTACTTGCAATGATGATTGTGATCTGCTGAAATGCAATGCTGGATTCCCAATTGTTTTATCAGTCTAATTTTGTGAAACAATTCTTGTGAAAATCAGATTTACCAACCTCAAGAAGAAGTTAAGGTGGAGAAAGAAAGTAATCTGGATATGATGAAAGATTACATTGCTGCTGCAAAAACGACTGGATAACGGAACAGTGGTTAGTTTTCTGTATATGTAATTTTATCAAAGGGCCATATTCTCCACATTTCACTATGTCGTGTTTTGCTGAGCTTGAGTGATGGCGTTTTTTTTTTTTCGAACAAAATGCATGAATGAAACAAAAAACACTGAATTTGTCTGCATAATTTTACTTTAACAAAAACAATGATGAGAATAACACTACAGAATTTGGTTGGAGGGAAATGTTGTTGTTTAGCACCTGACAGCACCTTGTGAATATAGATTAAGGAAGCAAAATCTTGAGCTTAACCTTAATTAGCCAAGTTCTGAAATCACACCAGGTGTCGTTTATCATTTAAATTGTGCTTGCACATTAGAGTTTGATCTAAAATCAAGTTTGCCTCATATTTTGATCAAATAATGTCATGTTTAAATACGAGGTAGGAAAGTATTCTTTGATTTATTCAGTTAACCAGAAGTACATATTCATAGCATCTAAGATGTGAAAAGAGGAACGTGTATAATTGAATTCAGGCTGGCGAGGACACCTATCTGGGAGACTTTGCTTTGGAAAGGGGTCCTGACTCATGGTCCGGTAAAATGTGTTCATGGCATTGAGACTTGAGAGTAGTATGAAACCTAATTTTTGTTGAGTTAACGCATGCATCACCGGGTTAAATGGACCTGCAAATGAGCATCACTATTCTCTGATTTTGGCACACATCTTACTTTGGCTGGATTAGGTAGGGCTGGGGCAGCAGCCCTTGGTTGCATATTATTATAACCATCATTTCTTGAACCCCAACAGGCTTAGGGCAGGGAAATCACAATAGAAAACACCATAACCTGACTGCATCAGTAGAAGAAGTAAAGTGTAGTAGTGTTATACTCCATATTTGTGCAATGCTGAAATGGAAGAGAGAGTTTGGGGAAATAAAGGAAAAAGGGGGGATACTTTTTGGAGTTTTATTAAGGATATGATTCATAAAAGACGAGTAAGAGAAAGGAAAAGCTAAAGGGAAGAAGAAACAGTGTGAGCAAATAGGGGTGAGCATAACGAGAGAGAAAGAGAGAGAGAGAGATTAAATACAACCTATAATTTTTGAGCAAGTATAGACCCATACCTGGTATGGTCGGTATACTGTTTTCACCCCTTGGTATGGACCATACCTGCTAGCGGCCCATCACGTCTCTTAATTTTTAAAGTCATTTAAAGGAAGAAATCAGGATAGGAAGGAAAGAAAGAGTTAAGAGTTAGAGTAGTGATAGACCACTACCAGGTATGGGCATGGGCTCGTTGGGCCTATACCAGGAGCAAAAATGTAATTTTGTGTATTACTTGCCATGCTGTAAAAAAGTAGTCTCTCTCCTCTTAATAACAATATACAAACAAATAATTGCAGCATTCAAATCAATAATAACAGAGCACCGACAAACAAAAATGCGTCAATCTCAGCATATAAATCATCGTTTTTAATGGCCAGAGCCATAAGTTTGTGTCTCTGACAAGGAACTTGTCTATGTTTGAAAACCATGAAAATCAGCCGGAAGTACTCCATAACATTGCTCACTATTCCTTTTTTGGGTTATGTTTTTTGGGTGGTTTTCGGTGATTTCTAACAGAGGTGGTTGCGTGTTTCTGGGTGGCTGGTGGAGTGGGTTCCTTTCTGTCGGAGGTGGAGGTGTGGTGGGCGGAGGTTTGGCCGACAATGGGAGCTTTCCATGGAGGTGGGAAAAGGATTTAAGGGAGGAAGAAGATGAAGAGGAAAAGAAAAAACATTATTGTGGTATGGAGAGAGAGAGAGAGGGGCAAGGCAAAGGGGAGGGAAAGGGGCAAAAAAAAAAGAGGTATATTTGGGATTGAGTAATGGAAATGTGGGACTTTCTCCCCTTTCACATGCTTCCCACCGCCTTTTTTTTTTAAAAAAAAAAATTTGATCCCTTTCTTAACTCACATCCATTTTACTCTAATGTTTGCAACTAATGGGGCACTTTGTATAAGACGAGTGAGTAGTCGTTAGTACTTTTAGAACTTGTTCTCTTCATCTAAAATAAGGAGAATTGTTTTCCTAAAAAAAAAAAAAAAAAAAGGATCTAATATGATTTTAATAGGGTTGAATATGAATCTTAATTCTTAAGTATATAGTCTGGTCTGATCTGATTTATTAATTTGATAAAACTTTTACCACATTTTAATACTATCTATAAAGAAAAACATTATCAAATTGCAGTGTGTGGTTCCTACAGGCATGTGTACCTTGCATCTTGGGGTGAAAATAATTCGGATTAAAACCGAACCGAAAACCAAATCGAATTAGTAATTCGGTTTGGATTTTGTTTGAATTCGGATTGGATCGGATTGGAAATATTAAAAAATATGGATTACGGATTGGATTCGGTTTGGAGTTTAAAAAAACCGGAAACCGAATTACAAACTGAATTTCAACCCAATACTTTAAGCCCATTTTCTTTTTCAAATTATCCAACCACTTTCCCCTTTCATATATTAACTTTAAAAAAAATTTAATTCTCAATTCTCCTTTCTCAATATCTTACTCTCTCACAAAGAAAGTAGTTAACAAGAAATGATTGTAGGAATGTTTTTGGTGAAGTTCGAGTTTCGAGTTTGAATGTTGCAAAAGAAGGGAACAAAGGTTTGGATTGAATTCTAATTTGAAAAACCGAATTAATTCGGTTTAGATTGGATTGGATCGAATTGTAATTCGATTTGAATTTGGATTAAGAATTCTGAAATCGAACTAATTCGGATTGGATTTGGTTTTGGCTATAATCTATACCGCAAACCGAACTTTCACCCCTACTTGCATCGTACCACCGTTTTGCAAAAAGAACATATTATACAAATGTAAAGAACATATAACTGTAGAAAAAAGAACATATTGTTATAATGTAAAGAACATATACTTAAAGTAAAAAAAGAACATATCTGCACCTAAAAAGAGTGAACAGAACATATGTCCATGTTCTTTGATTGTTAGTGTAATGAACTTTTATTTGTGATATAATGTTGATTGCTTATTGTTAAATGTTAATTGAATTTTGTCTTAAAATTATGGTAGATATATATAAATAATGTTCATTACCTTATATCTTCATTTTTTTTTGACAAGTTATATCTTCATGTTCTTTATTAATATTATAGATGTTCTTTAGATATATACATACCAAAAAAAAAAACCATAAAATTAGATGTTCTTTACATAATTGATATATTTTCTTTAAAAAACAACGGTATATTCGATACAAAACAACTACATGTTCTTTTCGCACTTTTTGTCTGTACCAAGGTACAGGATGTTGTACCTTAGAATTTTTAGTCAAATTACATCTTGTTAGATTCGACTCATCATGTACTTTGAAAATACATAATTTTCGTAATTTTTTTAAATACATAATTTACAATATTTAGCAACAAGTAAATAATAATTAAAAGTTTTTGATCTAATATGAATGCTATGATTTGATTTGAATTTGTTAAGATCGAGTAATAAGTATCTGAAACACAAGTTCTTAAAGATAACTATATAACCAATCAACTAGATTAAAATTCAACAAACTAGACAACCTATTGATGTTACTTAGAAAACAATCTTGAAGATAATGATCAAGTGGATATAACTTACACTTGTAAAAAAAAAAAAAAAAAAAAAAATTGTAATTATCATAAATTTATTTGTAAAAATATGTATTGAAAGCGTTTTTGACTTTATTTTATTTTATTTTTTTTATTTTTACTCCTACAAGTCTACAACTAGTAAATTATAAGGAGTAATAAGTTTAGTTGTACACTTGTACATACGTTCTTATTTAGAGATTGAGACATGAAGGCTAACAATTACAATAAATTCCAGATTCCCAGTTATCCATGACGACTTGTACAATTCCCTGCATACAATATTGTGCAATTGCCAATTGGTTATAGTTGTTGATTTTTGAACTTTTTTTTGACAGATTTTTGAACTTAAAATTGTGGCAACTAGCAACTCAATCGTGATATATATAGACTAATAATGTCAACTCAATCGTGACATAAGGCTTTTCTTGTTTTTTTTTTATTTTTTTTTTTATTTTTTTTTTTTTTATAATTATTTCTATCAAGAGACAGCATTGAACTACTATCTCCTTGTTTTTTCTTCATGCATCACTTCTTTTTTTTTTTTTTTTTTTGACAAAAAGAACTATATAAATAAAGCAATATTACTACCTAAGAGAGCTAAAAAAAGCCAAAAAAACAACACAACAAAAGGACAGCCTTGTGGAAGCAAGCTAAAATTACACCTAAACCAACCCCAGCACAGGGCCTTCCACTTACCATTGGAGGACAATCGGAGGAACCGAAAAAACTTGAAAAGTCTTGCAGCAAACCTATTACTGCAGAGCCCGGTCAACCAAGAGAAACGTACCACAACCAAGAAGTGAACCAAGAAAAGCCAAACTAACTGAAATATTCGAGGTGGACAGAGAACATCGAGTAAACCCAGTAAAGAGACCTGAAACTGACACAGAAGGACCTTCAAGATGATAATAGTTGAGAGACCAAATAACTAGGAATTGATTGCACCTTGTTGCTGAAAAAGGACCTTTGACACCATTCCACTTCCAGGGTACGAAAAGCAAAGCAACATCCTAGGAGTCTAGGAACAAACCCAATAGAGTTGTATACTTTAACAACTTTACCATGAGAAACCGTGCATCCAAATGCAGTTCTCTTCTTGCTACTCTTCCAACAGAGAGTGCAAGAAAATAGAGGACTTTGCTTACCCCAAACACTAAAGATGGGGAGCCTCCTTCAAGATTTTGATGACTGACTTAGTCATCACAAATACCAACAACAAAGGGATGATAACAATTGTATGAATGCCCGAATCATCCCACAACAACGTAGCAACAAGAACATCAAACAAACCTATTCCAAATTCCAAATGCAGGGCGAACCATCCAACTGCAAATATAACTCGGCCCCTGGACTACAGAGCTAGGAAAACCACCTATATTCCTGGAGAAGGGAATCACAAAACCAAAATGGAAACACCCCCTACCCAAAATCTTGTTACTCTCGGGGAAACATAGTCACACCCCGAACATTCATTCCAAAGGATCACCAACCTAACTAGCAAGGGATTGCTTAACCATACAATTGCTTAACCATACAATCCCTAAAATGCAACCAGGTGACAAAGACAAAGGAAACTCTTCGAAGACCTCCATAACTAGGACTATCCTATAGAACTCTAACTCATGACTAAGCAGAGGAAGAGAACTATTAAAAAACAACAACCAAACCAACAAAAGAAACCTACACAACAACATAATTAAACTAAGAAAGCTCAAGACCAACATCATACCACATCTAACTAGAACAAAACGCACACATACAAGATTTGTAAATCAACATGAAGAAGCGAGAGAGTCCGAAATAAACCTCACTAGCAGAACCGTCCTAATACCCGTAACTATCGTCACGAACAACGCAAGAACCACGTCACTAAACCTAACCTTGGACCAAGCGAGAAACCCTAATCTCAACATCACCTTTACCGTCGGGAAACAATTAACGAAATTCCTTTCGATGGCGGCGTTAAGAATAGCCACGATCCTTGTTTTGTTGATCAGAAATCACTAGACGATACACAAAAATTGACAACCACCAGAGAGGAAGAGGAACAACCAATAATTTAGCAAAATTTTCCTGATTCTTCACTCGATGACCACTGTAAAAGGGAAAAAAAAAACTAACAAAAACTGAAGGGTTTGGCTCGCCGGCGATGGCTGTGAACAACGAGCCGATCACCGACGAGCAAGGGCTTGAGCAAGGGAAGCGGTGGGAAGCGGTGAGGGTTTGCTAGAGAGAAAGTCTAAAAATACCACATAGTTCTTGTTCATGCATCACTTTTGATTGCACATACTTTGAGATAGAGAGAGAAATACTGTAAATCAATATCAATATATATATTAAAACTCATGGCATGTGTCAACAATTTTTCCATTTGGCATATGATGTGTTGTCGCCAAATCATGCCATAGCATTAATTATTGAAAAACTCTATGCATTAACTTTCATGTATATTTTTTTTTTTGAAAGAAACATTAACTTTCATGTATTAGGGCCTGTTCATATTTACTTATTTTCAGTTCAGTTCAGCTCTAATCAGTTCAATTCAGTTCAGTTCAGTTCAGTTTTATGTATTTTAATTTTTTCAGTTCAGTTCAGTTGAGCTCTTCAGCTCAGTTCGGTAAATATGAACAGGCCCTTAATGTTAAGTTTAATTGATAAACTCTTCATATACATGATAATTTCCCTTGGAATGTAACTCCTTAATAATTACATAATAATAAAGTTAGTAAGAAATTAAAATATTACTCCATTTTTATTTTGTGCATTAACTCATAAAATTGTAATCATAGGGTAAAATATTTTTGTGCATTATGGAGTAGTATATATTTTGACATTAAATTTGTAAAGATTTGATTTATAATATTTTTATGATTTTAATGTAAAAAAATTATTCTTATAATCAAACCAACTCATACAAATAACAAACTAGTTAAGCTATCATATTAAATAAATTAATAAATAAACCACCACTTAAGCTCTCAATGACAAACAAGCCAAAATATATATATATAGTTCGATTATAGTAATAAATTTATAATGACCCGGGGCATCGTCCGGGCCAATAACTAGTTTATTAATTAAAAAGGAAAGTAATGCACCCAAATTGAAATTTTCATTTACTTCGTATAGAAATTTAAAAAGTGATACTCCATCTAAAAAATGGTGGAAGTAATTTATCCAAAGACTTTGACTTCTTTCTCATAACAACCACATTGAATTAATCAAGATGACCTACATTCTGCAATCATGCATGTAAAGACTTTTGACTTCTTAATTTAAGGACTAAGGAAGCAACCACGCATTCACACGGGGCTGCCTAAGGTCAACCAAATTAATTTAATGATTGGAAAATGGAAGTGTTCTTTATATACTCCACAACTGGTTGCATAATAATTTAAATGTTAATGTGAACGATTAAATAGAGTTTGGTGGACAATTTGCAATATTGTAACTTTGTAAGCTGTTGATCTTTTCTTTCATTTATGTCTATTTATTGGCATTAGTTTAGCAGAGCAAAATCACAGAAAATATACCAAACATTGCTTTTTTCTTGGTGCATTCCACAATACAAATAAGAACACCTAAATACGGTTTCTTTTTTTCTTTTTTTTTTTTTCCTTCCCTTTTTTTGTTCCTTCAACCCCTAAAAAAAAAAAAAAAAAAAAAACAGAGAGAGAGAGATGGATGTTGCAATAGTTCTCAAAATAGTGGACACTTGTTTAAAACTGGCAGAATCTACCATGGTGAAAGAAATAATGTCTCATTGGAAATACCAAACAGAGCTTGAAAAAATAGAAATAGCCATAAAAACCATAAATATGGTTCTCCTGGATGCTGAAGAGCAAGACCAGAGGCACTCAATGCAACACAAGGACCGACACTGGCTCAAGAATCTCACGGATGCTGTTAAAGAAGCAAATATCTTGTTCGATGAGGCTGCTACCATAGCTTACCGCAAACAACGTAAGCCTGGTGGTAAACTGAGCAAGGAGGTATTCCTTTTCTTTTCTTCCTTTAACCAACTGGATTTTGCTTCTACTATGTCCCATGAGGTCAGAAAACTTATGGAGAGTTTAAATGACATTGCTAAGATTCGTCATGACTTTGCCTCTCCATCACAGAGTAGTTCAGGGAATAGAACGATAATTCCAAACAAAATGAAGGCTAGTCCCTCTTCGTTACTTGGAAAGAAGGTTATTGGAAGAGATGAGGACAAGAAAAAAGTGTCTGACTTGTTACGTGTTATTCAGGATTTTTATTTTATTTCAATTGTTGGGATTGGGGGATTAGGGAAAACCACTCTTGCTCAATACGTTTACAATGATACGGAGATCAGAACCAAGTTTCCATTTAGATTGTGGGTTTGTATTTCTGATCATTTTGATTTTGAAACGATTCTCCGGAAATTGTTGCAGTCGGTAGAGCCTAAGAACTATGACCACCTTGAGATAGAAGCACTATGCTGTCAAGTTGAACAGCACATATTGAGTAAAAAGTTCTTGCTTGTTTTAGATGATGTGTGGAATGATACTTATGCGAATTTGAAGGAACTAAGGGACTTTTTATTGACAGGGGAAAAGGGAAGTAGAATAATAGTCACTACACGCTCTAAGACAGTTGCTAAACACATGGGGGACGTAATATATGAACTTGAGAGTCTATCCGATAGCTGTTCATGGGAATTGTTTGAGGAATGGGCATTTACAAATGAGGACCGGATGAACAAGAGGCTGGTTGAAATTGGGAGAGAAATTCTAACAAAGTGTGCCAAAGTTCCCCTTGTTATAACGACCGTTGGAAGCCTTCTTAACGGTGAAGGTGAAAGGAAATGGATGTCTTTTAGAGACACAGACCTAGACAAAATCATGAAGGAGGACAGTGAGGATGGCATATTCAAAGTGCTTAAGTATAGTTATGACAAACTTACAGCACCATTAAAGCGCTGTTTCAGTTATTGTGCTATATTCCCTAAGGATTATAGGATAGACAAGAATACTTTGATTAGTATGTGGATGGCACACGGTTTCATAGAGCCAAAACCTGGTTATAGTGTTGAAGATGCTGGAGAGGAGTATTTTATGATTTTGTTGCGAAGGTGTTTCTTTGATGATATTGAAATAGATGAATTGGGTGAGATTACTTCATGCAAGATTCACGATCTAATGGATGATGTAGCTAAACTAGTAGCCGAAGAAGACATACTAGTAGTAGATTCTAATGTAAGCCAGTTGAAGATAAACGCTAGGTACTTGTCTTTAGGCAATATTGACGTCCAAAGCTTTACGGCCTCTGTGGATCAGATGAGACACCTGCATACAATATTTTTATCAGGGAAGAAGAAAGGTACTTTTAACCTTTCATTGGACACTGAAACAATATTACTATCCAAGGCAAAGTACTTGCGGGCTTTGACCTTATGTCAAATGAGTATTAAAGCCTTGCCTAAAACAATAAGTAAACTGTATCATTGGCGACATCTTGACTTATCAAATGATGAACGTTTAGAGCATCTCCCTAAACAGGTTTGCTTGCTACTGAACTTGCAGACATTACAACTAAAGAATTGTACGATGTTAACAGAGCTGCCAGAGGACTTGAGTAAACTCGTACATCTTAGGGAATTGGATATATTGGGTTGCTACAATTTGACTCATATGCCAATTGGGTTGAACAATTTAACCTGCCTTCATAGGCTATCAATGTTTGTTGCAAAATACAATCCCTCAGGGTACACTTTTAAAGGCAAGCTATAAGACTTGGAAGCTCTTACAAACGTCAGGGGAAGTCTTGAAATTAGTCTTAATATGGATAGTTGTTATTTCCCCCCACCCCCAGGCTCCAAATATGTCAAGGGTATGAAATATCTCAAAGAACTTTCTGTATTAAGAGGTACAAAGGAATTGCTTGAAGCCCTTCAGCCCCATCCTGATATTAAGAGCTTCCAATTGTGTGAGTATCGCGACGATATATTTCCTAATTGGGAATCATCATCGGACTTGGAGAAATCCCTTCCCAACCTTATCAAGTTCTCCCTTGTAAGCTGTAATTTGCAGCATATCCCTTTGTTGGGTCGACTGCGTTATCTTAAAGTCCTTAAACTCGAGGGATTACGTGATTTGAAGTACATAGAAGAGAGTACGGATGAACAATCTGAATTCTTTCGGGTCCTTGAGACACTTCTTATAACAGGTTTACGTGATATTAAGGCATGGCATAGAGACTGCTCCACTCCACAAAAGTTACACCCAGTATCACATCATTTTAATCATCTCTCCTCGATGCGCATATTTGGGACCCATTTAACCTCCGTTCCTCTGAGTGCTAAGTTGAAAATACTGAAATTGGTTTCTTTGAGTGGTTATCGAAGCAACCACCACAATCAATTTTTTACTCAGTTTGACCAATGGAGACCTGATATGCTACTTATAAGACTAGACATCTCATGGACACTGAATAGTTTGTCAGAGGTAATAGATGGGGATTCATTTTGGAGCCGCCTGTCCTCCCTTGAGAGGTTTGAAATTCGAGAATGGAAGTATCTAAAGAGTCTAACTGGAGTGGGGTTCCAGCATCTTACTTCTCTCCGGATTCTTAGACTCGGGGATTTACCGGAAATCGAACATGTAGAAGACGATACGCCTTGGAAATCACTTACCAAGCTCTGCAACCTGCATTTGCACAATCTTCCTAAACTGGCGAACCTCCCACAGGGGATCCAACACTTAACGTCTCTTCAATCCCTTCTAATCGTTGAATGCCACAGATTAACAGTATTACCACAAGCCATCCTTGACCTCACTTCCCTAACTACACTTACTATAAAGAATTGTCAAGGCTTGAAGGAGAGGTACCAATCGTCGAACGAAGAAGATTGGTCCAAGATACAACACATCCCTCATTTTTCTATTGAATGTAAGCATATACTGTGATACTTTTTCTCATATTTATACTACTCTTCATTCATATTTGTAACTCTTCATATTTAACTCATTAATTTCCTTGCATCTTGCGGAACTAGAGTGCCACTTCAGCCTGGTGATACAGATAAAAGCATGTTCAAGTCTGCTACAATAAAGCATGAAATCAGTAGATGATTGACAGCAAGCTAAGAAGGCTAGCTTGGACTGCGTTGAAGACAACAAGTTCCAGCAAAATGCTAGAGAGAAGAAAACAACAGGAATTCAATCCCGGTCTGCAAAGAACCTAAGTTCCTATATACTTTACGAAGCTTGAGGGCAATTCAGTAATAAACTTAAAAGTCTTTTATTAAGGTTTTGTTAAGTTCATTTTTGCTAGGATTACTGTAAATATGTGTTGGTTAATTATGCATGAGATCTATTAGAAACGTTATAAAGCTTGGCAAGCTAAGTACAATCGGAAGTATTATAAAAGATAATATTTAATTTTTGGAAAAGATCTTTGAGAGATTTTATCTTATAAAATTTGATTTACAAAATATTAATTTTTTTTTCTAAATTATATCTTTGTTCGATTTTCTTATAGATTTTCATAAAAATATTCATTTCATATTGGGTTTTATTAAACGGCGGTTTTAAATGTTTATCTTTTGGAAAACCCTACTTGGCTTATGAATACTTCTTATAAATAGAGTTGTTCATATTCTTAGAAAAAATAGTGAGTTTATGCGTGAAAATCTCAAGAGTTCTTAAGAGTAAGTTTGCCAAAGTTAAAGCTTTATTATATTAGTTTCGGGTTTCATGTGTAGCTTTTCAATCTCATATTAGAGTCAAGTGTTTGTATTGAAATGGGACTTGGGTAAGTGTTTTTATATTGCATACAGTGGGTAGGTTTCTATTTTGAAGCTGAGTTTTGAGTGCTTTGGGAGTCGAGTGAATTTGAGTCTGGGGATTAAGTTGGGTAGTTTAGGGTTTCCTCGTGTAGCAAGTTCAGTTTGGAACTTGTGGATAAAGGTTTGTGAGTAATAGGTTGTAACTAGGTGTGTTGCCCTATTATGGTGGATTGGTTTGGTTTGAAGTCCCTTGAGAGGGTCGAGGTTTTACTTCCAGTTGGGCCCTGGAAGGTTTCCTCGTAAATATTGTTGTGCTTTGCAGCAAGTTCCTATTTAGTTTGTTTTAATTTCCGAAAAAAAGTCACTTAGGAACTCACTACAATCCACCTCGCCTCTCTTGTAGTAGTTCGTCTCAACTAACAATTGGTATTAGAGTAGGTTCTCACATATAATAAGTAACTTTTTTTTAGTAAGTTCATGAGGAAAGATGAATCATTAAGAGAAGCTTGAACTAGGGTATTCCACCTAATGTCCACCGATGTTTAACGGAATGTTTTACACTTACTGGAAGAATAGGATGAAGATCTTCATCAAGGCTAAAAATTACTAGGTTCGAAATGTTATTAAATATGGCGATTTTGAAGTAACCAAAACTAATGAGAAGAACGAGGTAGTCTCTAAACCTTTATCTGAATTTGATAATAAGGAAGATTTTCAAAATTTTGAATTGAATGCTTTAGCTATTAAATTGTTGCAAATATGGGATTTACTTGAAGTCACTCATGAAGGTATAAATGAAGTGAAATGCTCTAAAATTGATATATTAATGTCTAAATATAAAAGATTTGAAATAATAGCTAAGGAAACCATTGAATAAATGTTTACTAGATATAATGATATAATCAATGAGTAGTTAGGTTCCTTGGTAGACATATTCCTATAGATGAACAGGCTGGAAAGGCATTAAGGAGTCTTCCTCAAGATGAACCCTGGAGATTCAAGGTGACTGCACTGCAAGAAACCAAGGATTTCACCAAGTTCAACATGGAACAACTGGATCTCTGATGACTCATGAACTTTATTTCGGAACTAATGTTGAACTTCCAAAAACAATAATCTTAGCTCTAAAGGCTCAACATACAAATGATTCAGAAGTTGATGAAGATGAGATGGCCTAGCTAGATGGTGAGAGGATTCAAGAAGATGCTCGAATTGGAAACCAGAAGTTTGATTCCAGCTTCAAGTGTGGTTCAAAGGTTTAAAGTTATGATAGTATCCTTTGGGAGATTCGGAATCTGAAGAAGAAGAAGAAGAAGAAGAAGAAGAAGAAGAAGAAGAAGAAGAAGAAGAGGCTATAAAACTAGAGGTTGTGGTATGGTTTGATTATAGTCAACTTAAACATTTTTGAAAAGAAAATCTAATTCATATATTGGGTTTTACAGTGTTCCAAACACCGTGCGGAAACCAAACCTCGGCTCGGACCACATGCATAAATAATTACGGCTACAAGAGAACTACGTAATCTAAAAGTTTTCTCACGGTTTATGTCAAAGATGCCTTTTTCGAGTCCAACTGTTGCAATTCAATTCCCAAGGAAAGCTTGGGTATTTATAGACTTTGGCATCTCCTATCCCCTTGAAATCTTTCAATGTGGGACTTTTCATAAAGAGAAAATTCTAGCAATTAATTTAATTCTATATAGCTTGAACAAATAGTCCAGCAACACTTGCATATCCGATAATAAGAAGAGTTAGGTGAAGATCACAAGGAGGACCACTAGTCACTTCTTGATCCCCAAGCAAACCAAGACAACCAATAACAAGCAAGCTTAGCTGGCCGGCCCAAGCCTTGGGATCCAAGGCACACCAGCTGGCGCCTGGCGGCCTTGCCCTTGGCTGGCCAGCCTATCACAAACCCATGCGAGGCTTGCGTAGAGCTATTGAGTACATTATTGAATTATATTTTTCATGTGTAGATGAATCTGACAGGTCTTTTGTCCCTAGGAGGTACGAGGTAATAGTTACATTGCATACATGCACATTGAGTTTATTTTTTGAATAAAAAAAATTGAATATTGTGGTTTTCAGTTATATAATGTTTTTACATATTGATAACATGATGGATAATTGGCTTAGACGATCGAATAACCAACTTTGAATAAAAGTGCGATCTATATTCAACATGTCATCATAATTAATTTCAATCAATAATGGACTCACTAATAGTAACAAATTTAACATTCATCATTGTATATACACACAAATAAAGACTCACAATAATGATCAATGGATAAATTAGGAAATGACAATGTAAATACTACGTTCCCGTATATACAAACATTCATCATTATAGTAATATTTTACAATCCCTTAAAAAAAAATAAGTTATTCTCATTTCTAATTTATTTTTAATTTTTCCAAATTGTGGGTTTCAATCTAGTGGAAGAGTAATAAACATCATGATATAATATTTTTTTTCCTGTGAGTAAAGGCTTTACATAGGTTTTACTTACAATGAACATACACACAAATATATATATATATATATATATATATATATATATATATATATATATATATATATATATATATATATATATATAGGGTCGGGATCCGGTGAGAACCACCCTCTATGTGAGAACCTATCCCTTATATGAGGACAAATCTCAACCATTAGATTGTAATAAATCCAACAGCTGAGATTAATGATATAAACCTTCCCTAACAACCATGCTTAACTGTTTCGAAGCTTCAATTTCTGCTCTGCTCTCTCTCCGCCACTCAAAATCTGCTCTGCTCTTTCTCCACCACGAAGCTTCAAGGTTTTATCAATGGCGTCTAATTAAAATTTTAAACTCGACAATTTCTCTCTCCTCTTCTTGTTCACGAGTATCAATTTCCATAAATTATTGAGGTTTGTAATTCTCTTAGTTTTGTAAATTTTGTAAATTCAACAATCTTAGTTTAATCTTAGCATCAAAATTTACAAAATATTTTTCAATTGCGTGTTAATTTCTGGTTTTTGTTCAATTTCCTGTGCGTTTCCTGTTTAATTTTTGTTTGATTTTTTTTCGACTTCCTGTGCAATTTCATAATCTGATTTTTTGTTCAATTTTGTGCGATTTTATATGCCAATTTCATCAATTTTATTTTTATTGATTTTTTCCTGATTTGTGCGATTCTATGCGTTTTTTTTAATTATTTTCTGCAGATTTCTTTGTTCGATTTAAGTAGTTCGATTTTTTTTTCGATTCATCAATTTGTTTTTTTCGTGATTTGTCAATTTGCCTCGCATGAAGATCTATGTCAAATTGCTGGTTGGTACTGATGATTTAGTGTCAAATACTGATCTTTCATTATAAGTGGTGAATTCCACACTCGTTTACCTATATATCTGGATGGTGAACTATTTCATTTCTCAAATATCTTAGAAATATAATTTGATAGGAATACTCAATCTGTATCTTAGAAATTCTTCTTGTTCTTCTTTGAGTTGCTGAGGCTCTCTTTGCCTTATTATGGTATGGTGATTTATGACAAGGAGAATGGTAGGTTGTTCTCTTCTACAAGAAAGCAGTGTCTCTCAAATACTAGTAGATAAGATAATTATGAGGTTGTGTGGTGCAGCTTGGTTCCTAACATTTTAGAAAATGCATGCTATACTATTTTGCTTGTTGGCTTTCTTCTGATTTTGATGATTTTCTACATCAACACCCCCCCCCAACCCCCCTTCTTCTGCATCTGCCTGGTCTATAATTGACTTTTTATATAAGGTTTCACCTAACATATATTTTCTTTTGGATGCTAGTCATTTACAATGGATGGCCATGTCCAGAAAAGACAACGGAAAGAGTCATTATCTGTGAATAATGATTGCTTGCCATTGTATGATCGAGGATATGCTGTTAGTTTGGCATCTGATTGGGGAAATGTCGAAGATAGGTAAGAATTCAGTGAGGCTTTATGTCCGAAATAGGATGTTATGAAAAATACTTTACTTATCCCAGTGCTTTTTGTGAGTAGAAAAGTGAGTAAATAAAATTGATCATTTGATGTAAATTTGGTTCTATAGATATGCTTTATGCTTGATGTTGCTGCGTTGTACTGCGTTATTTTGACAAGTAATATATCATATATAGGCTATTTGTCTCCTTTTAACAAGTAACTGCATTTAGAGCAGCCTCACCTTCCAATTTACTTAACATTTACTTTGTGCTTTCTGATATTGATGCTGATTTATTGTTTGCTACTCTAATAACTGTCTGACGGTTGAGATTACAACTGCTGCAATGTTGCTTTATGGGGACTGCATTACTGTTAAACAGATATTCAGTGTTTGAAAATATATAGTCTCAAACATAAACTTTTACATTTGTTAAATACTTCATAGTTTTCTTCTTCAATCTGTTGCATCTAGTGTGTGTGTCAGATGACTGAGACCTTGATATTTATTTTCTCTGTGCAGCATTAAATAAGCAAATAATTAGTTACTCATTTGTAAAATAAGCAAACATTTCTTTGATCATTTGGGAAATGAGCAATCAAATTTTTGATCATTTGGGAAATGAGCAATTTATTTTTTACTCATTTAGCAAATGAGCAAATAGTTAGTTGCTCATTTGTCAAATGAGCAAATAATTAGTTGCTCATTTGTCAAATGAGCAAATACTTAGTTGCTAATTTAACAAATGAGCAAAAACTTAGTTGTTCATTTGTCAAATGAGCAAATAGTTAGTTGCTCATTTGCCAAATGAGCAAACATTTCTTTAATCATTCATTAAAGAAATTCATAGAAAACTCAGTTTAAAAAGATATGTGAATTCTGCCTCACATTTGTGATTTTAGTCTTTTATCTCCATCACCCTGTACATTACTGAGAGCAATTTTTTTTTTGGGTATGGTTAACATTTAGACTTCAAATATCTTGACCCATCATCGTGTCAGAATGTGAAATATAACCTTCTAGTCTTTGTGGTTAGGTTGGTGGTGTGGGGGGGGGGGGGGTAGGACTTGGTGCAATTGTTGTGGTTGAGTTGGTGGTGCCACCGAACACTCAATCATATTGACTTTACTCTGCCAACAATTTCTATAGGTAAAAACTAAAGCTGCTTCGGGGAACGGTGTATTTTAACTTTGATCATTCTCCCAGGAAACTAAAAATCAATACATGACCTCTTGGGTCATAATACTCGAGGGCTATGACTGCACCATGACATTGCCTCATTGGTGCGTCATTATTTTTTATCTACTGGGATGATAGAGAAGTAAAGGAGGTGGGGGAGTGGGAAGGATGAAAGATTTTACAGGATGGGAAAATTTGATGTACCGAATGCTTTATGTTGAACTTGGATGAGATTATGATTTAGTACTATGAAGTGATATTTGACTCCTTCTTTGGTAGCAGGTCGGGGATTTAGGTCTATCCAAAGTGAAATGTCAAACATTAATGTCAGGGGGAGTGCGAGGTACCCTTCCTTGGATGGCACCTGAGCTTCTGAGTGGCAGCAGCAGTCTAGTCTCTGAGAAGGTTGTCATTTTTCTAAATCCAAGTTTATGGTTTCTATAACATAATTTCTGACAGCAGTAGACTAGTGCTGACTTTTTTAATCTGTCATATTGCTAGGTTGACGTGTTCTCTTTTGGTATTGTTTTGTGCGAGCTTCTCACTAGAGAAGAGCCATATGTTGACCTGCACTATGGGGCTATTATTGGTAATTCCTTAAAATCTTTTCTCTGAGCTATGTCACAACGATTTTTTTATTTTTTTTTGGATGCGGGGTGGATGTGCAGAGTGTAACTCTTTCTGTTAGAATGGCAATAACTTCAACCCTAAGCAGCTAAGCACTTGCAATTGAGAAACATGGCAAAAAATGGCATTGACTGAAGTTTGGTATTGTACCAAAATTGCTATTGCTGTAATACTTATTTGGTTTCGGTAGATGACTGTAGAAACTAATGACATCCAAGCCTCATTTAGTTTGGTGCCCGGTTTGCAATTTTAAAGTTTTCTAGAGAAAATAAAATTTGCCTAGGTCATAGATTCTTTTCCGTTGTGAAAAGTTATGTCTGGAAAGGGTTTTGGGTTTTGAGGATAATGTAGGTATATTGACTCCATTTTGTTTTGCAACATGTAAATAGGAGGAATTGTGAGCAACACCTTGAGACCACCTGTTCCCGTGAATTGTGACCCAGAGTGGAGATCACTGATGGGGAGATGCTGGGTTGTAGACCCACTACAGAGGCCGAACTTCACAGAAATCGCCAACGAGTTGCGCTTTATGGCTGCCAAAATTCCAGCTAAGGGGCAAACATCAGTTACAACTACAAGAACAAACACCTAGTTGGTTTTAATTTTCCTGGCTCTCATTCAGTTAATGTCTAGTTGGAGTATGTATATGGCCTAAGCTAATTTGGAATCATAGTCTTATGGATATCATATGGATAGTTGCTCATTTGTCAAATGAGCAAACAATTCTTTGTTCATTTTATCAAATGAGCAAACAATTCTTTGTTGATTTATCAAATGAGCTGATTAAAAATTTTTAACATAGAAAATGATTTAAAACATATGATAAACCTATTAGCTCAAATGGTAGAGCACTATGCAAATGCATAGGGGATGTAGGTTCAATTCCTACATAGGTTATCTCTATAAACAAAATTAATTAAAAAAAAAAAATCAAATTCGTACTAAATTATATGAGAAAAAAAATGGTTTGAAATGATTTATAACTATATCAACTTTGTTACAATTAAACTCTCATACAAACTTGTGTCTCCACATTACATAAACGAACCTACGTGGGATTCGAACCCACATCTTTTGTGCATTTGCACAATGCTCTACCCTTGAGCTAGTAGACTAACGTATTTAAAACTTTCAAACACACTCACAAATGAGCATTAATTTGACAAAATGACCAAGAATCATTTGCTCATTTGACAAATGAGCATTAAATAGTTTGCTCATTTGACAAATGAGCATTGAATTTTTTTTGCTCATTTGACAAATGAGAAAAAATTAATTGCTCATTTGACAAATGAGCAAAGAATTGTTTTGCAAATCTATAACCTGTAATTGTTTGTAAAATGAGCAACCATTTGTTTGCTCATTTGTTAAATAAGCAAATAATTAGTTACTTGTTTGTAAAATAAGTAAACATTTCTTTGATCATTTAATTTGGAAAATGGACAATCAATTTTTTGCTCATTTATCAAATGAGCAAATAGTTAGTTGCTCATTTGTCAAATGAGCAAATACTTTAGTTGCTAACCTAACATATGAGCAAAAACTTAGTTGCTTATTTGTCAAATGAGCAAATAGTTAGTTGCTCATTTGTCAAATGAGCAAATAGTTAGTTGCTCATTTGTCAAATGAGCAAACATTTCTTTAATCATTCATTAAATTAACAAGTATTTCTATTCAAACCATCAATCATCACATAAATTAATTGGAAATCCCTGAACCTTAGGCAGGTTTAGCTTACCTAATGAGTAGCCACTACATGTGAACCCATAGACGTAGCAAAATATATAAGTAGATCGTAGAAGCCCACCTGACAGATATAGGATAGCTTACATAAATTAATTAGGATTAAAAAAATGCTAGGATTAGATGTGAAGTTACTATAATGGTAAACCTTAGAAACCATGGTTACAAAGACGGGGGCAACAATCCCAGTTATCTCTTGCAGTTCAGCAAGTGATGGAACTGAAAAGGAATACACATTGTAACCTTTTCTATTCAAACCACCAATCATCACATAAGCTGCAACAATCTGAAAGATCATTCCCACAATTTTAAAAAATGGTAAATACAAACATGTAGACAATGGAATGATGAAACGATTGAATGGGCTAAACAACATTGATACATAAACAAAGATTATATCCAGTTAACCCACTTGTGATGCTGCAGTTGCCCACGCTGCACCAGCTATCCCATAATTTAAGAAGGTATAGAGTATTATATCACCAGGCCATTGAGAGCATTAGCAATGAGCAGAATTTCTATGTTGCAACGAGAATGGCATATCTACCCCTCATCCTCTTTTTTAAGTGCATGACAGAGTCGCTGGAAAACTAGCAATCACAACCTAATTAATATGAGAAAAATGTGAAATAACAATAGGAAAAAGTGCTTCTCATATATCTAGCCAAAAATCCCAAGATAGAGAGACTTTTATCAAACACTTGGTGTGCACATTACATTCCCTAAATTAGAACTCAATATTATTACCTTAAAACACAAAACATTTACACTGTATTATTTAACAAGTAACTAGCAAACATCAAAACATTACATGTCCAAAAAATAAACATAATTACATGAAATAATTGAGCAAAAACGGACTTAAATGTCCACAAAAACACAAAATCAGAAAAATATCATCAAAATTATCAACACAAACACAAAATTCATAAAATTTTGATGATGAAATTGAAAAAATTGAACACAAAGTGATAAACTAAGCTAAAAAAATCGAACACAAATTGAACAAATTTAAGCCAAAAAAACCGAACACAAATTGAAAAAATTAATCCAAGAAAATCGAACGCAAATTAAAACATAAGCGAAACTTACCTTGACGAAGAATTGATGAAGTTTGAAGAAAAATTGATGAAGAATTAGAGCAAATAGCAGAGAGAAAGAGAGCAGATAGAACTGAGAACTGAGAAATTGAAGGAGGAGAGAGAAAACGCTGATTTTTTTTTTTTTTTTTTTTTGAAATTATGTTTGACCGGGATAAATGGTAGCCATTGGATGCAATTGATCCAACGTTTGTAATATGTCCTAACATATACTAGGTTCTCACATAAGGGATGTGGTCTCATATGATCCCATTTCTATATATATATATATATATATATACACACTAGATTAAATTAATATATATATATATATTAATATATATATATATATGGTTAATTTTTTCCTAATTGTAAGTTTTAGTCTAGTGGAAGATTTAAATTAATTATGAACACCCTAATAAAACTTTTTTTTTCCTATGATAAAGGTTTTATATAGGTTTTACTACACACAAAACTTTAAGTTTGACTTTTAAAAACTAATACTAACTCCGGTTTTTATTAGTTATAACTAAAAAATATTTTTATATCCCATAAATTATACCTCTTTGTTGCAAGTAATAAGAAGCAGGGATAGAAGGTTAGTATTTTTTAAAAAATATGTTGAACATTAGTATGTTCATATAAATTTTAGAATAGGTTCACTGAAGTACAACCCTAGCACATGGTACTCATCATGTCTATTTGTTCAAAAAAATATCATTTTCAGACTCCTAATAATACTTGTCATGCATTAGCCCGAAAACAACCCTAAAATAAACTAAAAAGACGAAGATAATGAAATAGAATAATTATCAATTAAAAGGTTAAAGTGAAAAAGGTACTCCGTAAAAAATACATAACGTGAATAATTGTAGTATAATTAAGAAAAATATTACATATAATGGCGAAGTTGATGACAAATATTATTTTTCCAAAATTAATTATATATAATATGAAAAAAGATACTTTGTATTATAACTATAATAAAATTATATACGTAGTATATATATAGGTTATATTTGAATCAATCATTTCAAAAATTGTTAGCATATTAGCATAAATTCATTAAATATAAGTTGCCATAAATTAACTCATTCCCAAATAGTTTAGATTCTATCAAATTTTATTAACAAAATTCTGAATCAAAATGATCTATACAATAAATTTAACCAAAATTATTGTTCTAAGGTTTCTTTAAATTACTGTTTTTTTAACTATTATAAGACAAGCAAATCATAAAGTGACATGTGTCAGTCTTACATTGATTTGCTTGTTTTTTAGTATAATATTTTTTTAGTATAATATATTGATGATTGATTGATTAATTGATTAATAGTTTAATACTCAGTAAATCATACACATAAAAAAGTAGAGGGATCTAAAGTAGATTAACATTTTGGACGACCTAAAGAGGGCTCTAAAGTAGAGTAACATTATGAACGATCTACCATATCATGGGTTGGTTACGTGTGTTCAGCCTTGCTCGTGAGTTCAGAATCTTTACTTTTATTGGCAGTTAATTAAAATGCCACCATTGGCAGATGAACATGTTAATTAGTCAAGTAATGTTACTCCTTATTACTCTGTATTATAAGATGATCCACGCATCCTCATTCTTTAGAACGTGCACCCAATTAGTGTTATCATGCAAGCTCATTTGGCAAGGATTTTCCCTTGAATTTAAATGCTCAAGGTTGAAACCTTACTAACGGCACTTCACCTCTTTGATTGAATTTGAACTTAATTAAACTAAACTTATCTAAGCTTGTTCGATATGATTGAAATTTATTCAATCGAGTTGATAAAAATTTATTATATTATTGAAACTTATTAGATCGGATTGAAATTTATTAAAACTTAGTGAAAATATAGATTCCTTTGCTTTGTCTTCATAAGGCCAGGTTTACTAAACTAACGGAAAGATTCTGATTTACTAAAACAAAGTTTCACATAAAAAATACAAACTATATTATTTCTCAAAATTTGAGCAACACGTATCAAACATGGGTTCGTTACGTGGGTTCAACATTGATCGTTAATCCTTTACTAAATGCCACTACCGTTGGGAGAAAGACACGTTGATCAACTGTATCACTCCAAAATTTCATTAACATGACTCATCTCCATTTCCATGTGCACCCAATTATATAGGAGATCATAAAATCCCCAAATCTATAAATACACAAACAAAGTGTAACATATTTTTTCATCAATCAATATTATCATTCAACCAAGCATACAAAATACTAGCCCCATTAAAACCTTGAAATTTTACATATTTATCCCTCACCTTCAAGTTATTGATCATAATATACTATACATTAGTATTTTTTGAGAAACAAAGGACCAATTTCGTTTTTTCGACTTGCTCGTGTCGTTTTATCTTTAGGATCGAATTTTATAGAAGATGAACAACACAAGAACATGGGTAGTAGCATCAAGCATTGCTACATTTGAGGCCGTAAAGGATCAAAATTGTTCGAGGTGGAATTACCCTATTATGAAATCAATTCAACAACATGCCACGAAAAGCATCCGATCATTTACAAGTGATCATGCTAAGAGAGCTTCAACCTCAAGTGTTAAATCCCATAACATTGTTATGAATAGCAAGGATGAGAAGTTGAAGCATTCGGATGAATCCCTTAGAAATGTTATGTACTTAAATTGTTGGGGTCCTAATTGATCGATTAGACGAAAGGCTACCTCTTTTTTTTACACGTACATAGAATTAATATAAGGATGTGTTCGATGCTTCACAAAAGAAAATGTCCGATTGTAAATAGAGTTTGCAAAAAAAAAATTAATTTTTTTTTTTACGTCACGTCTATTTGAATTGCAAGGAAGAAACTCTTTCTCCATATAGTATTTTCCTATATATTCAAAATTTGTTATATATTCCCAGGTGGCCGGATCCGGGTGTACCTGGGATCCGGGTGTACAAGCTAGTAAAGTAGTTCCACACAAGGCAGAATAATTAAGAATCATTATTAATAATACGTATCATACCTAAAGTACTTCATCGAAAATTTGAAGTTTACATTAATCCTAAAATTATACTATTCAATTTTAACTCAAGTGCCTAAAAATAAATATGAAATGAATAACATTAAATGAAAATACAAGTTAACCTTTCAGATAAACGAATTTTTGTTAATCTGATGACATTTTTATAAATATATTGAAAAAGCAGGGTTATTTATTCAGTACTTTTGGTAAGCTGTCCAATTACTGTTTGCTTTTTACTTTTACTGTTTGGTGAGGAAATTACACATGTACCCCTCAAGTAGTACATGAAAAGACGCATATACCCCTACACTGGTACTTGAAAAGACAACTATACCCCTAGATAAACAAATTTTGTTTATCTGGGGAATTGACTGTGTATTGCTCTAACATTAAAAAAAAAAATTAATTATACAAATACTTTATGTATAACTTAATTATCCGTACATGACTTGAACTAAACTGACATAATTCAAATTGATTCAATATGACAATGTTAGTTGAGACGAAACCTACAAGAGGGGGGTGAATTGTATGTGAGTTCCTAGTGACTACTTTGCGGAATATAAAACGAGATGTAAAGGAACTTGCAATGCACACATAATTTTACGAGGAAACCTTCCAAGGCCTAAGTGGAAGTAAAATCTCGACCCTCTAAGGAATTTCCAAAATCAAACCAATCCACTATAATAGGGCAAACACACGAGTTACAACCTATTATACTCAGACCTTTACTCACAAGTTACAGAATGAACTTGCTACACAACAAAACCTATTCTACCCTACCTAAGTCCCTGACTTAGATTCACTCGTACTCCCTGAGTAATCTCACACTCAACTTCAACCTTGAAGCTTACAAAACTGTATGCAAATATATAACTCACACACCTAAGAACCCAACCGGTACAAACAATTGACCTCTAGTATATGAAAGGAAAGCTGCACATGAAATCCGAAACTAATATGACAAAGTATGAACTTGAATTGGAAAACTTATACAATTAAGCATACATCGAATTCTTCACGCATTAACTCACAAGAAAATGTGAAATGAGATTTCTACAATTTATACAAGACTAGCTCTTATAGAAAGTAGGGTTTTTAAAAGGTAATTTTGTTATTTTACCAAAATCTCAAAACATGGTTTTATGTAAATCTTTTAGAAGAAAATCTTTTTAGAAAAACTTATCAAAGATAATCTTATCAAAAGAATAATATATTTTGATACAATCAATTTTTATGAAATAAAATCTTCAAAAAAAATATTTTCATAAAAATTTATCTTTTTGAACTTTCCTATTTTAAGCTTGTCAAGCTTTTGTCATGTTTCTAATAAATCTCATGTGTAAACCTGCCAAACATATTTACAGCAAGTCAGCAACTCTTAAAGAGTAAAAACTTAACAAAACTAAATTGCCTCGTCAATATATTGTATTATAGGATTCTTGGGATTCACGCAGTCCAGGATTAAGTTCCTGATGTCACTTGATTTCCAGGTCTCAACTGGAACTTCGCAGGCCAAGTTGTTGTGAAACTAGATGTCTTCAATGCAGACCAAGTTGAAGTTCTCAACTTGTTACCTCCATGTTCCTGTTAGGAAACTCGATTAGTTCTTGTAGGAGAATTCTTCTCCTATCTTCTTTGACTTTCCTTGAAATTTCCTAGAGTCTTCATCGTTAGGTTACTGTTAGAGATATGTGTTATCGAAAAATATATGTATGATATTACCCTTGAACAAGAGCTAGCACTATTATGGGAGAAGATGAGGCGTCGTAATATTTCCAAAGAAGAGAGATCAAAGTTCGTTTTTGAGGCATTGCAGAAAATGAAGGGTAAAATACCAAAAATTGCTGGCTCTCATATCTCATCACGTATATTGCAGACATGCGTTAAAAATTGCTCAGATGCCGAGAGAGATGTAGTGTATGAGGAGTTTGTTAGTGGACCAACTCAACCAAAAGCTTAAGCTTATGGTTGAGGCCCAGAAATATGTTTTATACTCTATCACTCCCCCTCACATGAAAGGCCCTTTGGACTTGAAATGTGGATGCAACACAGGCCCAACCATACCTGGTGCGAATCAATTCCACTTTGAAGGAGGGGCGGATGAGATTCGAACCTGTGACCTTTGTGTCACACTGGCTCCGATACCATGTTAGTGGACCAACTCAACCAAAAGCTTAAGCTTATGATTGAGGCCCAGAAATATGTTTTATACTCTATCATGATAGATATTATATTTAGGATAATATTTGTCACAAGTATAGAATATATTTAATGTATATTTTGTATGTTTATCATATCTAGGAGTCCTTATCCTAGAGTTGTAAACTCTATATATTTGATCAATGGTACACACTCCAGATTGAGGAGTTTTCCCGATATCCAACATGGTATCACAACTTTAGGTTTTAGATCCAATTTTTTAATTTTTCTGCTTCCACTTTTTCCCTGATTCGATCACCGCCTCACATCAATGGCTAAGGATGACGACAATTCGTCACCACCGCCACCTTCATCCCTTGAGTTTCATCCTGCCCTCACAGTAACGAACATCAAGAATTCAATCCCACTAACCCTAGACTATGATAAGGTTCAATATTCAAGCTGGGTAGAATTGTTTGAAAATCATGTTTGTGCATATGAAGTTCTAGATCACATTGACCCCAAAACACCTCGTCCTTCCAATATTTCTGAAACTTTATGGAATCGACTTGACGCGATCGTCAAACAATGGATCTACGGCACCATATCGAAGGATCTTCTTGAGACTATTCTTGGTCGTAAGTCTACTGCTCAACAGACTTGGGACCGTATCAAGGACATATTTCAGGATAACAAGAGTACGCGGGCGGTGTACCTTAAAACTCAACTGAACGCAATTCTTCTTGACGCCTACCCTAACGCCACCGCGTTCTGACCAATTAGCGAACGTCGACCAGCCCATCTCTGATCAGAAATTGGTGCTCCGTCTCGTCGCCGGTCTTAATAAAACGGATTAAGACACCGTTGCAACTATGATTGCCCAAACTGACCCACCACCCTCTTTTAATACGGCCCGTTCTCGTCTTCTTCTCGAAGAATCGCGGCGAAACACCGATCACAGCAACCCCCCTTCATCCTTTGTCGCACAGCAACAAAGCTCCGCATCATCTGAATCCGCCCAACAACAACCAGCTGCACCCGGCGGAGGACGTGGTGGCGGAGGTCGTGGGCGCGGCGGGGGTAAGGCCGGTAGCGGCAGGGGGCGCAGCCAGGCGCGTGGTGGCCAAGGAGGCCAAGCTCGGGGTGGACAGCAGCAACAATCCCAACCCTCGCTAGCCCCTACTTCTCAGCAACCTTCTGGACCGATTGGTTAAGGTTGGGCCCAACAGGGCACTTGGCCCAATCAACGGTATTCGTGGCCTGAATGGGCAACTCCACCAGCCCCCTTTCCAATTATGGGCCATGTTCAGCATAGGCCCAGTGCTCAAACTCAACATCAGCAGGCTTATTACAGTGGTTCTCCTATGTACGGTCAGCCCATGACCCCAACGGAGCTCGGTAGTGCTTACTCAACACCTGGATTGTTCCCACTGGATAATGGATGGTATATGGATTCGGGAGCTACTTCTCACATGACCCATACTTCCGGTAATCTTCTTCCCTTGTTTCAATTAAGCACTAATAATCATATTTTAGTAGGAAATGGTCATCGCATTTCAATTACTGGTTATGGTCATTATAAATTCCCAAATAAATCTCTTGCCCTTAAAGATGTCCTCCTTGCCCCTCAAATTATTAAAAACCTTATTTCAGTCCGTAAATTTACCTCTGACAATTCAGTTTCTATTGAATTTGATCCTAATGGTTTTTCTGTGAAGGACCTTCGAACGGGGAGGGTAATCACCAGATGCAATTGTTCGGGGGATCTTTATCCTATCACTAATACTGATCCAAGCACATGCCTTGCCACGTCCCTCACCACTGTCGCTCCTACCACTTGGCACGAGCGCCTAGGACACCCGGGAACAGCTTCTATAAGCTACCTTAAAAATAATAATTTTATTAGTTATAATAAGGAGCTAGACTCCAATGTTTGCATTTCTTGTCAATTAGGGAAACATGTTAGACTTCCCTTTTCTCTTTCGAATAGTAATACTTATTGTGCTTTTGATATTATACATGCCGATTTGTGGACATCTCCTATTCGTAGTAGTAATGGTCACAAATATTACCTAGTGCTTCTTGATGATTTTACTCATTATGTTTGGGCTATTCCTTTAGCATCTAAATCTCAAGCCTACCAAAGCTTTCTCATATTTAGACAATATGTTTTAACTCAGTTTGAACGGCCTATAAAATCCTTTCAAAGTGACCATGGTCGAGAATTCGACAATGACCCTTTTAAAAAAATTTATATAGAAAATGGTATGATTTTCAGATTCTCATGCCCTCACACTTCTTCCCAAAATGGTAAAGCTGAAAGAATGATCCGCACTATTAACAATGTCAATCGCACTTTACTATTCCATGCATCCCTACCCCCCTCTTATTGGGTTCATGCCTTAGAGTCCGCTACATATCTCTTAAATATTTTGCCAACCAAGTCCTTAAATAACTTGACCCCGGCACAGGCTCTCTTCCGCACTAACCCATCTTATGATCATCTTCGGGTTTTTGGACGTCTATGTTTCCCAAACTTGGCCGCCACGGCTCCTCACAAGCTTGCTCCTAAATCTACCCCTTGTGTAGTTTTAGGATACCCCTCTAATCATCGTGGTTACAAGTGTCTTGATCTTTCAACTAATAAAATTATTATTTCTCGTCATGTGGTTTTCGACGAGTCTACCTTTCCATATAAAAATTTAGCTCCTTTCAAATTAAAGGATTATGAGTTCCTTGGGTTTGATGACCAATCCCCTCTTCTTTCTCATCCCTACCTCCGAAATAAACTACAACCAGCAGGCCCAGCTCCTCATCAACCCAACCCTCTCACTCCTCTGGCCCAACCTCGTCAGCCCTCACCTGGCCCAACTTCCCCATCTCCCTCCCCTGGCCCAAACCCGCCAGCTCACCCCTCTCCCTTGCCTACTGGGCCAGCGCGCGCTGGATCCTCAGTGGCCCAATCAGTGAGCCCCCTTCCCCACTTTTGGGCCAGCTCAGTCCGCCCCACCTTAGCTCCCCCTTATCTCCAAACACAACCAGCCCATCCTCGCCACCTACCTATTCCCCACCACCTATGCGTGGCATTCCTCCCCTACAACCTACTCGGCCACCACCTCCGTCCCCACCTATAACCCGCAGTCAGCGGGGCATATTTAAGCCAAACCCGAAATATTGCAACCTCCCCGTACAAAAATCGGGACCCCCTTACATTAAATCACCTCTTCCAAAATCATATAAACAACCTTTAAATGACCAAAACAGGGACATGGGATTTGGTGCCTAGAACTGCGGGGGTGAATGTTGTTAATTGTATGTGGCTATTTAAACATAAATACAAGTCTAATGGTGACTTTGAAAGGCACAAAGCTGGTTTTGTATGTGATGGCAGGTCGCAAGAAATTGGTGTGGACTGTGATGAGACATTCAGCCCGGTAGTTAAACCGGCCACTATTCGAACTGTTCTGAGTTTAGTATTGGCTAAAAAGTGGTTGCACGTCCGTGCAGGAGTGCTCCAGAAACTCAGAACATTCTGCCAAGGCCTGCACGGACGTGCCAAATTAAGCACGTCCGTGCAGATGTAGCTGCACGTCCGTGCCAATATCTGCACGTCCGTGCGGAACTGCTCGATTCTTAGCAGTACGTTCTGCCTCAATTCTGCCCCCTCTGCACGTCCGTGCCGAATCTGGCACGACCGTGCTTATGCTTGCACGTCCGTGCCGAATCTGGCACGTCCGTGCAGACCTGCAGTCGAACTTCTTCCTTGTTTTCTCCGTCCTTTTTATTTGGGGGTCATATAAATACCCCTTTAGAGCTCATTTGTACGGGGGATGCAGTTTTTTAGAGCTTTCCTCTTAGTTTGTAGTCTTAGAACATTAAATTCTCAAATCATTAGTTAGTTCTCAATTATTAGCTTGGAATTATTCAAATTCAATCATTGTAGAAGACAAAATCCACCATTGTTGCTCACCTTGAAGCTTCATAGTAACCATTTCTTACTCATCTTTTCTACTTCTCTTTACTTTGTTGTTAATTATTTTCTAGTTCTTGCATGTTTTGGATTGTTAATTAGCTTAATCCTTAGTTTGAACTTGTTCATGAATTTCTTGAAATCTTTAATTGCTTTAACCCCCATGGATTGTGAGTAGTCTAAATTCTAGGGTTTGGGCAAAACCCTCAACGTAGTCGCTAATTACTTGTTGCATGTGCTAATTTGGTTGTTGTGGGATGTTAATTAGTTGAGCTTAAGTGGTTTAATTGCTTAGTTCTTGTATATGGCCATTGCTAGAACTATTTATCCAAGCTTTCTCAACGAAGGATCGAGAGATGAACTTGAGTTAGCTCCCTTATGCTTGATTGACCCGAAATGCCATGAGAATAGGGATTACCGGTCAAGGGAATGTTTATGTCATCGTGATTATGCTTTAACACTTGTTTTATGCTATGTAACCACGAGAGTAGGTTGTATTCATGATTCAAGTAATCCCTCTAGCTTGAGAGAGTAGTTGGGTGCTTTAGATGACTTCCCTTAATTTATCCCATTAATTTGCCTTGATTGTTGCATGCTAACTGTGATTTGTGATGAAGTTGAGTGGTATAACCCAAGCCCTAGATTCCTCTAAATATTGTTAACCTCCTCTTAGCTTAGTTGAATTGTGTTAGAAGAAGTTACTCAAAACCAACCCAATTTAGAATTCGTTTAGCTTATTTAAACGGTAGTACTCGGTGGTTGATTCAACGCCTTTCTTGGGTTCGACCCTTTCTTACCCTTACTATTGTTAGTGAGACCAAGATAGGAATTATTATCTTTGGTAGGCTCGACGACGGCCTATCAATTTTTTTTTTTTTTTTGAGTAAGAAATGAAAAATTACAGCATTAGGCTAGCTAAACTAAGCATAAAAATAATAATAATAAAAAAAAACTATACATCTAAATGAAAAGATAAGAGAGGTATTCACAAGATAATAAATTTGGATTTAGGGTATTGGATTTCAAAGGGAGCAAATTGGATTTAAAGGATTTGGATGTTAGGGAAGAAGAGAATGGGAAAAACCAACATGCAAACTCAATCATGGAAACACGAAAACACAACACGAACCAATGACACATGAGAGAACACTCCCCCCCAAGCTATCATAAACATTGTCCCCAATGTTAAAGCAATGCAAGCACAAAGAGAAGGGAAGGAAGAAACTAACTCATTGGTTCGGGCCCCCTTGGGAGCTTGAGCCCCCTGGGTAGAGATGCCAGTACATAGTGCGGAAATCGCCCAACTCCGATCTAAGACCTTCGAAACTTGTTCTCATGTTGTCAAAAGAAGTCCTCATATCTTCGTTTGATTTCCTTAAGGTCTCGAATTCGGTGGTCATGCGGGCAAAATTCGCATTCATGTTGGCTACTTGCTGCTCAAAAGAGAGGTATGGGTTATTTTCACCCACACCTTGATCTTGGTAACCCTCTTGGTCCCTTTGTTGGAACTCGTGTTGTTGATGAAATTGTTGTTGCTGAAATTGTTGATGATGTTGATGTTGTTGAAATTGTTGATGATGTTGATGTTGTTGAAATTGTTGATGATGTTGTTGCTGTTGTTGTTGGAATTGTTCCTCACCGCCTTGGGGTTGGTCATCTTCTCCACCCGGAATCCACTCAAAATCCGGCTCAAAGACCCAATTCTCGGGGTTGTAAATAACCGTGGCTTCCGGATTTGGCAAAGTTGCATAGGGGCGCCTACTTACCATCCACGTGTAGGTCCTACCCTCTTCATCTTCCTCCAA